ATCCTAAAAGCTCGACTACGTGATCCTACACCTTGTATTTTGCATCCCTGGTACGCCTCCAAGGGGCTCAGTGCGTTAAGGGGACGATGGGTATGCTAAAGAGCATGCTGCGATACTGAAGGGTACTATGGGATGACTCCCAGTTGCAGGTGTGCAATGCAGTCATAGCCAAACGTATGCGGATGTGCTGTCCCTGTTAATCGATATCACTGAGACTGACCCATAACCAAGGGGTTACTTTCCATCCCGTACGTGCCGCTCCCCATCTATCAAGTAGCTTGATCACTATAGATGTAACTAATATTGTTTTCAGGCTAGGGTCAAGCTATGTACTGCCGTATATCGTTACGACAATTCACCTTGGCAATGAGACTCAGCGAAGCCAAAGGGGTTGTAATGTGGTACACCAAGTTAATTAGGTCCAGATCGATCCGCCAGACCAGTGGCTTTATTTCCGAGTCGAATGGCAACTCAATGGTGATTCTATCGTCCAAACCCGGCCCCTAAGGAGCTAGAGAAAACCTAGCACTTCTTTATTGCGGCGTAGGATCGCGACTGAGATCCTTGTATGCCATGAGATGGTCTCTTTGTTTGAGATTCTGAGTGGAGGTTTCTAGGGGCACCCCCTGCTAGGAGACTTTCTCTTCACCCTTGGTCTCTCTCAAGCTGCACTAGCGATTTAACAATCCCAATTACCGTATTATTTTTCAGTTGCAATCGTTGCTGGTCGAGGTTGTCTACCCGACAATCAAGTCAGGCAGGGTTTATTGCTTCGTGTATCCTCAGATTCCTGCATGGGCGGTGGGAAAGGGTCAGCCTGGCAAAAGCCAGGGTCATTAGGGAGATGTTGCTGTCATCTCCGATGGGATCTGTGGCACCACGAGAAGCGACAGGCGGGGAGAGGGTACTTTTAGGGCGTCTCCCCCCACCTTGAACAAATGTCATGCAAGCACTTAACATCGCACCTTTTCGGACGTTGTCCCATCCCTGACGCGCCTCAATAATGAGGTGTTAAACGAGCAAGAGGCACCGGTTGTAACTCAACGGGAACACACTGCGTTTCTTACCATCCATTTGATCAAGTGGCCCAGGCTGTTCCTCCGGGCTGACTTCACGTTCACCACCAGGCCCTTGATTGACGCAGCAGCCTGTACATAAGTGCATGTTGGCTGTACTTGGTTTGTCTCGCCACGGCAAATCCCTATGCGCTGCCTGCTTTCCCAGTACGCCTAGCCCGAAGCCGTCAGTTCGCTTACCGAAGTTGGCAATTCTCGCAAATTCCCTCCTCCCATGATTTCTGTCACCAAGGCGTAGTTGCACCGAGGACCCCTGATGAAGTATCGGTGTACAGACAGTCATCAAAAAGGGTCATCTCGAACCACGCATTCTCCCACGTCTTCGGTCTTTCCGCAGCCTCAAGTGTCTGCTCCTTCACTCGACATGTTTATATCTATGTTCCTGTCTGCTTTGCTACTCATGCTGCTAGCTGCAGCTCATGTGCAAATCACGCGCTGCGCGGTCGAGACGCAATCGTGGTTGCTTGGGACCTTGAACAAGATGTTGCGGCCCCATCATGTTGGGAAACGAGTCAGCCAGGTATTGACTATATCATGCACATAACTATTATTCACTCAATGCTTCCACCTGAACATAATATCCACAGCAACAAAACCGAAGGGTCTTCAGCTCCAGAGGTCGTTGCCATCAATTGAGTGCCGAAAATGGGATCGTCAAGATTCGTGACTGAGTCGGTATTGCTTTGCCATGGAGCAGCCGTCAACCTAGATTCCACACGATTCCGCTCTGCCCGCCACGCCGGCAGCTGTCAGATACACTGGAACGAAACCACTCAATGGTGTCGACCGCTTGTTTGCAGAATACCCAACGAAAGATGCTTTAAAGCAGCTAAGTATGCAACTACAGCCTGTATAGACATTTGAGGGAGTTGCAGCAATCGCCCCATCTAGTACATGCGATTGACGTTTGGTCCCGTAGTTAAGCCTATACAGAAAAGGTCCTCCAATCAGCAGACAGCAGGCCAGCTCCGTACTTGAGCTTGGAACACCGCTACATAACCAGTACACCAACCTCATGGGGAGTTGGTACTGGAGGCAGTGTACCCAGATGCGACCGCGATCCGCGGCTCAACAGTCAGCATTCGTCACCTTCTTCCTGTATCTAACGTAAGTGTATCATTCGTGCCGATCCAAGGATTTCTACGGAGCCCGAGCCCGCACACGCCGCCCTTACTCCTTCATCACGATAATCGTCGGGCCATGCACATGTGCCATTGCGACGACACTGAATTCATAGCTAGCTGGTGGGGGTGCTGGAAAACTCAGTACATGAGAATAGTGGGGATGAGTCTGGAAGCGCCACTGGTGCGAGAAGACCAGTCCAAATTCCTGCCCATTTTTTTTTCATCATCACTTACGTTCATCAAGCCCTACGTGCCAGACGTCGGCTGTAGGTGCCAGAGAAGAAGTTTTCAGACAGCCTGGCCAAAGATGAAGCTCAACAATGACAACACTATATTCACTGGGCGCCGTATGGCTTGCCATGAGCAAGTGTCCACTGAACCATATTCCGTTCATACTACTCAAGGAGGCTTAGTGCGTAGTGTTCCGTTGCTCTAATAACACTCCCCTCTTCCGTTGCCATGTGAAGACAACCCTGAAGCCCGTTTCCAACCGTTTCAAATCTGCACTGTGCCATTTCGGCGGGTAACTAGGCTTCATAAATCCCAGCACGCCGACGGTTCAACAAGCCAGCAAGCTCAGATATGCAAACATATCCCTGAGAAACGGCCCACCAAATCTCCGTCCTTGCGCATTCTACCAGATCAGTTTCGTATCCGAGGCCCATCACAACCAAACCACCCAGCAAGTCCGTTTTGGGGATCCTGGCTTGCTTGTTGTAACTAATCGGAAGCATTGGCCCATTGCCATCGATTCATCCCATCATGTGTGAGGTCATTTCCAGTTCCATGATTTTGATGTCGCCTTATCGGACAAATTGCCCCCAACTGCTTGCACCAACATGAGTCGGGCAGGCTTTAAACCAAGCGCAACAGTGTTTCTACCTACCGCACCCTGCCGTGTCTTCCGGGTTCATGATCCCGGCCAGCCAGCGTTTGGTGCTAACAGCAGCAACCGGACGAAGAGTGCAGGGCGCCGGAAGCCACGAGAAGCCGAGTACAGCAGAATCAAAGATAGGTTAGTCAGGGGGCGCAGGCCTGCGGCGTTTGCTGAGTTTACCATGCGCTACTAATCTTGCCTGCTTGCTCACTCAGCCGGAAAGCAATCCTCTCATCAGCCACAGCAGCCGAGCGTAAAACATTATCTGCATTGGCAAGTGAGCCTTTCTAATGTCTCCATTCCCCATCTAATTGAGCCTATCTCCCTCGCTTGGGCGTTATTTTCTGCAAGATCGGCATTGCGTACGTCCGAAGGGCTATGCAGATTACGTCTGCGGTCTCGCAATCCATCATGGGCACTTCGTAACAGCGCCGTGGCGACTTCAGTGTTCACAGTCTGAGCTTAGGTGTAATATGTGATTTGTTCCTTCATCATGCCGTTGCCTAGAAACCCGAAAGTCTCGGCTCCCTCAGGCGGCATCTATCACTGGATCCTGCCTTTTCCCGGGATGACGACTTCCAGACTACGAGCAAGGCGATGACCAGCGTGCCAGGCAACGAGCATCTGTATCCCCTGCTTACGATTCCATGCATCGTCATATTTGTCTCCTGGGTGCTTGAGGGATTGCGCTGCCATCCTTCGCTCTCATACTCGTTTACCTTGAATCGCTTGACCCAATGAGGTCTCATGGTTGACTCCAGAGTTCATCCGGGGTAGCACGCTGGTTACTGCGGACTCAACCCAGACGCCGGAGTGCGGGTCAGTTCCGCCCAACTCGTTCCCAAGTTAACTGATCGTGAACCCCACCCCGGAAACTCGTCGGACAAGTTGATGAAGTTGGTCGGCCACGATGATGCATTTGTGACTCATTCTCTACAATTTCAGCTCCTCTGCTCTACTGTCTTAGCTATAGCCCCCAACAAGTAGCCACTTCTTCCATCCGTTTAACGGATTGCTAAGCATCTTGGCGCAGCGGAAGCGTGAGTTCATCTCGAACGTACAAGTGTCTGTCGCTCCTCATATTAATAATTTCTTAGGCGCCGGGCTCATATTGAGATCACCCGGAGGACGCTGGATCGAAACCAGCAGATGCTAAGTCCTCATTTTTGGCGTGTTGTGCGTCTTTTTTTGGTACTGGGACCATTACGTGACAGTCTTCCGCTTCTCGCCGCCTTCCATCACCCAGCTTCCGGGACGTCAAGGACTACCATAGTGACACCTGGGGATACATACATCATCGCTAGTCTTGGCCGACTGTCCTCACTCCCTGCATCTATCGCTGGTGTTTGCCGGTTCCTTTAAATACTGCTAGCACCCAATGCAAACTGCTGTCCACATGAGATAGATCTCTACGTGCTCCAGATGTTATAGGAGCGTCGTCGTCAGCGTTTCCCGTAGCCTGTCGTGAGGAATCCCACTTTGCATTCCCTGTGGGATGCATCACATAAGCTGTTTAGTGTCAATCAATCTGGATCCTTCTTGTGTAAATCGTATGCATTCAACACTCCCCTTTCAACATACGTATGACGTGGTATGGCCTCAAACCGTTTCGCCCCGTATCTGAGCAAAACGTTTGATATCAGGTGCTAGCAGCAAATTCAATACATGTAGCCTTAGAGGAACATCTACGTGTAGACATTTGTACTGCATGCTGTCTTACCAATGATAACGAAACGGAGCTTGGCACGGGTGCCTGTCAGGCCACCAGGTGTCAGCCCCATCGCAGCACTAGCCGGCTTGCTGTCATGGCCAAAAAATGTGTCAGCAATTCACATGGCACATATGTCTATGTGTGGCCGACTACCTTAATATATCGAAGCCCTGGAGCTTATGCCGTCTACTTTATGAGTCTCGAAACTGGATATGCCCTCACTAGTGCTGTTGAGCGTCTTGGCCGTCGTGGCTCTGTCGCTTGCAGTCGCATTCTATCGTGTCACACTCCATCCTTTGGCCAGGATACCAGGTCCCGGTATAGCCGCGGTCACCAGCTTCTGGCAAGCGCATCATGTACGCAATGGCCACATGCGTGAACTAGCCAAGACCTTACACAAGACGTACGGTCCAGTTGTTCGGGTCGGCCCCAATGAGGTCTGGTTTGACTCGAAAGAAGCCGTGGATGTCATTTATGGTGCGATATTCCTCCCTCCCATTTCAGGCGCTCTTAAAAGACTTGGCTGATAAGCCATGGGGTCTATAGCTGCTGGTTCTCTCTATGAGAAAGCTAACTGGTATTGTGAGTATTGCGTCGCATTATATCTACGAATGGCTGCTAAATAGAAAGTGATAACCAAACTGGAGTCATGGAGCTTCGACTGGAAACTCAATTTCCGGTTTGGCAATTTACTGGACCTCTTCACAGAGACAAACAAAGAGCGCTATCGCTTCCAGAGACGGAGCCTCGGTCCAGTCTATTCCATCGCCAACGTGAAGAAGTATGAGGCAGTAGTAGACGCGGTTCTTGACAGATTCGTGGGAAAACTGAAAACCTTCAATGGCAAGGTAGAAGTTGACCTGGCAGAGTGGATGCATATTCTAGCCCTCGAAACGCTCGGCAGTGTGGTCTTGGATTGGAGTCCTGGCCAGATCGAGGCAGGGTCAGATGAGGGAATGCTCTCTGGCACCTGCACTACATGGAAAGCTTGTAGTGTGCTTGGTTTGTTTAGCCCAATCGTTATGGTCGGGGGGCTCGTCTCTCCGTTGAAGTACCTGTTTCCGGTGTTGGCTGGATTGGTGCCCTTGCTCGGGCCAGGTGGTGATGGTCATTGGCGCGTATGTTTCTTCCCGGCAACAACGATAGAGTACAGTGATACTAATTATTCTAGGTTATTGGCGAGATAATCAACAGAAGACTCAGAGAAGGCTCGCCACAGGGCCGAAGACCCGAGGGAGATATCTGCGACGATATATTCTACATGCGACTGAAGAAGTCCGAATTCACCAGAGCGGATCATGTGGGCATGTTGTTCCAAAACTTTACAGCTGGCCACGATACTATAGGCGCAGTCATGACTGCGGCGTTGGCCCTTTCGTGCACAGACTCCCGAACCCAGAGCGAGATCAAAAAGGAATTGATTGATGCCACCAATCCCACACTTTTTGATAATACGAAGCTGCTGAAGTACACACAGGCTTGTATAAAGGAGTCGCAGAGATTATACCCAGTAATTTCCATGTCGCTGATGCGGGCAGTGCCGTGGACAGGGCTCAATTTGCATGGATACTATTTTCCCCCGGGAACGACCGTTGGTTGCAACCCCACGGCTTATCACCATAACACGGCAGTATTCGGAGAAAACGCGGGTTCATTCAACCCAGATCGTTGGCTAGGTTCGCCTGAGGCGCATGTAAATCTGGATCATGCTGCCTTAACATGGGGAGGAGCAAACCGGCGGTGTCCTGGGCAGCATCTGGCGCAGCTGATTTGCAGCAAAGCATTCGCCAGGTTGATGAAAGACTTTGATATCAGAGTGGAAAGGCCAGATGACCGAGATATTCCGTTTTATTTCTTGGCTACGATGACTGGGGTAAGGGCACGTTTTATACCTCGCACATCGTGTTAGACAACCACAAAAACGGAACCCTCGACCATGATCAACTGTCAGAATCGTCCGCTCATAGACGTCGCTCTCCTTTCAACTCACATAACACATCACAGCTCATCCAAATACAAAAACCCAGATAATTGGAGACTTTGCAAAGGCCAAAATGGCATAGTTACATCATCGACTATCAAATTCAGTACGCGGCTCATTGGCATCCTGCTCGTGTTCCGAACATGTGGCAAGTGTCACAACTGTACACGATAATAGAAGCGATGGTAAGCAGATGCCAAAGACGATAGTTCGGAATTCAGCCAGCATTTAATAAGGAGCTATCTTAGGTCCTGGGGGCACTTCCTCAGCATTGACAGATAGGGTAATAGGGCTAAAAATTTAATGGCATGTCATCTTCTTGAGGTCTTGTACGCGCCATTAGACATATGGGCTCGAGCGAATTCTACAATCCTTGATCATGGACAAACTGCCAATGCTTCAGATCGTGTTCTACCGAAGAATTGGGCGGGCAGCATTAGCGGCATCATGAGCTGCTGTATAAGTGTGCAGCCCAAAGGTCCAATAGGCTGGAATGCAAGGCCCAACCAGCGAGCATGCAGTTACAGACTTCCTGACCATAGATGTTGCTGCGGCAACGATGATAGCTCAGAATGGACATCGCATACTCAACCCTGCAGAACTAAAGAGTGGGTCATTATGACTAAATCAACCTTGACACGTCTTGGTATCCGCTCTTTGGAATGGCGAGAACGTGTAAACAAGCAAACAAGGCATGCTCCGAAGTGTCGCGCGTGTGGAGCCTTCCACAGTCCCGTTGAAGATTTACTCCTCCACGCATTGGCAGACTCTGCGTTTAGTCTGCCTTGTGTACTCCCATCTAAGTACACTGAAAGGCGCTAATGTGTTATTGATCCTATGACGACAGGGCGGCCGTTCGAGGGGGCGATGACAATGACGTCCCTGGGGAACACATAGCCAGTCAAGCGGGTACCCGACATCAATCATCAAGAGGGGAAGAATCTCGAGGGGATTCTAGAAACAGATCGCATAAGGAAGTCATTTGCGCCTGGGCGGGCGTTTCTCATTTCAAAATCAGGGTCCTGGGTCCGGTCCCAAATAAAGACCCACACGGTGCCGGCGTAGAAGGGGATCCACCGGGCCGGCCCCGCGCCAGCTCTGGAATCACGTCGAGAAATGCTGGCAGCAACTATGTCGTGCAGCGTTCGCTCGTCATTGTTGACAATTACTCCGCGATGACTCTTGCTGCGGAGGGCAAAGGCGGATTGCCCAATTTTGCATACCCAATCAAATACCCCTCTTTTTACGTGGTGTGCAGGGGGGCAATTGCCACATGCCGCAGATCCATTCGTCCTCCGGCTTGGGCAGGCTCCGCTTTGCAAGAATTTTTTTTCTCTCTGCTCCAGACTAGCACGACGGGCTCTCATTAAAGACGTCGGCTAGGCAAAGGGCGGTCACTAATTGACAATCGTGGATGCTAGTGACTGGGCAACGCCAAATCAATATTTAAATTTGACGAACGCTCACTCAACGCTCTTGCTGTGCTCTGCCTCTCCCTTCTCTCTGCCATTGCAACAACACAAGCCACTCTCTCTTCTACCACATACACGCTTCAACCAAACATCAGCCAGAATGTCTGCCGAAGAGTCTGTTGTGATCGACCCCCAGGCCATCAAGGAGCTCCAGCTCCTCGATGCCCACCTCTCGGATGTGGACACTGAGATCACTGCCAAGCAGCACCTCATGAACGCTCCCATCCTCGCTCAGCGCCAGAGCACCATTGCCAAGATCCCCGGCTTCTGGGCTGTTGTCTTCGACAACGCTGCTGCTGAGCTCGAGGCCGCCATCACCCCCTCGGACTCTGAGGTTTTCGCCAAGGCCCTCACCACCGTCGAGGTCCTGCGCCCTGAGATCCCCTCGGGTGCTAAGCCCACTGACCTTGGTCTGGACAAGTTCGGCGAGCCCCGCAGCGTCACCATCAACTTCCACTTCAAGGAGAACGAGTGGTTCTCTGACAGCGTCCTGTCCAAGACTCTGTACTACCGCCACGGCAAGGACCGCTCTGCCGGTCTGGTCTCTGAGCCCATCAAGATCAACTGGAAGGCTGGCAAGGATTTGACCGAGGGTCTTACCGACGCTGCCTACGCTCTGTGGGCTACCCAGAAGCAGAATGCTAGCCAGCAGCTCGACGGCGCTCTCGCCGGCGATGCCCGCAAGGCTCGTGACGCTGCCGCCAAGGAGCTCCCTGAGTACAAGAACGTCGTCAAGTTGTTGGGTGAGAAGGTCAACGGCGCCATCAGCTTCTTCAACTTCTTCTCCTACCGCGGCCGCTGGACTAGTGCCCAGGAGAACGCTGAGGCTCGCGCCGAGGTCAAGGCCCGACGTGCCGCCGCCCTTGCTGGCAAGGACGAGGAGGAAGAGGATGAGGATGAGGACTTTGACGAGCTCGACTTCGCCGAGGAGGACGTTGAGACCTTCCCCCCTGGCCACGACGTCGCCGTCTCTATTGCCGACGATATCTGGCCCAACGCTATTGACTATTTCCTGGCCGACTCCATTGACAGCGACCTTGAGATTGATGACGAGGATGATGAGGATGAGGATGAGGACGTCGAGATGGAGTAAAGTGGAAGACTGCATGTAGATACCCAAAAAGTTTGATTTGTTGTATGAACCTGCGGCCGTTGGATCACCGCATAATGAGGGAAGATGAGATAGACACATTCACGAATAGAAGGCGCACCAAGCCTTAATTTCCTTACACGAAACTTATGCCTCTACCCTGGTAAAATGAGCTGGTTCAATGCCGACTATCATAATGCTCAACGTATCATACCTGTGCCAGCCATCGCCCGGTCTGTGGAAGATTTGATCTTTCACCTCACAGCGGGTCAGAGTGATTGTCTGAAGTTCTAGATGGAGTCGGTCCTACATGGATGAGTGGACAATGACTTTCGGAGAAATTAATGTCACTGTCATCTTGGCAAATATTGAGAAGAAAAACTTGGGTATGGCTCCAGACAACACGTACTCGATTGTATATTATAGAGGTTGCTTTATCATTCTTGTACTTGACTACACGATGTTGTCCGTTGTCCCACTCGCTCTTCCATTAAGTTGCTGAGGTAATCTGGTATCCGGAACCTCCTGATTACCCCTATCCACCTCGCCTCTCTGCGAAACCAAACTCATACCAGCTTCCTCCTGCCATGCCAGCCTCTCTCGTCGCTTTTTGTCAATTCGTGCTAGTAAGCGCTCACGACTACGATCAATATTGTTACTGTTGAACAAGCTGGCTCTCCACCAATCGTAAAGCCTTATCATCTTGGTCCGATCAGAGAGGAGCGCCCACGTAACGTCGAAACAAAGACGTAGAGCAGCCTTGATCCACGCGCTCAGGGCATGGAACCAGGCACCGAAGGCAAGCGACAGTGAGATGAAGATAACCACCGCTGTCCCTCCGACTTCGGTTGCGTCTGTTAGTCTTTCCTCTAATGATTGCCGATTAGATCGAACTTACACAACCACTTGATCTGTGCCCAGAGACTCATCCAGTGCGACTCGTTAATCTCCTGGTTGTTCATACCGAAGAATGCTGCAATGAAACTTAAGGGAAGCTGTGACGTTCATAAGTCATAAGTGGCGGTATCTCACCAGATATGAAACCTGGGTGCACGAATCACTTACAAATACAATGGTTACGATGGTGAAAGCTTGAATTGTGCGACCCTGCTGGTAGGTCTGGTGTGCTGTGTCGAGAGCTGCTCTCGCGTCGACGATCGATGCTTGCTGTTGTTTCAGAGAAAGAAGCGCCTTCAAGCTGTAGTAAATTACCGTCGTTAGTCGGCCACATTGTTATGTTTGCATTCGCAAGGCACGCACCTGTTTGCATGCCCTTAGTGCTGCTTCTTCTAAATCCTGAATCTCATCCCGGCGGGCGAGTAGCAATTCGACTAGGTCACGAGCTTCATACACAGATTCTTTACGTCCTTGCCCTTCGAAGTTGGAGATCTTGGATTCCACGCTGTTAAGATCACGCACTAGCTGGTCAGCGGAGTTAAATAAGAGCTCGTTTGGCACGAGTGTATATCCTGAAGTTGTTGGCTGCCGTCCATGGGGGTGGGAAAGATGCCGCTCGAAGTCTTTCATGACTTTAAGCTGCTCTGAATACACTCGCTTCATAATCATAAGCTCCTCGGTGATATCTTGGGCTTCCTTCAGGAGTATTCCCTCAGGGTTAATCACCATTGGCACCTTGTGTGAGGCTTGAGCGATAGCTCTCCAGAAATGATCGTACGCGATTCTCGTTTTTTCGGTCTGCGAATGGTTAACAACAACTGTAAACATCATCTGATTCTTCGCGATTCACGTACCACAGTGCCAATAGCTTCAGCGAACAAGTCCATAACCTCTGGGCGCTGATCTAGGGGCCGAGTGCGATCAAAGAAAACACGAGAACATTGATCTACGATTATCATAGCTGCCAATTACCAACTTGGTCAGCTTGATTCTGATTGAGGTGTAATTGTCAGACTTACCAAGGTGGTGGATGGACCTGATCTCCTCTGTTCCTTTGCGGAGTCGCACTCTCAAGCTTTTGTGAACACCCGATGCATCAGGCTTGTTTCTTCCCCACCGTCTGGGGAATGACGTGATGATTGTATCTGGATAAATCAGTGCGAGTATTATCATCGGACGGATATATGCTTACTGTCATTCAAGATCCATAGCCATAATTGATCGACCATAACGACCCGTGTGGGAGAGTCACGCGGCTTAGTTCCTCGATACACAACTTGATCTTTGTCTCTCTCAGAGGTGTTTTCCAAAGTAAGAAAATAATATTGATCAAGTGTGCGACGGATGTGCAGAGGCGGGTCTTTATCGACATTATCCCTCAGCAACCTCTCATGCGCTTCATAGTCCATCTCCTCTGCCAAACGGGCTAGTGCCAATAAATACTGCCCCAGATACATTCTACCATGATAAATTGTAAGAAGGTCAACTGGTACTAGTGAACAACTACCTACCTTCGTAGCGGTGGCTCTTTGTTCTTGCTGTTGACTACCTTTTTCGATGTCTTATTCTTCTTCCAGACGTCGGAGACAGTATGTATCAAACGGAGCTTCTTGCTGCTCGAGATAGAATTGGCACTTATCGCTTCGTTTACTACATTGACCATTTGCGCACGGCGACTGCTCATCTCCCAGTGCAAATATGGCAACTAGAGGATCATTAGTAAGTGAACTACTGTTAGACCAGTCGTGCTCGTGAACGTACGAATATCGCAACGTTATTCCCTGCAAGACTGACTGCAGCAGATTGAGGCTCATGAGCGCTCTCTGGATTGGAACTGGTCGGTATACTGCCTGATGACTGACTCGTTGGGTGATTTGGTTCTGCTTCTGATCATGAGTCAGTAACAACGGCAACGACTTTAGACTGGTTGCGCACCTCGGGGAATCAGTAGGCATTTCGATCTCATATGTCTTGAGTGTACCGGCGCTGTTCCACCGCCATGCATTTGGCCAAGCCAGTGCTCTCTGGCCAAGAGTCTCGTACAATCGTTTGGCGCAGTGAGCTGATTGCCGTAGTGCTGCTTAATGGCTTTCTGACCGTTTGTCATGGGTCAGTTATGAGTTGCCGAACTGAGCCTCAATATCTGGTGAATCTCACCTCAATCCATTCCATGTTGTTACTAGGAATATGGAAGTATCGTATTGTATCCTTTGGACACTCTTCCGAAAGGGGATTATCATCTGCGCCGTCCAAGATAGTCTCCATTGCTATCTTTTGGTCGGGAAACTTTGATCCTCGGTAGTTTCCATTGTTAGAATCAATCCCTCTCAGAGTTCCGTCAGAACCTTTCGTGAAGTACATTGCTCCGGCTTTAAGCCCATAGTATGAATCAGAAGCGCGTTGTAGTTCTTCCTCTGCGTCCTGCAAGGGACGTTCTTCGGCACCAGGTCCAGATGGGTCCTGTGTGGGTACTGAAGCGCTTTGGTTTGGGCGCAGGCCATTTGAGACTGGACTGTCTCGACCATACCTTCCAACAGTCTGCTTGAGACTCTCGAGATGTTTTGCGTCCCAATTGCGTAGTATTTTCGTGTGATTCATATACAGCGCCTTCTGCGAGTTAGTTGCAACCTTCCTTGTCGAAGCATTCTCCAATTGCTTCAATCGCTTCTTACGTTCGCGGCTGATTTCCTCAAGTTCAGAAGCATTGAATACTGTCTTCTTCCATTTAGAATGGGCGTCGCGGAGGCTATTGATGAGATCTTGCTTGTTTGAATAGCTCAGAAACTTGTTGCGGTGTTCATCGATCCGTCGAATTTCGCGAATTGTGCGTTGGTAGCCCTCCCCAGAAATTCCCTTGAGTTGGTCAAGAAAGTTCTGCCTTGCCGAAAACCTGAGACTCAGGTATGATTGCAAAGCATTTTCGCAGTGGTTCCATGGCTGCGCTGAGTACTGGGACTCAGTACTGCCAGCTTTGATGTAGCTCGGATCAATCACCCTATCATGGCTGAGTAGGTCGTCCCCTGACGACAACGGATATTCTGACATTTCTCCCTCTTTCCAATGGGATACTACTACTGATTACGGAACCTTGAGAGCAAATACCAGAGCTGCCATGACCCCTTTTGTAGGAAACCGAAGTCACATTGGCGACATGCATACGCCACGCCACCAGCCCCCCCCCCCCCCCCCCCCCAAAAAAAGAGGTCAATTCCAATCTGTCGGTCACCAACTCCGTGCAGACCATGTCTGCTGCGGCTCTGATGAACTATAGAGCCTCGTTTTGGCCCCCGCACCAGCCATCATGGGGGCTGCAGTCAGCGTAGCATTAATCTGCCTCAACCAATCAAGGTGGTATTCGGTACTGAGACCACCAGATCGTAGCCAATAAAATTGGTTCAGTGACTGTTCTTTCCGAAGGGCTGTTGCACAATGCGTTTGGTGTCGTGAGACAATTGATTACTAGCAGCAGCCACGGTGACACGAATGAAGTCGGCTGGGGAAAAAAAGAATGAAGTCAAAGATCAGCCTCAGCATAATTCCTAAAATAGAGCATCACTTCTGGTATAACAGGTCCGGATATGGAAAATGAGCTCAAAAATTGCCGAAACAGCTCCAAAAATACAGAAATATACAACACTGGGCATTCGCTAGTGATCACCCACCCAAGTACTCATCCAGCGATGCGGTTTAAAGGCTTACTTATATGCCTTGACGCTGCTGATTATGAGCAACTTCGGTCCCGAAAAGGGAGCCACCGCATGCGGCGCTGAAGTGGACATCTGCTAAGCTCCGGACATGGCGTGAAGTTTGAGCCTAACGACTAGGCATCCTGGCTGCTCTTTAACAAGGTGTGGGCGATATTAGAACTGGAATTGAACATCTGGCTGATCAAGACGGCAAAAGAATTGTATTTAACAATAGTTTCATTAAGCCCTTTCCGACGAAGCCGAAAGCATAATGTAAGAAACCATGAACCTCAAGTGGACCAAGATGCGAACAACATTTCAGCGAATACGAGGTGATCACACCCGAGCCGCGCAAGATTTTATCCCCCCCCCCCCCCTCCCAAAAAAAAAAAAAAAAAAGAAAGCCGACTTTTTACCTATGGTGCTTAGCTCACACAGTCACAGTCTTGGAATGTATGAGCAATTTGATGGTACAAGACTCCACAGGATCCTATCTTCGTCCCTACCAGCAAATCACAGGTGAGTTGAAGCAAGACCTGTTAGATTAGTTACATTCCACCTGACAACCAGGCGGCTCCGGATACAACCAGAGGCAATTTATTTACGCACACCTCTAGTGCTACGAGGCTAAAAGCAGCGCGATCTCCCTTTGAGTCCGTAAGGAATACTTCAGGCTAGTCAACCGTATCTAGCGCCGGAATTGAGCCAGAGACCAGTGGAGTGCCCAGTGGCGATAGATGCCGAGCCAAGTCTGAAGCTGAACCTTGGAGGACGCAGTAGGAAATAGCTTCCATTTTATTTGAATTAGGAGGGTAAAATAGAAAATTTTATACGGACGGACAACAACACACACAGCCAGTATACGCCGCTTCCCTATCGAAGCCATGATATGTGGGATGCTGGGCGTCTGAAATTTCTGGGATCTGATTCCTGGATGTTCCGATCTCGACTGCCTCTTGCTGCATAATTTTAACTGGGCGCAAGTCTGTTAATGTCTTTACCAGGACTTGGCACTCAGCTAGCCTCTCAGACTCTGCCCTGCACCTGCTTGATTACTCAAGGAGGCTTTCGACGTCAAGTCCCAGCTGATTAAAGATCTGATCACAACATGACATCTGCTTGCGAGATACCATATCAAGAAGTGTGTCAATCTTGGATGCCATTTTGATTGATACTTGATGGAAGTCCTGTAGATTTATCTGCATTCGGACTCAAGTTTATTTGGCTTGTTTTGATGGGCGAGTTGAGCATGGTGCCTCATTCTTTCCTCCATCAATTTCATGCGCTTGCGCTTCTCTTTGATAAATGTCATCAACTGCGCTTTGTCCAATGCTCTTGATGAACCTGCATGAGCTACACGAGCAGGAATGTATCATTGAGGCAAACAGAAATATAAAGGAAATCAGGAGGCGATTTCACGTTTTCTATGGCGACTTGGACCACTGTGCGAAGACTTCTGTGAGCATTTGTCACCCCTAGGTAAAGATAGATTATGCTGCACTGCATCAACTTTTCACTTGTTCAGTCGCTAATACGGCGGTTCTAGTAGGCCATATCGTGACCTGGCTCTTCTAAAGCTGGTGGTACCCCAGCAGCTAACTTCTAATGGTTCACTGAAGCCTACCATGCTGTCGATACGTGAACAGGAACGGTTAAGTAGACAAGACGGCTTACTTGGGAAACGGCAGACAGCGATCCAGTGATCATGTACACGTTTTTATTATCAGTTGAAAAGATTGGCACCACATTGCTGTGCGTGTTGAGTGTGCAGTACAGACCGAAGAAAATCTTCTTCAAACGACCGGTTTTGGAGGCTGGACTTTCTTTCTGCTGACAGGAGCGTTGGCTGCAGAGTGATGCAGGAATCGAATACTAGTTAATTCCATGCAAAGTCGCGCCTAGTGATCTTCGGGTGAGTTCTGCAGAACCTGATCCATGACCGGATATTTGGCGGCTGCGATCTGAAACAAACACTTCTTGATTCGGTGTAAGGGTTCCCATCGTCGGAAGTTTGGTCGGGAAGTAGACTTGACTTTGACTCACACCTCATAGCGATCGGGTGGCCCTATATAAGGCGCACATTCCTTTGGTCCCCGAGTGCTTCCTTGTTTCTCTCGTTGTGAACAATGACGACCATCTTTGCACCCAGTCCCCGACCTATTTCATTCTGCGGCTCATCGAGATCAAGGCCATTGCTAAAGCTTCTTACGAGATTTGGCTATTGGCGCCCTCGGTACTCATGGTGGGGTGCTTGATTGGTAGACAGTAAATTTGCTGAATTGAGCTTTTCAAAATATTACAAAACGACACCTAGAGCGATATTACAATTAAGGTGGGTCATAATGAACCTTGTCGAATTAACTGTTGACACGTGTTATGCGTTAGAAAATATTGGGCTGCAGCCAGGTGCAGTTATGGCAGGGCCTCTGCGGCGCAGCGGAGGTCCCATCAAGGACAAATAAAGGGCATATAGTTTCACCTTCATCTGTATCTGATTCTTTTTTCGGGGTCAACGTACACCGGGCGGTACACATTACCTATAAAATTACATTTAATGGCGCATCTCCAGTGTTACGCTTACCCAGGTCGTGGTGTGGCACAGAGAGAGCGATGTTGGTACAGTCAGGCTGTTCGCATCGGAGATCGTATTGAATGTGCAGGACAAGGTGCAGACGACCCAATATTTGAGTTTATGTTTCGACATGCTAAGTAAATCCTATAGGCGGCTTTGATCCAAATACCGGTGTTTTCAATACTGAAATCAACGCACAAATTGACCAGGCCTTCGAAAACGTCCAGCTGGCGCTGACAGACGCGGGGGGGAAGGGCTGGTCACAAGTCTTCCGAGTTACAACTTACCATGTACCGATCAACGACGAGGCCATGAGCGCTGTTATACGTAACTTCAAGAAATGGATGCCCAACCACCAACCCATTTGGACATGCCTCGGTGTGGCTAGGCTCGCCAAAGACGACATGAGGGTGGAGATAGAGGTTGTCGCGCATGATCCGGATTCATAAAGCTAGGGATTCAGGTGGACAGCTCGGGTCGTACAATTTCCCGGTCGTGGAAAGATGGATATGATACGACACGAGTCGATAGCCAAAGTCTTTAGTATCAAATTGCTCCCCCAAGACGATGCATAATAGCGTATGAAGAAGCTTAGCAAACCCTATGAGTAGCGGCTAGACTTCAGCTGGGATGTCGAGTTACCACGCAAGATGTCCGTAGATGTCTGCTAAACGACCGCAAAAAAGAATTATGCAGCCAGCAGAGATGTTGTAATTTGAAGTGATCATCTGCTGTGTTGTTGGGGGTATCTGCAAAGCTTCGCCTATGGACGGCAGCATTATAACGACAGACTGAAAGGTGAGGATTTGCGGCAATGTATTAGATTTTATTGTACCAATGGTCGTCAAAGATAAGAACTGGCTGACACACATTTGAGAGGCCTGCCGATGATAGAGTAGCCAGCAGAACTGTCTTCCTCGCCGAGTTCTCCCTTGGTGGAGGATCATCAAGCGATACGCTGGTGGTATCAACATCGTCTTCGAGTTTTATCTGGCCACGTAGGTTCTCAAAAGATATCTTGCCTGTCTTTGAAGATGAAGAGCTGGAGGTTACGCTCATAGTGCCAATGAAAGTGTCGATGGTTCTTGACCACCAGCGAGTTAGGAGACTTTAGTGAGGGATCCTTATACCGATCTGAATATCCGCCGACAAGACACCGACCAGTGAAACTCAAGGCGGGTAATCGTTGGTGCCACATTTTCAAATTTTGGGGGACAATTCGACGTTCCTACTCAGGTTTTAGTTCCCGCCAATTAACACCTCTCACCGACCACTGTACCCTCGATGTATATCGATATTTTGCGACTGACCATATCAGACTACGCAATGGGCCAAGATAACTCTTGTTAATGGGAACGCCGGCTGAATGAACACCGAGCTCCTCATATGGCAAGTGCATTAGGCCCTGTCAGACTTGCACTGGAACGAACTGTGCAGCACGGGTTGATCGCTCTATAGGTCGAAGGTGTTCCATTTGGTTCTGTATACGGTGGAGACATAGCACAATCCTCACAAAGAGTGATGCAGAAGACGTGTTAAAGCGTTTGGTCCGTCGCCGCAAATCTGATATTTCAAAAATTGCAGTTTTCAAAGCGGTGAGACTAGGGCCTAGGAGCCGCGCAGATGTGTGGTCAGAACACTTGGAAGTTCTCAGCCATGACTAGTACTTTCATGCAAGTATGTTCATCAAAGTGGCCGCATTTTTGCCTCAGGGCTTGGCTTTCGGAGAGGAGCACTCGTTTGAATGCGAAGTAACAAGAATCCAGGAAAGAATCAGACGGGAGGTGGACAGTGCGGAGAACTGTATGTATTGATACAATACAGGTTATGTTGCACATTCATGAACGAGATGGAAAGTAAAAGTCTTAAATCTCATGTTTTGGACTCTGCGGTGTCTTCCGTGGGAAATGAATTGACTCTACATCTACAGGTCAGACAAATGCAGATACTCGTTCTCCAAAGAGGCACCCTCTGAATCCAGTAGGAGTGCCTCATCAACAATATATCCGACGCTGTCTCCCGTGTACTGCTTCATATACATCCGCCCAGGACTCCCCGGTACTGAGTACGTGGGATTGTCCGCGAGTGCACGCAGCCCGGACGGCATCCCCGCTCCAGCGCCGCGGTACCGCACGCCGCTCACGCGATATTTTCCTCCGAAGTATCGCAGCGTAAAGTCAAATCTGCCGACACAATGTTGCAAGACGTCCTGTCTCAGTCGAAGCGGATAGAAGAAAAGTCTGGAGAAGTCCGCCACAGTGATGGCTTCAAGCATCGGCAGGCGCTCCGCGACGAGCAACTTGAGTAGGTTTCGCAAGCCATCATCTGACATGACACACTTCACGAGGGAGAGAAACTTTAAACTGTCCTGGAACCGAGCGACGGCGTTGCAGAGAGTTTCTGGAGGGACGCGTAATGTGTCGCGGAGACTCAGTTCGCTGAGAGCTGGCACCTGAGAAGCCTCCGCTAGTTGGTGGAAGAATGCTTTTCTGACACCGTCTGGCGCTCCTGGAAGTAGAAGCTCCTATATTTGGCGCGATTTTCCGTGGTGACAAGTGCCATCATGGTACTGATATTCCCCTGGCGTATCCCCCAGGTAATGTTAAGCTGCCGAAAGATGGGTGCCCATCGAGGATGGGCCAGGAAGTCATCCAGCCACAATGTGGCCTAAGGGTCACGGGCGGCGGCACCAAATCTTTGGAACTAGATCTTCAGCTTTATAACACGAAGTCCATCATCTCCGCCCAAGAGTGACCACATCATGTATAAGGCATACAAAGGGCCGATACTGTTACTATTACTAGTGGCACTTTCTGGTAGCATATCTAGGCTATCCGTTACGCGAATATCGACACAGAGCGTAAAGCGACCCAGCAAGGTCCTGAAATCTTTCACTGGGTGTGAAGTAAGGTTGAGGCTGACATTTTCGAGCCGTTCCCAGTCATGTCCCTCCCCTGATCCCTGAGTCTGTCGGTCGTCTGCATAATATCCCAAGGATCTCACTCTGGGGGGCCTATAGCAATCGCCTACCCGCAAGCAACGAACTACCGGCGCCAACTGCTGATGTGGGGCGATATTGGTGAGCCAGTGTAGACTGCGTGGTGTGAAATCGATTGTTAGAGTGCCGAACAAGGTGGTAGCGAACAGCCGCCACGCGGAGTTACATAGACGCCTGCAAACACCAGGCACCACGAGAATGTCGGTCCTGTCCTCTAAATTACGAGCAATGCTTTTCTTGAGTTCCACCCTCAGTATGCCAATAATTTTAGTGGCGCGAAGTCTTTGGATGCAACCAAATGTGGTGCCAGCTCAGACCTACAGGATGAACGTCTTCTGAGTTACGGGCCCCCCACTCCCGCAATTCAACCGTGCTTATCATGGAGGACGGAGTGGCGTAACGCCTTAGTGACAGTCTGCTTGCTTTTAATGCTACCCACCCTGACACACCTGTGAATGCGTTCAGCTACGATCCGTAATCCTTCATAGATGTGCAGCCGCATCCCACAGCCTCGCCCCCGAGATCACCCCGCAGCATCGCTCTGCTGCTGACGAGCTGTCGCTCTACTTCCCTCAACATACTTGGCCGATTGCACTTGAGAATCGGCGCACTGGGTTGGGCATCATGAGACTGCTGAACACTAGAACCGGAGAAATCAGGGAATTCTACAGCGAGGACGCTCCAAAGAAGTATGCCGTGCTATCTCATCGATGGGGCCACCCAAGGCAGGAGGTTTCGTATCAGGAGTGGGAGCATAGATCGTCCCGCATCGAGGTGAGGTCTCGCCAGGGATTTCAGAAGATCGAGAAATGTTGTAAGCTGGTCAACAGCGAGCAGGAGGGGGAGAAAGATGAGAACAGTAAAGTGGAATGGGTTTGGATAGACACGTAAGTGTTTTCTTCCGCACGGTCACCCGCATTGCATCCGGCAGGAGTCATGATTATGTTAGGACAATCCACTCGTCAAGATTGGGGATTTTGCCCTTAATTTCATGCGGTCACTGACGTCACAGGTGCTGCATCGACAAGAACAGCAGCCAAGAACTGTCCGAGGCAATCAACTCGATGTTTCGTTGGTATGAAGAGTCCTCGGTTTGCTACGTCCACCTAGACGATTATGCAAAAGATACATTAGACCTTCATGCACTTAGAGAGTGCAAATGGTTCTTACGCGGCTGGACGCTACAAGAGCTGATTGCTCCACGGGATGTCAAAATCTATAATAAGGATTGGTCATATCTCGGGGCAAAAAGCGATACCGAGATGTGCAAAGCCATCTCGGAAATCACCAGCATCGATGAGAGCATTCTTCTCCACAAAGTCAGTCATGGTTCGGCAAGCATTGCGAAAAGGATGTCGTGGGCTTCTAAAAGAGTGACCACACGCACTGAGGATACAGCTTACTGTCTACTGGGACTGTTCGACATCAATTTGCCGCTCCTCTACGGCGAAGGCCCGAAGGCTTTCAAGCGACTGCAAGAGGAGATTATGAAAACGTACCCCGAAGATCATTCGCTCTATGCATGGGGAATTCCTGTCGAGAAGTTCTCTAATCATATTGAGAATATTCAGGATGAGTTCGACAAGTTCCTGCCTGCAACTTCCGAACCGCTATACGGGTTGCTGGCTGAATCACCAAAAGACTTCGAGTTTTCTGGTAATTTTGCGCCAATACATTTCGCGGAGGCTTTTTACGTAGCAGTTGATCGTGCGCATAAGAAGGCAGACCCACCTCTCGTTCTCGGCAGTCAGGTGAGAATTGAACTCCCATTCTCCAAGTCGATATCTTTCCATTACTCGTTGGGCGAGCCACCAGTCTCCCAATTGCGCTGGGGGATCAGTGGGATGCTCCTCTGTAATGATGACCGAGACAAATCCGCGGGAATCTCTCTGCCCCTGCTTTTGTGGGGTTCAGGGCAATACAGCCGATATAAAGAGCTGCAGATTCTTCCGCGTTATTGGGTCGGCAAAGACTCTCACAATATTAAGAGTAACACATCCACAATAACCGTTGCTAAGGAGAGGAAGCCTGAACTTGCATCTGGAGACATCATAATCCGTCGCATGCATGACTGCCGGACGTCAATCGCCAACAAAAACAAAGAAACAATCTTCATAATCACGAATTCAAGTTTGCCGGTTCAAAGAGACCGGGCCGAAATCATCTATGTTGAGCCAAGTCTCACCGGTAATTTCTCCGGTATGATTTTTTCCGCAAATTCCAAAGAGCTGGCCTTCGTTATTGGACGTATTCAGGAGAAAACAGACGACCATCCGCAATTGCAGGTGGGCCTTATTCCCAAAGCCAATCCCGGAACCAGTTGCTTCGAAGGAAGGTACATATGGAACAGAGTGCTTAGAAACCGCACCGACCATGTATCTGTAGACATAGATCTGTTTAGTGTGCTCAAGATCGACTCTGAGCGGCACGAACTACCTGGAGAAGATGGCGGGTTCATCAACACATTGGATATTACTATCCGAGACAGCCTATCCGCCGTGGAGCAATGGCACCTGGGGCAGAATTCTAGCGGAAGCTCATATTCTAGTAGTGATGGCGGCACAGGCGTGATAAGTGAAGATAGCTCCGGCGAGGACGAGCATAGTGACGGCCGAACTCAGTTGGAGATGATGGCGGGGGGGCAGAACACATTAGTCATCCGTGAGGTAAAAACTAGAACTGATCCAGCCGAAGTTTTTAACGATGGAACGACTGAGGAGGAGGTCGCTGATAAAGCCGCCACAGGTGGAGGTTCAGATGTCGCAGAATAATGGAATCCCACCGACGAGCATTTGTCATGTGTCAGGTCTTCTATTTGTTATGAGAAATACATGGGACTTCTGAATATTAATACTCAATCTACATATAAAATTACAGCGCTAACAGAAGAGCAGCTAAAGCTGTATCACAAGAGCATCAAGGTAGCATTGAAAGAAAGTAAAAGCCTCGGTAACCGCGAGCGTTCGACGCTGAAACGTGCAATCCTGTCAGTTCCCCTCTCAATGACCCCCTGTTGCACCCGATTTGTTTTGATTAACTTCGCAATAAGTATTATTCAATAAACTTCAAAGGCCCCTATTTTCGCAACGATTGGATGTAATTTTGGACCCAAACGTTAAGTTTCCATTACTCTCATTCCCCGTATTTTCTATATAAAGAGTCTGCAATTCGGAAGCCACATCAAGCATCAGGCATCCCGAATTAAGGTCTCGAGAATAGGTCTACAACAAGAACACCATACGTTTCAGTGCATGAAGCTGAATAGTATGTCGAGACTAGGGAAACCTTTTCTCAGTACGGTTCATGAGCTTTCAATCAGCGAGGTGTATCAGCTACAGCTGCACCAAGCCCATTATAATGTCTCAAATGACGCATTTATTTTCACTACCTCTACTTCTACCTCTTCAACGTCTTCTGCTTCTCGGCACCGCGGCGCTCCGCCCGGCCCTCGACCAAAAGCCCCTTCTTGCGGCGGACGCCGTCCATGTAGCGCTTGGCAACGTTCTCCTTGTCGGCCAGCTCGCCCAGGTCCTCGAGGTCGTCCTCGGTGAAGGGCTGCCAGAAGGGGTCCTCGTCCAGGATGTCGTAGCCCGTGAAGATTAGCTGAGGCTGGGCGGCGCCCGATGTGCGCTTGCGCATGTCGTCGGCGAAGCCGAAGGACTCGGCCACGGGGAGCACCGACGAGATGGTGAAGAAGGGTGTGCCCTCGTTCATGGCCTCGGCGATGACGCGGCCGCGGCGGCGGGTGAGCACGTCGTAGACCCGACCAAGAACCTCGGCTGAAATGGAGTAAGTATGTGCACTTGGTTACCAAAACACAGGCGCTGGGGGGAGAGGGGGAAGGAAGAACTTACTGCTTGCTTGGATCTCACAGGAGTACATGGCCAGCATCAACCGGGGCGACCAGTCCAAGAATCCCTGGCGGATGGACTGCTGCACCGTCTTGATGACCTCACCGGTAAGCCTACCGAGTCTGTCTCGAGCTGACGCTTCTTCCTCGGTGGATGTCACAGTGACATCCTCAATGGTCACTGCGATGCCCTGCACAGGCTCGTGGCATAGTGGGCCCTGGTTGGTTGCCAGCTGGAAAGCATAAGTGATCTTGTCACACAGATGAGCTGCGCTGAGAGTTTCATCAGCTGCTGGCTTATCGTTTTCGCTACTGGCAGCGAAAATCTTGGAAAATATGCCGTCCTTAGTAGCATCGAGGAGGAGGTTGGGACCTATTCTGCGTGGACCAAACGCGGCGATGCTGTCGACCGAGCCTTTCCAGACCTCTCGGCCCTTGCCTTTGTCAATAGTGGCTTGGAGCTGTGTCTTCAACTCCTCAAAAGATAGTCCTTTGCCTTCCAGGATGTCGTCATCGGCCTCGATTGTTTCCTGTTCTTCAATGTCGCCAATACTGGTATCGGCGTCGTCGCGGGCGTTGCGTTCCGAGTAGATTCGCTTAATGGGACCCGAGTTCTTGAGGAGGAATTCCGTGACCTTGCCAGACAAGGGTTGCACTCTCAATGTAATACTAATCTGTTTGGAGCTTGTCACGCCAATGACCGCGCCACGTCCGAGCTCTTTATTCGCCTGCGGCTTCATCTCATCAGCTCTGACAATTGTCTCCCTGTATGGCACGATTGGTGCTCCTGCCTGAACATCACATCTGGCAAACCTCTCCTTCAGATCCGTGAGGCATCGCTCCAGGTGAAGCTCTCCAGCCGTAATCAGCACATGCTCACCGCTTCCGAATTGCTCGTACTCGGCACAGGGATCGCTCTGCACAAGTAGTTTCAGGCCATTGATCATCTTGTCCAGGTCGGCTGGGTTCACAGGCTCAAGCGCTACTCGCACAATGGGTTTACCTGCCATGTTGACGCCCGCTAGGTTCACAGAGCCTTCTAATTGACTGCAAAGCGTGCCGGACTTGAGGATGTGTCCTTCAAGACCGCCAATACCGAACACAACTCCAGCCGGGACCGAGGGAAGTGATTCCAGATTTCGACCCATCAACATGTACAGCGCCGTCACAGTCACCTTCTTCGGCTCCGGTGAAGCATGCGGGTGAGCTGGAGAGAACTTTGGTGGTAGGACGTAGAGCTCGTCCCCAACAGAGAGGGTGCCAGAATACATCCGTGCAAACCCGATCAAATGTTCGGGATCGGCTTCCTTTTTCTCGGGCTCCGGCACGATATCATCCAATGTCGTGCTATCCAGAGCGCGGGTGAGGTCGCCCACCCCATTCGTTTCAGAGGCTTGTGCTCTCGCCAACTCTGCGCGTTTCTTTCTTGCAAGCTCGCGAGCCTCCTCCGGGCTAAGCTGCCCAACCTTTCGCTTGTTTTGAGGCATTTCGCTCTCAGGGACGGACACCATTTTGCTCACGTAAGCTACCACAGGACTGGACTTTGAGGTCTTGAAGTTGACCATGGCATCCTTGATCGTGAGGTCGATGTGGGTAGAGCCTGGGGAATCTTCTAACAGTTCTGGAAGTCGCTCCGCTTGCGCTGCGATAGGCGAGGGTAGAGATTCGACCACAGAAACAAGTAGGGCTGTTGATAAGGGCAGCCAAGAAGCGAAGACGGTGCTCTGGAGTAGCCGAGGATCCCTTGACCGGGCGATGTGAGGGGGTATGGTGATGTTAAGAGACTTGGTGATCTTCTCCAACAGGGACGGATCACTAGGAAGAGTATTAGTACATATGAGAGCGTTGATTACCGGGTTACTCACCCCCTTCCGCTGTCACCACCAGTCGTGGCAGCATAGACAGCCCAGATCTGCTCGAGGACCAGCTGGACGAACATGGGCTTCAGGTTTCGGCCCTTTAGATGTTTTCGGCCGAGGACCTTCTTCGTCTTTGGATCCAGGTAGAAGTCACCCCAGAGGACCTTTTCCATGATATTTCTCTTGATACCGAGCTTCTTCTCGTACAGACTGGCGAACTGGCGTACAGTAAAAGCCCACCCGTCAATTGCACTGCTGAAAATGACGTTGTTCTTTTCCGGCGCGAAGTAGATCTCCTCGTCGTCTCTTTCTTGGAACTGCAACTCGTCCGTCTCGGTCGCCTGGCTTGCGAGCTCGGCCTCCTTTGCAACAGCAGCGGCTACCCTCTCGTCCATTCGCTCACGCCAGTTCAAATCTTCTTCCATGCGCTCGCCCTGGAAGAAACTACCCAGAACGACGTTGACCTGCTCGACCAGCTTGCTCAGGTGAAGGTATGCCTCGCCAGGCGTCATCTTCCACTCCGTGATCAAACGGTCCATCTTGTTGATTACCAGGATGGGCTTCAACTTCTCTATCCACGTCTGGCGCAGCACGGTGACGGTCTGACTGCAGACACCTTCCACGGCATCTACCAGCACTATGGCGCCATCGCACAACCTCGATGCCGTCGAGACTTCACTGCTGAAATCGATGTGACCAGGCGAGTCGATGAGATTGATCAGATACTCCTTGGGAACGGGGGCTGCGTCCGGGGCTGATCTCCGGAGCATGGAAAAGTACAGCGAGATGGCCGAAGACTCCATGGTAATGCCTCTGAGCTGCTCATCCGGTCTCGAGTCCAGGTACCGGATCTTGCCAGCCATCTTTGGGGAGATGATGCCGTTTGTGGCGATGAGGGCATCTGTCAGCGAGGTCTTGCCATGGTCTACATGCGCAAGAATACATATCTAGGTGGTTGTCAGGTTTCATGTCCATAGTGGAAGTCATGGAGAAGGGAGACATTACGTTCCGGACATCGTCGGCCTTGGACTGGAGACCAGCCAGCTTCTCGGGGCTAACGACAGGCATGGTGATACACTGCGTTGGAGGAGGGCCTAAGATAGGGGAGAACTGCCTCACTGCACGCGAGACACAGGCTCAGGCTAACAGACACCTGGGACTTCAAGAGCTTAGGTTGTGAGTCCAGACGACCTGTGCTGTGACTGCACTCTGTCTGCGGGTCTACTTGGGATCTGGGATGTGCTGAGGTTCAGCTGGTCTCGTCTGGGGTCACAGGATTTGGGTATATGGACTGCCCAGGACAGTGCTCGCTCGTCTCTATGTATGATTCTGCGCCTGGTGATGGTGACTAATAGCAGGCCACGGTCAGCTACCTAGGTATGGGAGCTTTTTTTCATTTTCTTCGGCCGCAGTTGGGCAGTGACGTCTGGGTTGCCCCACCTCGACGGATGGCTCATAATGATTTCGGGGGTCCAGGTCTCGCCTCACCATGAATACAGCTGGGGGATAATTTATGCTACGCTGAAGACCAATTCAAGATGCTGATTGGAGCATCGTCTGTGATTCGTAATTCGGAAAGAGAGACACACTCTCCGGTCCTGACGGACTCACCGGCTGTGATCAAACGCCGCCTCGCGCGTCCTGTTACAGATCTGAACTACATCTAACGCCGAGTGAAGGAGGGGCAACATGTCAGTTCCATAGCAGCCCCTCGACGACCCCGCTCTCACCACCTGCAGACACCCAGTCGAGTACAGTCGAAGGGAAAGACAGGGGAGACGGGCGCTAGATAGACCAGAGGGGCCAGAGGGGCTGGAGGGGTACAGGTTGGGCGACGATAACGATTAGGGACCCCTTCCACAGCCACAGCCATACCTAGGATGCCAACTGAGGAACTGAGGGGCCACAAAACCCTAATTTCGTTGCCCGCCAAAACTTCGGCAGGGTGGGCAGCAGCAATTTTCGCAGCCCGCCAGCCGCAACGTCGTGATCGCGCGCCCCTCTGTCAAAAATCGTCCAGCGGCGGGGCCTGACACGACCACCAAACCACCCAACGCACCCCCCAAAGCCGACATGAGCGCCTTTCAGAACGGCGAGCGGCCCATCCGCTCCATGGGCGACGACAGCGACGTCGAGGAGGAGGCCCTGGTCAACGACTACAAGGAGCAGGTCCAGTACGAGGATGGCATGGGCGACGAGCTCGAGCGCGTCAGCTCCATGACCATGGCCCAGCAGACCGACGACATCCAGTCCCGCCTCGTCGCCGCCGCCCAGCCCCTGGACTTCTCCGCGCCCCTCGAGGTCAAGTTCCAGAGCTACGACGCTTACTGCAACCTCTTCCACTTCATCCTCAACTCCGAGGGCCCCGTCGACCTCGAGCCCCCGTCGGTTAGTTGGCCCCCGAGCCCGAGCCCGAGCCCGAGCCTGAGCCCGAGAAATGCCGTCCCGCGAACCCTGACCTGGCTAACCATCGAGAATCTCTAGTACTACTGGGCCTGGGATGTCATCGACGAGTTCATCTACCAGTTCAACTCCTTCTCCTCCTACAGACTGCGCCTCGCGCGCCAGCCCAGGGACAACGAGGAGGAGCGCCAGATCCTCAAGGAGAACCCCAACACCTGGGGCTGTTACAGCGTGCTCAACGTCCTCTACTCCCTCATCCAGAGATCGCAGATCACCGAGCAGCTGGCCGCCATGAAGCGTAACGAGGAACCCATGGCCGTCGCGGGCGAGTACGGCTCCAAGAACCTGTACCGCATGCTGGGATACTTCTCCATCATCGGTCTGCTGCGTGTGCACTGTCTTCTCGGAGACTTCAGCCTCGCCCTCAAGACCCTCGACGACATCGAGCTCAACAAGAAGGCCATGTTCGCCCGCGTCATGGCCGCTCACTTCACCACCTACTACTACGTCGGTTTCTCCTACATGATGATGCACCGCTACGCCGATGCCATCCGCATGTTCAGCCACATCCTGGTCTACGTCTCGCGCACCAAGAACTTCCAGAAGAACGCCCAGTACGACTCCATCACCAAGAAGAACGACCAGATGTACGCATTGATCGCCATCTGCGTTGCCTTCCACCCCACCCGTCTCGACGACACCATCCACACCGCCCTGCGTGAGAAGTACGGCGACCAGCTCCTGAAGCTGCAGCGCGGCGGCCCCGACTCGCTCCCCATCTTTGAGGAGCTGTTCCGCGCTGCCTGCCCCAAGTTCATCTCCCCCGTCCCCCCGGATTTCGACAACCCGGAGGCCAACGTTGACCCCATTGACCACCACCTGTCGGTCTTCATGGACGAGGTCAAGACCAACATGTGGAACCCCACCGTCCGATCCTACCTGCGCCTGTACACGACCATGGACCTGAAGAAGCTCGCTGGTTTCCTGGAGGTGCAACCTGAGGAGCTCCGCTCGTTCCTCCTGGTCAACAAGCAGCGCACCAAGCAGCTGCGCTGGGCCGACCAGGGCCTGCTCGATGGTGAATGGGTCAACGTCAGTGACCTCGACTACGCCATGCAAGGGGTACGTATCTCCTTCCCTGCCCCGATTTCGCTTGACCAACCAAGCTTTTCTGTGCTACGGTCAAGCTTTTCGTGCATCGATGTACTAACCAAGACATGCAGGACCTGATTCACATTTCCGAGGCCAAGGTCGGACGCAAGTTGGTGGACTGGTATCTGCGCAACCTGTCGCGGACATACAACTAGAAGACTGATGGAGACCCGTTTTCCTCTTGTCGAGAGGAGGGTTTATGAGTTCTCGGCAGTTCGTGTTCGGACGAGCGAGAATGGTTACACAGGGACGTGTTCATTCCTGTTTCTCTGTTTGCATTGCACAGGCGTCAAGGGGGAAACCAAACCAAACGGGCTGCTGGATGAAGTGTGAAGGAAATCCGGCAAAAACTGTTATGGGCTGTCATGATGATCGCCTCGGATAGATACTATGAATAAGCAGAAACGATAATAACCCAGCTGCAGTTCTCGCGTGACACGACTACTAGGCCAGCCCAATCCAGAGCAACCTACTGCTGTTTCTTGTGTTTGTCTACCTGTTGTAGCGAGGTCGAGGTAAAGGCTGGCAGGACGTAGGCAATTACAGCCTGCCATGCTTACTACACCTAAAACGCCACTTTTTATGTATGTACGTATGTGTCACATCGGGCATAGGATTCTGTACCATCGCGCTGGGTTCCTCCTCGCTTAACCGACCACCAACGGCCATAGCTTCCTGCAGAACGCAACCAACGAGCGGCCACGAACCCTTTCCAGGGCGCGCAGAATCGGTCGTCATCTTATCTGATTTTTCTGACTCACGCCAAGCGTGCAGACGGCAGATAGTCATGCATACCGCCGCAGCCTGGGCTGACTCTGGGGCGCGCTGGTTGGTCGAATTGCCTGGCAGCCGGGCCGCCTTGCGATGAAGTTTTCTTCTTCTTTGGTTGGATCTACGGCGTGCCGTTGTTCGAGTGGTACTGGAAGAGCTGCTCGCCCTCTTCACCGACAAGGTAGCTATATCCCACCATACATGCTGAGCTAGGCTCCCGGGCAGCTTACGCGACATGTCATGATTGCTTTTTCTTCCCTGTCTCCCTTGTTAGAAGGACGGTTGTTGGTTGACGGGAGAACCAAACAGGTTGCGTCTGCCTTGCATGGCGGCGGCAGAGGCCGCTGCTATCATGACATGATCACGGTGCCGCCGGTTGGCTCGAGATGACGATGTTGGAGCGGGCTCGCGGCCTGGTCTGGCAATCCATGGCACAAAGGACGTGATGGATGAGTCGCGGTGGAAATAGGCTTCAGCCTGCAGCATGCCAAGATATGCTACAATCGGGGAGAGGCGTGCCCGTGACACCCGCTGACAAACGAGCTTGTGTCTCTTGCTCTTGGGTCTGTGATATGTAGTGTGTGACCTGTGGATCTGTGAGAGATATCTCATTTAATAAGATTCAGAGCAGGCGAAGAATGTTTTTAATTTCTAGGGTTTAGGACGGGAATGAGCAGTCGTAGTATTCTCAGATTGGTAATGCATGAGACTACACGGGACTGAGTTAAGTGAGGTCGTATTCCTTTGCGAATCCACGGGCAGGCTACTGTCGGTCTGCGCTGTATAATCACACATGGCGTACCATAGGATCTAGTCTAGGTATGCACTATACATACTTCCTCGAACATATGCGGCCCGTTGACTCAGCACTTGGCTGTATACTTACAGCATCTACGCTTGGCCTCGAGGGCCCTAGCGGCGCTCCAATGGAGTCCCGCCGCTGCCCCCGACGGTCCGGCACTTCCATTCTGGACTCACCTACACGTGCTTGTCGGAACCGGCACAGTCGGCTAATGCGGTTCTGGAGATCCATAGTCGTGCATGTCGTGGTGACCTCAAGGCGTCACTCTTGAGGTGCCGAATTGCCTGCCAGCAGTATTTCTTGCACGTCGGAGTTTCAAGGGCAGATCGCTTACCATTTAGGGATGGAAGCTCTGCAAGCTCTGTTTGTCACGTCGAGGAAGCCCGGGGAATGGGTGAGTGCTCTAGAATGTGAATGGATGCAGGTGGGCGGGTAGGTCCGTTAACGTCATAACTCCCGAGGTCTGGGGTTGGGGACTAGCGGCCTTGTCGTGTGTCCTTGTTTTAGCGATATCGACTTACGAAATGGCCGTCGACGGTCGAGCTCCTCTTCAAATATTCTGGCCCGGCCAAGAGAGGAACCTTAGTATCCACCGGCAGGCCAGGTCGGGATAGCATCGTTTCTCCGCGAGATGAGCTCCTCGTGGTCAGGCTGGCATTCATCTCGTTCTGCCCACTTGCCGCCTCTGCAGATCAGTCACGCAGAGAGTTTCCTGGGTGTGCAGCCTAGACGACGCAGTGTAATGACTTGGCAGAGTCGCCAAGCTCGCCAAGGACCCCAAGATGTGAATCCCGAGGGCTGGCTCGCCGCCCGTGGGCGTGGTGAGCCCGCATGCCCCCCGGCCTTGGTATCTCTTGGTGTTTGTGACTGCGTTTGACCAGTGTGCAGCTAAGGGAGCCCTCCCCCCCGAGAGTACCCCAAGGCTCTGAAACGATGTTTCTTCATCGAGCCCCAGGTGTCAGTCGACGGTCTAGATGCATCGCATCGTATGGTGGGAATAGGCCGACCTCATATTGTGGCCAGACTATCTCACCTCTGTACCCCCCGTAAGCCTCGCGCAGATGTCGAACCATGTCTCTTACGGCGTGCCGGCAGGCAGGCAAGCAGGCAGGCAGGCAGGCAGGCAGAGGGGCTGAAGGGGGGAAGTCGACCGCCCCCCTTGCGATAGACATCAGGATGGTCTTGGCCAGGCATGGGTCGTGACGATGGATGGACTAACTACACACACATGCTGCGTTTAATTGCATCGCAAGGTCCTAGCCAGTCCGTCAGGTTGGGTGCAAATCAGCCCCCCGCCAGTGCTAGCCTCTTGGCTTTTCCCCTAACGTGCAGCCCAGTCTGTAAGGTTGCCTCTCAGCAGCAATCCCATGCCAGAGGCCGATTCTCGTTCAAGATGTAAGGACCTCGCAAACTCCCCCGTCCCCCTCCGCCTCTTCCTCCGAGAGGCCTGCTGCAAACCGCCGTCGAATCAGACAGTTCCTCACTGGCATCATACGCCCCGGAGCATTGTGCCACGGAACGGATAGCCTGCGCCTTCCTGATCCATCCTGCCGTGTCTCGATACTGACTGGAGAGCTCGTCTGCTCTGCAGCCCCGGCAGCTACCACACCCACACACCAACCCAGTATATCCGCATTTGCGTGCTGTCTGGAGACGCAGCGACAGCCATTATTACATTGCATTACATTGGATGCAATATACATACCTAAGATAAAGACTCGCAGCTTCCCGCCCGCAGCATTCCATCTTCCCGCCATAACCGCAGCATCGGACGATTTTCACCCCCCACGACTCCCCCAGAGCCTTCCGACCCTGCTGTAAGGAACTTCTCGAACGCCGTGCAACTCCCGGAGAACGTGGCCAGGCCGACACGTCTGACTGGATCGCCGAGCTTGCAAGACAATACTTGAGCCTTCGCTTCATTCCTTCTAGGTTCCTCACCGCGTTTTCGCATACTGCTCCACTCGGTACCTTGCAGCTGGTTCCGGGCCCTTTAGCTATCGAAAGTAGCAAAAGAAAAAAAAAAAAAAAGATAACCCAGGGTGGGCAGAAGACGCGACTTGTGACGACCGACAACCCGGATTCCTCCAGTTCTACTCGGTTTTATTTCTCTTCCACGCTTCCTTTCGCACGTTTGCGCAAATCGCCCGCTCATTCAGCTTCAGCCGACAACTGTCGCCCGATTGTATTGTGCGCCCGCCCGCACCAGAGCATCTTACCAGCGGCACATCGAGCCTGTCGCATCTTGCACCCCGACAACAGCCGGTCGAGCCAGTGACGTCGTCCACCACTACCGGCGCCAGGTAGCCTTCCAGCTCTATAGTGAGCTTGGTGTGTCCTCCACCTACCAGATGTTGGACGGTACGAAGCTGCCTCCTCCGCCCTCTCCTTGAGGCAACGTGAGTCAGGTATAAAGCATTCGTATCGTTTGTATCTCAATACGGAACACGACTTGGATTCATCACACCACACATATCAGCCACCATGTCTGAAGGCCTGGAGACTCCACTGCAGAGCCCGGAGAGCGGCGTCTCGCCAAAGTCACAGCCGACCCCGAAGCAGGCGGACTACTTCCCCGGCGACAAGCAGCCAGAAACGACGACAGCCCCCGGCGATGACAGCGACGATCTGCCGGAACACACCGAAGCAGGCGCTTCCATCATCGAGGTGGCGGCCGGTGCGCAGCTCGACACGAAGGGCAAGGACAAGGAGATGGACAACGATAGCGACGCGAGCGCCACCACGCCGGGCGACACTGCACCTAGTCCGGGCAGCAGCAGCGAGCCGCCCTCGAGGAAGATGTCCATCTCCTCGGTTACTTTCCGCCAGCCGTCCAACCCATCGCTGCCGCAAGGTCTGAAGAAGAAGCCACTTGATGCCGCTCGTAGGAGAGACGCTTCTCCGCCACATCGTAGGTAAGTGATAGGGATACTTTTCATCGCCTAGCCGTTCGATTTCTACTTTTTTTTTGTGTTGGGCGCATTCCTGACTACATTGATGCGCGATTGTGCGCAATGATCACAAACCATGGAGGCACAAGAGGGTTGCGGCGGGCGGCTCTGGCCGGCAATGCTCTGCCCAGAGGAGCCTCAAGTGAGGTTAAGCAAATCCAACGTGGTCGCGTGGGATGACCCTTGGCCGGAACTACCCCAAGATGCATCGCGGCCCGCTGCGGTCTCGACACTGGGAATGGGAACGCTAGTGCCCTCTTGGGCCACTGCTGCACGATTATTCTGGGGCGGCACTGATGCTTTCGGGTTCACTTGCGACCAGCCCATCGTTTATTTGTGTGAGGGGTCGTCACATGTTCTGTCCTGCACCACCCCCGACCAGGCAAGGTCCTGGTACGTGAGTGGATCACGAACCCAAAGCGCAGCATCTCCAGATCCTGTAGCCAGCTACCACCTTACGAGCTTACCTGCGCCGACTTGCCGTCAGCCGCGCCGCCTGGCCACGGGGGAAGCTCTATGCCAAAGATGGACGAGCGCCGCCGGAAGCTGGTGCTATCGCCAAGCTGGGTTGCCTCCCTGGGCCCTGGCCGTGACCCGCCAGGGGCTGCAGCAAGCACTCCTCTTCCCAACGCACACACTGAGCAGCACCATAACACACCACGCCGTTTCCCCGCTATCTAATCACCCCACCTCCTCTTGAGTCAGCCCAGTCTTGCCAGTGGTGAGGTGCAGGCCCGGTGGGGAGAAAGGGTCACCCTTACCACTGACGTACGGTAGCCTGCGAACCACGGCGTACCGTGCAGCGGCGAACAGACTGGGGCCAACGAACTCTACTCTCGCTCGTCGACCGCTTTGGCTTCATTCCTCCAATCTCACGAAAGCCGCGCATTGGTAAAGTTGCCGTGCTACGGTGCGCTCCCTGCTTAATAGTAGATGTCTTAAGATCTTCTCTCGTCATTCCTCTTCCTCTACCCCGCGAAATACCGATTAGCCTAGGACCCCTCGCGCAGCGTCATTTGCGCCGATGGCGACGGAAATAGAGACACTGACCGAGCCGTCCGATAGATTCCAGTCCCACGTCGCATTCGACAACATCCCATTGGGCGAATCGACCGACTTCAATCCCATCGCTTTCACGCTCAATGCCAAACATGCCGGTTACCAGTCGAGCCGGAGGAGTCGTACGTTCATGGTCGGCGTCGACGACAATGCGTATTCCGACCATGCGCTTCAGTGGCTGCTCGAGGAGCTTGTGGACGACGGCGACGAAGTGATCTGCGTTCGCGTGATTGAGACGGCCACTCGCCTGACGAATACGGCATATCAGGAGCACGCGCAAGCCCTAATGGACATCTGTCAGTCAAAGAATAAGAAGAACCTGGCCATATCACTCGTCGTCGAGTATGCCGTTGGGAAGCTTCACAACACTTTTCAACATCTGGTAAGACCGCTGAAGGAATAACCCCCATTTACCCTCCCCCGAACTGAGCTGACTCGCTACTGTAGATCAAGATTTACCAGCCATCTATGCTCATCGTCGGGACCAAGGGACGCAGTCTTGATACTGTCTCGGGACTTTTCGTAAACCGCAGCTCGTTCTCCAAGTACTGCCTCCAGTACTCGCCTGTTCCTGTTGTTGTCGTGCGCCCTACTGAGAAACGCGAGAAGAAGCGGATCAAGCGGGCTCAGGACCCCTCGCGTCAGAGCTACCTTCACATGTTACCTGGCAATAAGCATGAGGCCGACAGCGAGAACAGTAGTGTTTATGAGCTTGAGCCGAATCTGACCGCTGACGAGGAGGCCCACCGCGTTGCAGTTGCAAATGGCCTCCCTGCGAAGTACGATCCCACTATCAAACCAATCGATCCAAATGTTCTTCTGGGCCGCAGTGGAAGCAACCGTCGCTCTGTGCATGCAGCAGGACCGACCGCGGAAGCCATTGCGCTTGCCGCAACTGGCCGACTGCCTGCTTCACCAGAGCCGAAAGACGACGAAGGATCGGAGTCTGAGTATGAAGAGGAGTTTGAGGTCTCAACGGGCGAGCAGGCCCTTAAGAAGGAACGGCTGCACAACATGGAAATCAATGAGGGAGCGGCCCTTAAAGAAATGCGGAAACTGAGCAAGGACTCGATTGCCGAGGAGGAGTCGGACGAAGATGGCGGCGCCAAGACGGATAAACGATAACAATAATCAACGCCGGGGTGCATTGTCTAGCGTGGATGGTGTGTTGTGATGAAGGCGGCAGATGGAGTTGTAGAGAGCAATGCCAGTCGAGAGTCTTTGGGCTCGGGCATAACTCGCCTCAAGGATCGTGGTACGGATATTCATTGGCCTCGCATCGGCAGTCATTGGCGTTCCCTGGGTAGTGATTTTCAAGCGGTATGCTGTCCTATGGGATGGACAAGCGGAGATACAGATACTCCACTCATGTAGCAAGTTTACAGCTAGTTGCTATTGCAGTAGTTACATTCAAGATTCCCCAAGCGCATTCTGGTCTTCATGCGGGTATCTGGTGAGAAGCCTCGAGACATGTGGGCGGCCCAGGTACTACTAAGCCTGTGGGAGAGGCTTGCCTTGAAGTGTCATGATAACTTTCAGCTACACATTCCTTAGCCGCTGTTGAGCTGCAAAATCATACCAGGCAAAGCCCAACCTCGCGCGGGCCAGTTGGTGTCGTTATCCATAACCCAACGATGAGGGTGAACATCCTTTACACCCCACTTAATACACACTCGGTTGATTTAATTCTTTAAGCTGTGTGGTATCTTCTGTGTGATTGTATATGTGGAGTCCCGGGGCTACTCACGAGCGTTACGTGCCATCAGCTTTGTTTCGATGATTTCTATAGCAGCAATGAGCTTTTCGCTGGCCTTTGCTAGCTAGGCGCATCGCCGACCTAGTGATGCGCCGCTTCAAAGAGTCATCTGTGGAGACCTTAGGCTGAGACCAATCAACACCCCTCCTTCTCTTCTTGTTTTAACAAGCATCAACGGGACCAGGTAATGTCAGCGCTGCCGTCTGACGCGGACGAGCAGATTGCCGAAGGGCTCACCCATACATCGCACGCCGTTCCATTATATCAATACGAGCCCTTGGAAAAGAACTGCATTCGCGTGGTCGACCTTCAGCCAGCTCAAACTTCAGTGGAGCAGCTGCGATGCAGATTTGTCAACGTCGACTTGGACAAGGACGACATTCCCTACGAGTGTATCTCGTACACATGGGGGGCTCCGGACTTCGATCATGCTGTCTCCATCATCTCGAAAGAGACGCCCTGCAATATTCGGATCACTGAAAATCTGGCTGATGCTTTGCGTCGGTTCCGCTTGACTGATCGCCCGCGCCGTCTCTGGGCCGATGCTATCTGCATCAACCAGGAAGATGACGGTGAAAAGAGCACCCAGATCCCGCTTATGGGGAATATCTTCCACGGGGCCTTAGGCGTCTTGGTCTGGCTAGGCTCCAGTCATGCCGAGCAGCTGGCGCGGCTGCGTTCCCTATCGCGACGCACTATCACTCGAGTCGAATCATTATCAATGCGAGACATGGAGTCGGTCACGGATTCGTTCGAGAAGCTCCTGGCTCTTCCGTGGTTTACGAGGCGCTGGGTCATTCAGGAGGTCGTCCTGAACCCCAACGTCTTCTTCTTTTGCGGCACCGTGGAGCTGCCCTGGATAGCGTTCCACTCATGCCTGGTGAAAACGACATTTCCCGAATCCACAGCGCTGAGAATCCTCCGGGCGGTCAGGTCCATGAAGACCATGTTTGAGCTATGGAAAGGCTGGGCGTTGCCGCGGTCGGAGCCACAGGCAGTGGCTAGCTCCATCGGCCGGATTCTGCACATCTTCGACGCCTATGAGTGTGCGGACGGCAGAGACCGTCTGTACTCGGTGGCCGCGCTGGCCAGCAACGTTAATGTCCATCTTAGCGGCACGACATCGGCTTCATTGAAGCAAGATCTCCGTGGAGATGCGTTGTCTATTTCCGTCAACTACTCACGCAGCCTTGAAGAGGTGTACATCGACTTTGCCGAAGAAGCCGTTGGGAAGGGACATCTCTTCTGGTTGTTGTGTATGGTATCGTCTCGCAAACAGATGGACCCCTCAAAACCTAGAGCTGAAGGCTTGCCTTCTTGGGTGCCTGACTGGCGGATTGGGCGTACTCACCCGTACCGCGAAATGCCGCTTGTCCCATTATCTTCTGTCCAATATGAACACACATTATCGGCACACAGGATCGAAGTGCCCATCAACATATGGCTGGCAGATGAAGACTCCCCAAACCATGCAAAGCGAGAACTTCCTCGCATTCACTGGCGATCTACATGCTTCCCGGCAAACAAGCCGGTCTTGGAAATGATTGCCTGGTTTCGGGATATAGCGCGTACCTTGTGCCAATACGTAATCGAGGGTATCCCGCCACCCATTGGAGATTCCATTTATATTCGCAGAGCCATGTATCTCTCCAAGGAGGCGCTGGAAAAGCTTTTCGATTCAGTCCAACCATTCTCGGAATTGGATATACGGTCTTTTCTTCGGGGCATCAAACCCAGCAATGTCATTGACACAAAGCATCAACCAGTTAACACCCCCGGCCCCACTCCCACTGATCAGCGCGAGCTCCCTAGTTTTATGTCTGCGTATAATGCGGAGGACCTAGATCATATATCCGAGATAATGTCCGGTCCGGCAGCGGACCTGTGTCTGTTTATAAGCGAACCATTGGTGGTGCCGTCTCCCGGCAAGCCGGGTCCGCGGCTCATCGGCATTGGGCCCAACACGCTGGAGGTTGCTGACAGCGTAGTCTGGCTTTCTGCAGTGAATCCAAATGTCGGTATGAAAACCCCGCAGGATACACTGTTCGTCTTCCGCGACGCCGCGGTGAGGTCGGACGTACCGGATAGGCCAGCCTTGCGTTTTGTGGACAACGCCTCGGGGTTCGGCTTTCATTGGGACCCGCAGGAGAAGTTGACCGACCCCAGTGCCGTCAACTTCGAGTACGCCCAGGCGGGAGCTTCGAAGCGCACGGAGCGTTGCCAGTTTACGTTTCTTGTACGATAGCATGTCACATAGACGTACTGTGGTGGGCTGGATATACTGCCGCTGCAGGGGCAGCTCGATATAGTTTACACATATTGAGTTCAGATGTACATTAATCATCATGACCTTGTAGAACTGACTGAAAGAACAGTGCCTCCTGACGAAAATTCTCTTCAAGCGACCCCAACCTCCTTTTAGAGAACTGTTGGAGTTCTTGTGATCTAGTAATATGATAGTGAGACCTGCCACCCACGTACATGCATGTCACCTTGAGCATCCGCATACATATCATTGTGATTCCCAAGTCCTTCCATCCTAGTGATGTTAAGTTTACTTCTTCCCTCGGCGACCGACCTCGTTCGCCGCTGCCACAGTAATGGCCAGGATTCCGTCTCGAGTGCGGCTTAGGTTTGCAGGGTCGGCTTCACCAGGTATGTGGCAGAACAGGACGTTGAGCTCACGCCGCTTCGCATAGCGATTCGCGAGGCTCTCATAGTTGAGGAATCCGCACAGATAAGGCCCACCTTCGTCATGCGGCCTGATGTCAATGGGCGAGCGGCGCTGGACCCCCGAATCTGATACGACCGCGTTCGCATCATCTGCTCGCGGGTCAAGGCGATCATCGCAGACCCCGGCCCTCTCAAACTGATAGCGAGATTTCAGGATCGCACTGGCGCCATCTGCGACTGCATCGATGTCCAGAGCGCTGCGCAGACCCATCGGCAGACGAACCCATGGGCACGGCTCGAGGTCCTTGATCGTCTGCCCCACGTCGTCGGCCGCCGTGTAGTACTCGCTCTGCTCCACGGCACTCCACCAGTTGCTGCTCATGCCCTGCTTGTAGGCCGCGCGCTCGAGCGTCAGCCAGGTCCAGCCGCGCGCCTCGCCGAGGTGGATGAAGACGTCCACGTCGTCGGCGTGCTTCTGGTGCAGGTCCCGGCAGAAGGCGCGCACGTACCTGTACTCCGACCTGACATAGTGCGGTAGGGTGATGATGTTGATGCGGTTGGCTGACGGATTCAGAGCTGTCTTGGGCTCAAGCGTGCGTGGTAGCAGTGTGGTGACTAGATAGGACGTGTTCTCATCGATACGCCCACCGTCGGTTCCATCGGGATATGGCTGAAGCTAGTCAATTGCGGTCGGGGGAAAAGACATCAAGCCCGACTCACACCGAGACCTGTGACAAGGACATTGATCTCACTGACTACGGTCATCTTGGAACAACTTTCTGTTGATGGTGAAGCTAAGTAGAGAATGAATGTCCTACGGCCTTCCCGGCTTCGAGATGCTAAAGGCGACGGGAGCTTGTATATGGAGAAGGTGGGGATTACAGATAACCATCAGTCTTCTCCGAAGTCCGCAATATCTCATGCACCTAGTACCTGAATAGGCCTGCATCAGTCTGTAATCCTCTTTGTTCGCCCCCATTGACCTGGCTCGCCAATGTCGCTTACAGGCCATTGATTCAGAGTGATGTAGCTGTCACGTTCACAATTGGGAACGCACAACAGAATGGTTCGACTGCTCCAATCGATATTCCAATTGCACTAATATGTGGGACTATAAACTGCGAGTATTTCTATAAAGAATGAAACATGACATACTATGACTATTAGAGTTTCGGTGGAGGTCTAGGGGGTTGTATTGTGAAGGTAAATTTTAGCGGTTACTAGCGACCGGATCCACTATAATTCACGACCTCTAAGCACCATCTATGTGATTACATTACCGAATCGCCCGGGCGCTCACGCTAAGCTTCCACACCGAAAGAGTTCAATAATAAGAAATGGCAATGTATGGCTCCACATCAAGATACTATTAATCTGGTTGCCATGACAGGTTGCTGGGTCCAAGTCCAACTTTGCTTCAATCGAAGGTGCCTAAAAGGACTAAACCGACTGCGCTAAACATAGGCGCATGGCTCCAGTGTGACCAGTAACCCTTTCCGTGGCTATAGCAAACCATCCCATCCGCAATCGCAACGCCTGTAGCAGAAAAGAGGATCCAAGCGAGAGCCTGGGAGCTGCCGTAGAAGGCGGTCGCGTACAGGGCAAAGCCCATGAAAATGTCCCGTGCGCCGTAAACAGCCATCAGGCTGTTGACCAAGTCGCGTGCCCCCTTGTCGGCCGGAGGCTTGAACTCGAAGAAGGTCAATGCATGTGTCGGCCGCAGAATGGCGTTAATGCCAAAGCCCACATGGATCGTTGCAAAGACGTACGCAGCCCAGGTGACCGCTGGGGTTTGTGACGAGATAGGTAGAAGTTCAGACATTGTAACTTGTTTATGTCTGCAAGTGATGCTAGGCAAGTGCTGAGATTGGCTGGCGTGGGACCTCACTCGGTACGATTTGCGACCTTCTGCGTTCCGTTTGAGTATCTTATAATTTTTGGTTATCTGATGCAGTTTGTGTATTTGACCCAAGTAGCGGGAATAGGGTTAATGGGAGTCGCAGTCTTGATATACTGGCTAGAAAAACCGTCGTTCTGTTCAAACTTCACTGCGGACAAGTTGAACTGTTGAGAATGTCCGAGTTGTCCGGGTTGCAATGTTGACTCACTGCGGCGGGCTTAGCCTGGTTGATGGATTCAGCACGTTAGCGGCACAGACCTGACCAGCATCTACTCCCCTGGCTAGGTTGGCGGCTTGGAAACAGGAGCAATTGCGCCCCAAAATTGCAGCGCTTATAATTTTCTGATATCGAACTACACTACAAATCCCTGCTTCAGTCGGATCAGCAGAGACCTGAGTGTGCCAGGCCTAGCGAGGTTGGATCTAATAACCACCGTCCGCGAAAGAGGGAGAAGGCTGGCAAATGGCTCAAGCCTCTGCGCCAGAGCTCCTTGTGAACCAAATCATTTCCTTCTCCCAGCCAGCATTTTTACTGCCATTCATACCATCGAGTTTCTCTGCTAGACGTAGTCCTATCATTTCGGGTGTATGCTTCCGTGATTCAGGGGAAAACCTGAAAGCAGCCCCGAACTCGCTCAAGAATTGGCTATTCCACACAGTCTCCAATCGCAACTCCGTCTTCTTGTCTTGTTCCCTAGAATCTTTATCGCCAGGATTCTCACCTCCCGCTGGAAATCCAGCGACCACGTCGTCCTCGATATTGCCATGGCCGTCCAAGGATTCGCTATCGAAAAACAGATCATATCGCTTCCAGTCGCCTTCTGGCTTCGTGCCAGAAATCATAAGGCGTAGCATTTCTCCAAAATCATCCCTCGCATGGAGCAGAATCTGAAACTTCCAAGTACGGTGGCCGATCGGCGAGAAAAGTAAACAGGGCTTCTTCGTTCGTTGCTGGTCACGTTGATTACGATCCGATTGCGAAGTCCAGTGGTTGTATATAACTGGGCCCTTGTCTGCGCGCTCATAGTCTGAGACCCGAAAGGCGCCATACGCCGGGTGACTGTATTCCCCAGCAACTCTATGGAAGAAGTCTTTCACTTGGTCCTCTGAAAGGTCCTGGGCCGACTCCTTGTGGTAGACTTTGGGAGCCTGCGTTCCCACAACCTTGGTATCGGCAGAAGCGTCGGCGGTTGCAGGGGCAGGATACTTCCCCTTTGCCAAGTCAATGATCTTCGCCTTGGCCTCGGCCGATAGTCCAAGCCTTCTCGCAATCAGTTCGAGACATATAACCTCGCCGGTAATGTGGGCAAAATTGCCGTTACCCATGCAAACGCATCCAAAGTCATCGTTGGGGAGTAGGAACAGTTGTGTTTTGAAACCATTCAAGCCACCAGAGTGGCTCACAATCGGGTGATCGATACCTGCAAGGGGAGGTTGAATTATCCAACCCAGTCCATATGCACTGAGGTTCAAATGTTTGTGATGGCTCCCACCTATTGATGCCTCCATGATCGATCGAGGTGCGGTAAGCTCAGAAAACAGCTCGGGTGTGAGCACACAACCATTGTCAGAGAGCTTTGGATCTTTCGCCGAGACCCTTAGAAGTTCTTTGATCCACTTCCCGTAGTCAATGACGGACGAGATAGTTGCACCAGCTGGTGCAATTCCTGCAAAGTCAATGTAAGGCTCGGGAACGTGATAGCCCTCTGATTCTGGCAAACCGGGTGGGCCTGCGACCCAGTAATACCCCCGGGCTAAATCCTGCCGCTGGGCATCCGGTATGTCCTTGAGCGCCCAGAATGTCGAGTTCATGTATAGTGGATTCCACAGTAGTTTCTTCAGGAGAACTCCGGTTTCGACACCGGTGATGGATTTCAAAAGGTCTCCAACGACACTGTACATTAGATTATTGTACTGCCAGGTCGTCCTGAATTGCTTGTTTAGAGGGCCTAGGTGCTTTAAAGCCTGGACAATACCTTTCGGATCATTGCCCATCCAGGTTCCATATATGAGGTCGGCTGATTCCATGCCAGAGCGGTGGGACAACGCGTCTTCAATAGTAACGTTGCTAGTAGCATATTCATCCTCCAGTTCGAAATCTGTCGCAAGGATTGATTTTATTTTCGTGGCCCATTTGTCTTTTTTGAGAAGCTGAAGAGGTAAATTCTCAGGGTCATTCATGCCATACTCCTGCCTCATCACTATCCCGGTCGCTGCCGCCAGCATCGCCTTTGTAGTGCTTCCCGTGAAGTATAGTGTTTCTGGCTTGGCAGCAACGTTGGGATACTGAGCAATACCGAAGCCCTAAGGTGTGTCAATAGCGCAGGCGAAACACGCATCCAGCAACCGGTTTTCGATAGCTTACCTTCACAGACACACTGCCTTTATCAACAAAGGCAATGCTTACTCCAGGAACATGGTGTTCTTCCAAAAGAGCTGCGACAGTATTCGAAAATTCTGCATCGTAAAAGACATTATCGGACGTTGTACCGCTCCCCTGAAAGCCTTTTTCCATGATAGTAAATATTTTATTTAGTTCGCGAGTGATGCAAGAGAGGGTGCCTCCCTGAGGCAGTCAATGGACAGTATTTTATCAACCCTGGTGCGGGGTTTTCTCCAAGTCTTATGACCTATCCACATTCAGGCAGCCCTGCTTCTTCGACAACAGAATTCTCACCCACCTTACCAAACTTCGTTTACCTTTCGATGATTTCCATGGCACAATATCCAGCTCCGAGGTATCATGGTTTAGTTAAGTATGGGCGGAGGGTTTTCAACCTACGAATTGGACAAGATGGTAAGGGCCCCGCGCAGTAGTGGGTCCGATTCAGGATCCAGGCTGACGGATTCCAGCTGAGCCTCAGCCTTCTTTCCGAAAGGCCATGCAAGGTCCGTCCTTGGGGTAGAAACCTGTAAGTTATATGTATCCGAACAAAATTGACCAAAACCGTACATGGTCAGCGGAGCCAGGCTGCGCGTTTTACTTCCTCCGCCAACAGATAGTTGAAGCCGTCGGTGGCAAAATCCTGGAGATCAGGTAGCAACTTGACCCTAGGCGGAGACTGAGAGAAGGGGAATCGCGCTTAATTTTCCGCCTCGACAGGAAAGGTCACACTGCCAGAACATGTACGGGCGCTGAAAACTCCTCTAGAAGGCGCTCATTCTCGGAGACACCAGTTCAGATGGTCTTTCTTTCAGGAGTACCTGGGTATTTGTACCACGAAACATGCGTGCTGTACGAAGCCAATCAGTCCATTTCTTCCTACACGACTTGTGGCTGTCGTGGAGGTCGCTCTCAGTTACTGCTGGGAGAATGCCATGCCCAGATGCGTACTCAGGTCGCACTCTCTGAGGCTATTAAAAGCTGGATATCGCGGTCTCAGCTTGGGGATCATCGGTAACTTTCTTAGTCGTATTAAGGAACCCTCGAAAGCTGAGATGTAAAGGGAAAAGAAGCGGGTTATTTCTGCCCGAGTCGAAGGATTCGAAGCGCGTTTCGGGTCCGAAGCCGTTCAACTTCTAGCATAATTGTAGTTAGAGAGTTGCCTAGTTTATAAATAGAACCTACCAGCGCCGCTGCGCCACAAGTACTTATCTAAAGGCGATCAATTCTCATGCCGCCGCTAAGAAATATTTTCTCTTCCCTCCTTAATGGAAACCTTGATATGATGCATTATTTGTCCAACAATAATCTTCTCATCTTTTTCTGCTACGTTGCGTTTCTTTGCTGTGGCGCCGATGCATGTGGAGCACAGCCGAACGATCCATGGACCGTGCAACTACCCTCCTCGACGACACCAATCCGTAATAGATTCACTGCCAGCATTGCTGGAACCAGTAGAAATGGCAAATACTCTATTGATATAACTGGCAATTCAGGCACTGTTACCCAGAACAACCATACCATCAACGTCATCGTCAAGCATGAAATCCCGTACAACGGAGATCTTGTGCTTTACAGCTTGATCGGAACGGACGACAAACGAATCCTTGAGGGATGGGCATATTGCAGAGGAAACAAGCTTACAACTTTATGGCTTGAAACATCGCTAGGGACTGCAGGATTCACAAACAGCACCGTAACAGGCAGCTGCAACATCACGAGGGATGCAACGACCGTCGACCTCAAGACGAATGGCGAGTGCCTGAGTATTACACAGCCCTCTGCAGTCCCAACGATAGATGGTGGAGACTCCCTTTCCCTCCAAAACGGAAGTGTCGGTAGCGTCAGGCTGAATAGTCAGGACTTCAACCTCCTTCCATTCGCCATTGTCGATTGTGCCGACTGTGGGGCTACGAGTTCAGACGGATGGGTTGAGGTCCACAGTGTGATGACAGCGAAAAGTTCAGCCGACGTGTGCTTAGGGATATTCTACCTGTACGTGGAATGCAGATCGACTGTTTCCATTCAATATCTGCAATGCTTCACGGGAAATGCGGGGAGTCAGTCTTTTACTGCCAACTACGACACGAGCAATCTCGTCAAAAACCAAACCGGGACGGCAAACAGTACATGTACAGTGGGATCAAGCACCGACTCCGATACAAAGTCATCGGATGCAACGCACTTAAGGAGTTATTTCGCTTTCCTGTCAATCATGCTGGTGGTCGGGGCCACAGCCGTGTTTTCCTGACCGGATCAACTAGTTTCGCTCTGCCTGGCGACACAACATGGTCCACACGGCAGTTCCTGGGAAACACATATTTAGACACTAGTGCTACTCAACAATCTTCTTACCATATCTACCTAATCTTAGTGAGCCGACTGCAAACCTTGTGCAGATTTTGAAAGTAATGGGTACATATAGAGTCGGTGTGAGCCGTAGTTACTAACGTCGAGAATGTTCAAACGTTAACTATGGCAGCTATGTAAATTGAGATGCTACTAAAATGCAGGTGGGCATTACAGCAGCCCCCGGAGTTGTATGATTCGTTCACGGAGGCAAACAACCAATCCCACATTTGAAATAATCTTACATCGGGCGCCATCTTATAACCGGCACAGCTTCAGTTTAGTTTCTGTAACCCAACGCTACTCAGGTTACCACACCTAGCAGCGGCTTAGCTTTGTTTGGTTGTGAACCAATGGAAACTGCACTTGCTGCACCTACCACGGGTAGGTCGGCAGGACTTGACCTCCATCAGGTGGAATGTTTAGCACAGTGTGCTATTCAGAAACCGTAAAGGGTGTACGCAGATCCACATGATCGCTGGTTAAATGAGAACAATGGATTATTCTGGGGCCGCGGTGTATAACACTATAAATATTCCAATCTCCATAAACAGCATAAATAGCTGCTGCCACTGCCACTTGCGCCGTACCGTCATATCAGCTGTCATCACCGAGCAGACTGGAAACGATCATAGTGTGTTGGAATATCATCGCATCATTTCGCATTAGACCACAATAAGGTAAATTAGAACAGCAATGTAAGAGAAGGAAGCTGGCTATACAAAAGAGGCGACAATGAGTGTGGTGTAGAAGAGGTTGAGCAGTGATCGAGTATCTCAGGGACAGTAGTGTGCCGTATTTACTAATCAATTAAGATTGGCTATGATGTAAAATCGAAGCGTGCCAGCGACAGTTCCCGAAGGTCTGTCTGCCCCAAAGCCTCGTGGCATGAGCTGGGATCCCCTTATATATTCCACTTCTCCTGGTGCATAGTCCATACCTCAAGTAGAGCCCTGCGTTTGATCTTCAGCGCAATTCCGTCTATCATCCGCCGCTAATTCTACGTAATCCAACCTATCCTCACATCTTCAATAAAACTCAGCCGATTTTCCATATCATTCACCAGTCTGGCTAACAGTGGACACAAAGACAGCACGAGCTTTTACGTATCTGTTTCATTACTTCTCAGGTGTTGAGCTACATCAAGGCTAGCCAATAGTCGCCATGCCGATAGCAAATATCAGAATGATCCTGTTGCCTATCCACACCGACAGATAGTCTTTTCTAACTGTCTACCGAAGTACCCTAGCCATTGTAAGCCGTATGAGCCCCAGTACCGTAAAATAAGCATCTGACTTGAAGTGCCTAGAAACTCCCAGTCCTGGTTAGTGTAGGGACGGGATTTGCGTTTCTGTGAAGCGCTTAATAAGTATGAACGTACCAGATAACAGATTTTGCGGCCTCTTACTCCAGGACACCTTGCGGAGTCTCGCAGAGGACACCAATATCCAGGATTGTAAGCGCACAGCAGCGGGCTCGCTGGCCGATAAGAGCGCAGATCGCGCTGAAATTGTTGGGATCGACAGGAGTCAAAGGAGGGTTGGCGCAATCCAAGTCAGCAATGCCGGAAACATCAGTTGCACAGCACTGAGGGTTGGTATAGAGACCGTTTCGGCATGGCATATAGGTGGTAGCCTGACGCTCATCGAGGCCGCTAGGAGCTGCAATGGCGATGGTAGAGAAGAGCGCAACGGTAATTGTGGAGAACTGCATATTGATGATAATGGATTGAGGGTAAAACTTTTGGTTTCAAAGTGTGAGATGTGTAGACGATGTTGGAATGTTTGATACTGGTGGGTGGAGGAATTGATGCCTTTGGACAGGGAGGAACAGAGGCTCTTTATAGAATTATCTTGCCAAGCTTGCTACTAAATCGGTCAAGCTTGAACTGGCTGTTTCAACGCGCATAGACGATCCCGGTCATGCTAGATGGGCAATAACGTAATTTTGCTACTGACGTCTATCGTTGTGAGGGACGAGATGAAACCACGGTTAACACAAGCTCTAGTCTCAGGGCTAGACAACTATGCACAGCAATTCTTGGATCAAACGTTGGATCTACGCAAGATCTATGTTGGCACGAGATCTAAGTTGGCATGAGTCTCAAGATAGCGTTGTGACTCGCCGATCTCTTACGAAAGCGTTTGTATATGCTTATATACATATAGGGAGATGGATAAGCGAAGAGAGCCACAAGTATTACTTTTGACAGGATGATTACGTAGGAGAGCGGCCAAGGCGGTGAATTACACGCTTGAATACGACATTTCATTGCATAACTATCACACTAACGGAGCTTGAAAGAGCACGTATATGGGGTATACAGGGGTGCTAAACCCACAGCTGGGTGTTGGTGGATAACCCATTTGCAGATCATCTTTGGGCTTACTGCCTGAGTGTAACAAAGTTTCGCTGTTTATACTTAGTATAAGTAAACGGGATATTCCTGTGCCGGCCATAGACTAGAATGGGAGCTGTACTCTGTGCGTAGGTGGCTTCGAAATGGAAATGGCAACGCGGCGATCCTCGCGGCTCGTACATCGGCCCGCGGTTAGGCGAAGCATTGTCTCAGCTGCCTTATAATCTCCCAGAATGCGCAGATGACGGAAGCACGGTACTCGCAGCACTTGATACAGCAGCAGCCAAAGTGTGGAAAGGGTGGCCTATGGCTTAGCGATCTGCCGATGTAGTTGTTCATTTGGAAGGTAAGGCTCGTTTCCTCCATTTATGCCCTGTGCCTGGAATCGTAGTGGCATCCTGAATGCCCCTGAGTAGGCGCCGCCAACTTCTTGGCGGTTCTCTGTGGCTCGTGCGACTTGTAAGCCATAAAGAAAATGCAGCAGCGCTTGCCATGTATTGGCAAAACGACACTCCTCACGGGACCCCAACTTACTTCGAATAAATGTTGAGGCTCTGGCTGAGACCCGAGCGTTTGGACAGGGCTGCAAGGCTGGAGTGCTGATCGTCATCCAAGTTTGAGCGGGCGTCCACATGCGTCCACATCCCGCACTCGTTTTAACTTCAACCCAGGCGATCAGACATGTCGCGGTACTGCAGGGAAATTCAGGTGGTTCAGGAGCTGGAAAACAAGGAAACCATGATGATCTTCGAGTTATTGCCTTGAATGGTAATATGATCATCGCGTTCCTGTCGTATGAATGAGCTTTTTGAATGCCCTTTCAAAAAGCATCAAAAGATTTACTACGATGAATTGTGCTGAATCAGGACTTGAAGGAATTAGATAGGTTGTCAACTGTTCTTTACAGCCGATCACGTTCCTGCACGATTTCGTATAATGCTAGGACAGTTGTATTGGTCATGAAGCATTAGATTCTTGCCGACCGACGTTCATACACATGGCCTTTTCGGCACTCTTGTCATAGATCCCCCGAATCGGAGCAATTTGCTTCACTTAAGGCGCTAATATCCAGGACATATGGCCGGCATGTAGTATACGTTATAACGCTGAAGGCAGCAATTGGAAAAGCTATCCCGACGAAAATTGGTCGACAGCGTGCGTAGACCCCATGGGGAACTACGGCGATCGAAAGGGCTAGAACGATCATGGGGATTCATTCGCAGTATGTTTTCATTGTGAGATAGATTCAGGGGCCCAACGCTATGGCGTCATCGATGCATGAACTGTCTTAGATCTGGGTAGGTGAGTGCGCCATGCTGAATCCAGTACCAGTCCCGTCCGCAACTTCGAGACAAGGCGCAGTGCAACGTTCACCTGCAGGGAACAGCGCCTCCCAGTAGAGCGGCACCTACAAACAAGCCGAGATGCCGGGGAATGCTAGCAACAATGTAACGAACTTCTCCAATGCCTGCCGACGGCGAATTCCATATCGAGGACCTCCGGGGTTGACTATGATGCAATGCCTGTCATTGTCAGGGGATACACCTTTGCGTCATTTTAGTTCAATCAGATCTACCTGGAGGTAGTTTTGACCCAGTTTGGTGAAATGAGGTTTTATACAAACGACACCAGGGCGGTGCACCTTCTCTATGGGCCAGAATGAACGTGGTTCTGGTTATAATTGGGATCAGACTGTAATCCGCCGCGGTGAAGTCCTAGTGCGGGGTTTCGAGACCTAGGAGCTTGAATCTGAAGGGGTCTTGTTTCCAAGCGCCAAGGTCGTGTTACTGTGTTCCTCTGATGCATACCACCGAGAGAAGCGACCACAAAGTTGCGGCATAGATTCTTCGAGGCAACTTCCCCACTCCGCCATGACAGCCCATCCGATACAGCGCACCTCCCGAGGATAGTGCCCAACTCGGCATTCTCTACAGCAATGGTGTGTTTACTTTCAATCACAATTTCGGCGATTATGAAAGTACTTGTTTTTGCCTACGGGGAGGTGTAGCGTGTTAGTGTGCACTTCACGCTGCCGGCACATTATAGTGCAGATAAGGTGGTTTGAGTGCTTTAGTAAGGAGTCAAAAGTGGAGTGCTTTCTTTACATTCGATTTCTATTTGCCTTCCGTGATTTCTCTAGTCGGCTTTCCAATTTTGACTGTTTTTTCTTTTACAAGTCCTTGGCTGGGTATGCTTATTCAGCTTCAATACTTGAGTGATGGATAATTATATACAAAAGCCTAACAGTCCAGTATGATATCAAGCGTTCTCACATCGAAAAGGGTGGACAATCTAAAGAGATCGGCAAGCTAGAAACCGGACTAGGTCGACAAGAATTCCGAGGAAGCCGCCGGGCACCTTAGAGTTGTGGCTTATGACCACCAGTTGGCTTCGGTGGAGGGGGGTCGTGGGGTTTCTGGATCACGTATTAGGAGATGAGAAAATTAAGTTGCTGAAATACTGACCCCAGTCGGTTTGCTTGGTCCTCCTGGATGTTTACCTGTAGGCTTTGGATGGTGGGGATGGTGGTGGTGGGAAGGCTGGTGAGGAGCTGTAACTTATTAATAGCCGGTCGATAACTCAGATGCTCACTATAACTCACGCTTGGAGTGGCCGCTCGGCTGAGGTCTGGGGTGGCCCGGCTGGCGACTATGGGGAGGGCGCCTAGTTGAAGTTGTTAGGCACCCGAAGTCATATTTACTCAAACGAAATCACTCTTCATCCTTGTCTTGAATGTGGTTTTATTCAAAGAGAGACAATCAATATATACTCACGGTTTCCCGGTAGGCTGCAACAAAATCAGTATTTGCTAACGTGGAACAGGACGGTGTGCTTCTTATCTACCTTGGGGCCGGGTTTTCCAGTTGGCTTGCCTGGACCAGGGCTTCCCTGCAAAGTCGGACGTTAGCGACACCGTTCTCATCAGCCTGTTACGGGTTTCCTCTTGCTCAAAATATATATCGTAGAAGCGTTTACAAAGCCAGTCCTGATACAGACGTCATGTGGCAAATATCTGCCGAGGTAACTTACCGTGGGCTTCGGTCCTGAAGGGGGGAGGGGAGGCCAGGGGTGGTGATGATGGGGCTGAGAAGGAAACGGCGCCGGTGAAGCCGGATGGTGATGCTCGGGTTCTACTAACACGGCATCAGAAACTGGGGCTGTATATCCCAAAGCCGCAAAGGCAAGAAATAAAAGGTATGCCTTCATTGTGGTGTGTGAGCTGTTTGGTGGCAGGCTGTGAATATACTAATGTGAATATTAGGCTTGGCGATGAACACCACCCGTATTTATAGGTCTTTGTAGGAGCCACCACAGCGCCGTTGTCATTGGATGATTCGACCTTTCTAGCACCGGATGCCCCTGTGCGTTGCATTAGGCCTGAGCAGGTGATCTGGGGCATTCGGCTGTTTTACGGAGACAGGACAATCTACAATGATCGACGGGAGCAGTCACATGAACGGAGAGAACTATCCAACATCTTGCGATAGTTCTAGCTCATAAATAGATGCCTGGTTTCTATATGGTAGGCGAGCAATTTCTACGTGAAGGATTGGTTGAAGGCAAATATATGCAAGGTGGAGTACCAGGATTGTACCAAATGCTGGCTAGTATGCAATGCATACTGGCTCAGCTTTCTTCAATATTCCCGTTTCACATCATCATCGATAGGCCATAGTTCTCACCTGATCGCGGAGCTAATATGCAAATGCTACCTTATTCGAGATAAGAACTCATCCTTGGTCATCGAATCTGGCTAGTGAGACTATGTAACCCCAGGATACGACTCTGCAAGCTTTCAAGGGCATTGTTGCCGGGGCAAGCCGTCTTGGCAAAAGCTTGTAATCAACTCAAATTAATTTGAGTGCAAGGCGAGGGGGTGGAGTTCATAATGATCATGTCGCACAGCCTGTGATGTTCCTGGCAGGTACAAATGCATGCACCATGGTTCCATCGACACGACTTCCGCTTTAGGTAGCTCAAATGGATGAAACAGAGAGCAAAGCTAAGATCCCCAATCCCCGCAAGGTCATAGGAGGAAATCAGATTGCGACCGTGGAGCCCCTTAAGAAAAGGGGGTTTTTGGTGTCGCGGATTGAGGCCAACATGTGAATCGAGCAGCCCTGCAACCCTGGCAGCTGGCAGCCGCTGCTCCGCATCTATGAACGCGACAACTGGTCTATAACTATCCGGCAGCGTCTCCGAGTTCTGCGACAAGGTAACTATTGGTGCCTCGCTTATCCCTGTGGAAGCAATAGTGAAGTCACAGCAGGGTGAAGTCATCGCAGGCTTCAAGAACTTGCAGGATACTACCTTCTCCCCGATCGAAGAATAAGTCCCGGAGAGCACACCTCCAGGATGAGTCACGTAGAAGCAGAACATCGCCAAGCGACATCAGTAATGACCCGGTTAGTAATACGTGAACAGAGGAGCTGCTCTATGCACGTGTGCCTTTATAATGCGCATTGTATACATAGTACAAGCGTAGTGCTGCCTACGCTAAGATGTCGCACTATGCTATTTTGGTGATGCTGCCTACCATATCAAACGCATGTAAGCTTGCCAGCTTCCGGGCCAAATACACTGCACGAAGTTCCTTTACGTCCCTATCAGCTTCACGCAGCGCGCTATACACGTATTCTAGTGGGCTCGGAAGGACATTATGGCTGCGATCCCTCAAGCTGTCGACCGCGACACATATCAAAAACACATCAACCAGCTCCGGGTCCGCGAGAAAGCGCACACCCGCGAGGGCGATGCTATCGCTGCTGCCCGCCGACGGCTCCCGATGGTAGAAGTGGACCCCGCTACGCCGCTGGTCGGGGCTACGGGCGAAACTACGCTCATTGACGCCTTCGAGGGCCGCACCCAGCTGTTCGCCTCGTATCACATGTGGCACGCGGGCCTCTCTGCCGCTGACCAGTGTGAGGGCTGCACCTTTAACACCGGCCAGGCGCTGGAGCTGTCGTACCTCCACTCGCGCGATGTGACATTCGCCGTCTTCTGCCAGGGTCCCTACGACGAGAGTAACCGATACCGCAAGTTCATGGGCTGGGACATGCCATGGTACTCTATCCCCGAGCGCTCGTACGGCCGCCTCGCCATCAAGAGTCCCCATAACTTCGGCATGAAGGCCTGCTACCTCCGGGACGGTGGCCGCGTCTTTGAGACTTATTGGACTACTGGCCGTGGCTGCGAGCCCATGAGCGGCAGCTACGGCATGCTTGACATGACCGTTTTTGGCCGCCAGGAGCCCTGGGAGGACTCGCCCGACGGCTGGCCGAAACGGTTCCGTGGTGACAGTGACCAATTCCGAACCGAAGAGGGCGAGACTTCGACAGTCCGGTCGGGCATCATCGGCCGGCCGACTCCCCAGTGGGCCCGCCTCGCCGCTGGACACACCGACGATCTCGGCCCCGCCGCTAGCGCAGCCGAGCATCATTACCATTGAGTCAAGAATGACATACGACTCCGCAGGATTTTTGCTGGACTTTTGACTCGGTGGTTTTTGCAAGACATCCGATTCCTGGAGCGTCGAAGTCTGTCACTGCGGTATGAGCCCTTATGACCAGTATACATGCTGCACTGGTTGTGTTGTTACATCCTCGGTATTGACGAAGCCATTGTATCAGCGATATACGAAAAGGTACTGTAGAGCTTCCGCAAAATGCTATAGGTGGTTCCGTACAACTTCACTGCGGACTGTTTGGCTTGCAAATGATATGAACCCGCATTAAGGCCAGCTCCTCCATAGCGTCGTAGCAGAGCATCTTTGCTACAAGGTCTCCTAGTTCCACTGTTCTGTTCATTCCATGGTCAATATTAGCAAAGATGTCCCAACATGTCCGAGTGCTGCATCCTTCCATTCTCTAGATAATGACAACGAGACTTTTCCTCATGACTGACGGTGCCATCTGCAAGCGGGTGGGTTTTGATACCAGTAGATCATGCCAGTTCGGTGACAAAATTGCCTAGGATGAACAGCGAGAAAGTGTACTACATACATATGATGAACAATCTTACCGGATTGATACCGAAACCCCAAAACGACAAAACCCTGAAATCAGGACTAGCTGCACGGCTAGAGGTGCTCGGCTTCGGAGTTGGTGGAGCATATGACTTGGCCATCATCATGTATGATAGCTTGCTCACTTGACGTCTTAATTCAGTGCATTATCATGTTTTTCAAGGAGGAAACTTCGAATCATATAATTGAGGCTGATAAAATTGTTTCCAACTTTCAATACCAGTGGTTATTTCTTTCTTTTAAATACAGGAAGTGTCCTTCATCAAAACCCAACTCCCGAAAAATTGTCCATTCCCTGTAAGAACTGATTGTCGCATGTTCAATGATAATTGCACTGATTATTGAATAGAGACTGGCAAAGCCCTTCTGTCACATTCAGGCAGGGAGGGGCTCCAAGCAGAGCCCGATACAGTCAGCGCCTCCGTTCTTGGGATCGCAGCCATCGTTAGGCCAATCGTAGCACTGTGCGGTAAAATTGGTAGAGAAGCACTCCCCCCCAGTGATACCGCCACAAGTAATTGGCTTATCTGGTAGGCAGATACCCGGCAAATCAGTTACATCAGGCCTGCGGGGGTCGGGTTGGATGCACTGATAACCGCTGGGGCATTTCTTCGGGTTGACAACAAAGCCACCGCAGCGCTGGTATATCTGAGTAGCATCCTCCTGGCGAGAGCTTATAGGGGTACTAAGAGCGTACGAACATGCCGCAAAGGCGAGAAAGAGGGTTGCGGTAAATTGCATTTTGATATGATACTAAGTATGACTGGAGGGAGAGAGTTTAATTTCTTCTTGAATATATTGCACCATTTGCGAAATTATTGTGATGGCCTTGACCCTTTTATATTTATCAATATAAGATGCGACAGTGAGACCCAACAGACTTGATTGAGTCAATTCCCCTTGGCGTACGAAATTATTGTAGCGCCGGAAGCTGGGCCGTGACCTCGTGTCCGAACGTTGGATCCTTTGAGGCTGAGACTTAACCAATCTGCGGTTTAATCCCTGTGCTAACCCAGGCGCTTATTGTCGATGATTACCCGAATAGTCCTACCAACTCCCTGCCAAGATATGAATTACGAAATGCAATCGATTCATAACACCTCAAACGATACGTGGCGTGCCTTCATCTGAGGTGAGCTGACTGGCTCTTTCATAGCTTACGCGAGCCTATGTATGTGTTGAGCATATAATTTAAAGAAAACCTATGCTTTTGGGTTTATTATTCATAGAATTGACAGTCCATAAGAACTGGAAAGTGCCGAAAATATGTCACGGGTACAGTTTTACTGTCCCATAAATGCCCAGCAATTGTAATCATGATCTTGGCCATTTGACTCCTCATCCCATTGGCGTGTGAAGCATGTCTGACAATTGTTCATTATCCCCGTCTATTTACCATTCAGGTAAGACATGCGTAATGCATAGCATAGTTAGGCCGTGGAGGTCGATGTAGAGGTTTAATCCTCGAATCAATTTCCGGCGTAGTGGAGCCGTTCTCCAGCGCCAAAAGCCACATGCACTCGGTACCCGCTACCCGGCGAACTACGAACACTGTATCATAGTTTCCCATCATCATCAGAAACACCAGTAGACTCCAATTTGGCAGGGTACCGCATCCGCTTGTTTGCTTACCCCCCGAAGTTCCTTTGGAACCGTACTACCAATGCCAGCTACATTTTTGGATTAAGACAACGCGATAGGCGACAGCAATCACCAATCGAATGCAGCGAGCAACATCTGGTGAACCACCAGATGAACAGCTAGAACCACCATTAGGTGGGTGTGCACAATAAAGCGGGTGACCGTAGGACCCGGTGTTATGAAGGGTGGAACTGCATAATTCAGGATCCCCAGTCAAACCTAACCAAGTTAGCTTGTCTGGTGACTATAAGCTGGCTGTAGTGAGTCGCGGGGTCAAGTTATGCAAATTGAATGGTGCAATTCGTCTTCAAAGATAGTCGATCTTACCCAGCTTCGCCAACCCGTACCGTCTTAGGTAAATGCTGACCTAGATGGTGCGCAACCAATGTGAGTTATTCCACCGTATGACACATCAACCGTCTCATCTAGGGACGTCTGTAGCATGGTTTTGTGTTCTACGTAGAGGACCCAGCCCAACTAAGCTTTGGAACCAGACATACTGTAAAATTCCTTTCTTCAGAGCTAGCTTTCTCTGCCCTTACCAAGCATGCAAACGCACTGTATGTATTTGATACTGCCATGTGGCGCATTAGGAGATGGAGGGAACTAGTTGCTATCCAGCTGATACTTAGTTGAAAGTCTTAGAAGGCATCAAAAATATGACACTTCTATTTAAACAAGCATTCAAGTCAACGGCTAAGTCGAGAGCATGCAGGAAACAAGTACATACAGCGTAGAGAGCAATAACGCGGTACCTCCTTTTTCATGATTTTTACAAGAATGCCAATATTTCGTTAGTACTCCTTTACTTGCCATCCTCAGTTGAGCAGATGTGATTCACGGTGCAACTATTGACGACGTGCTCACATTCCTTCATGACCTCCCAATTCCTGCCGTCAGCCATCAAAATCCTGTCGCCATGGACAACATCTTCATTGCTGGCTTCTTTCCGTCGAACGATTCAGATGCTCCAGCTGATCTGTCACCCTTCTCGGGCAGGTGAGACCTTCATAGTAGTGCAATTTCTCACATTTCGCTTACTTTGCCTAAAACTTTGAAGGCTTTAGGAATAATCAGTCAGTTGTCTGGAGACTTTTTCCAGCTGTGTTGCTGACTGAAGTCGTAGTCCTGCGGTGCTGATCTAGTTCCAAACGACGTTCCCGAATGACTGCGTGACTAGCGATGAACATAGTATCCTCCGCTTACATTGAGATTCACTTCAACTTGGGCCTTGATCATACAGCGAAATCCATGGCAGTAGTAAAGGATATGTCAACTCGGGAGTTAAGACATTAGTGCGGATGCTTGCTGCAAAGCAGCTTTCACATTCGAGAGCATAAGGAATGACTCGGTAGCAAGACAGCTAAAACCCCGCGGGAATCAAGTCATTCGCAGCTTTGAGCTTCTGACAGATTGGTGATGTTTAATTTCGGCTATGCTCCCACATCTTACATTCATAGAGGCTCCCACAAGGAACAAACGATACAGTTTCTCTTAAGACTATTCTACACTCCCCACACACTAATCCTACAGAAGCTCATCATCATTCGTCCGTTTGCCTCGAATGAGAGGTATTGCTCTGGGCCAACCGTGTCTTCATCCACTGCGGCACAAAAGCCTTGACCTTGAGCTTCTTGGCACCCTCGGCTCCTTCTTCGCTTGGGCTCGACTTGAACACAAACTCCTGGCTTGGGTCAAACGGAGTCTCGGTGTTCTCGCCCGGTAGTTCGACGTCCGTCATGCTCTGAAGCCGGCACATGGCCAGCCCGATGTTGCCTACACCGTGAATCCAATTGCCCGTACGCCGCGACCGCTGCGGCCCGGCGCGGATGATCTCCGTCCCGCCCGGCACGTCCAATGCCCCAGAAGCAGCCCCCGGTGCGGGCCTGTATTCCAGGTCCTGCGGGGCCGGCTCGTCTTCTCCGTAGACCATGCAGGGCAGGATGCGTTTCCGCACGACGCCTCGGTGCTTGGTCCGGATCGTGAGCTCCTGGCCAACATAGCATCCCTTCCTGAAGTCAATGCCGCCCATCAGATCCATGTTCGCGTCCAGCGGAAGCGTCTTGTCCGGCGTGATCTCGTCGGGACCCTCTGCTACACCCCTGAGGTACCTGCGTACTTGATATACGTCTTCCGGAAGTCTTTCCGCATCAACAGTCAGGGAATTGGAAGCGGGCGTGATGACCCGGTAGCCCAAGTCCGGAGCCCTACTATCCGCCGTCACGTATGCTTCGCTGCCGTGACGCGGAAGCTTGTCAGGGTACTCAGTCCCATGATAGCTCTCGTCCCAGTACGTCCACACTGAGCATTCGTCCAGCTCCAGTTTGCGGTGTGTGACCGCGCTTCGCAGCTTGTATCGCCTGATGAGCTTCATCAACGTGTCGACCTGGCTATCTGCCACCTCAATCAGGAAAGCCTGGCCAGGAAGCAGGCCCGATTTGTGCGCGTCGGCGAGCCCATAGTGATTCGGGTTGGGGTATATCCAGAGGTCATGCAGCACGCGGCCCTGGGCCGTGAGCAAGCCAGTGTAGAAGCCTCTTTCGCGGAGCTCTGTGCCCTTGCTGTATACTGAGGCGGTAATCAGGCCCTGCAGGAACTTGGGCGCATCGACGCCGGCGATCGAGATCAGGCGTCGGGAGGAGAGAGGCGAATATCCGGCGGCAGGCAGCTTTGGCGGAGAAGGGCCAGCCTGCGTCGCTGCGAATCGTCGGCCGGAGAGGCGACAGGAGCTGCAGATGAAGGGGGTTCTGGAGCTTGGGACAGCCGGCGTCCGCACAAAGACGCGCGCAGGTAGCAAGGACTTCATGGCCTTGATTGTGAAGGCCGATACCGAGATAGCAGTACGTGAAATTCGATGCACCAGCTGCTGCGACTCGCGGCTCTGATTGAGCTTGTGCCCGAGCCCAGTCGTCGATCGAGGCTAATGGCAGCTTACCAAGCTCCGAGCTCGCGACGTCGGGTTGGCGCCACAAAATTTTTGGCCCATGATGTAACCAGAAAACCAACGGAAATCCGGCTGTTACGGGGCTAAGTGGGGCCAAATCCCGCCGTTACCCCGGACTTTGGCGGCGGGCTTAAGCTGGGTACGTGACAGTACCCCGGCGATGTCTTCTCGGAACCACCCTCGAGTCGAGACGGCGCCGATCACTGCTGCCTCCAGACCTGCCACTTGCCGCCGGCCATCGGATCTCGGTCAATCATGTGTCTTTCTGGCCCCAAAGGTGGTGTGCAGCTGTAGCGGCTTGACTCGAGTCGCTGCCATCAGCACTTCAAGTTGGTCACATGAGGGGAGCATTCGATAAGACCTCGAGGGCTCGTCGGCTGGTGCGGCATGGGCTTTGGGGGGAGATCCCCTCAATACATATATTGTGTGAAGAGTAGTCAGATGATGGAAGTCTTATCTCGTGGGGACAACGACAGTGTGGCATGCGAGAATAGTGTGCTGGACGGGGCCGGTCACAAGTCGATAGCTTGGCGTGTGACTGGAGCGCCCCGTAACACTTACTACCCCGCGCATTTCTGGCATCGTCAGTATAGTTGAGTTGCATAAAGCCCAATGCATGTTATGGCCCCGCGGTCCTCACCGTGCCCTCAACGCAAGGCATCAATCGGTCAGCCAGAGCCATAGTTTTGATAGCATAGCCAGCCCAACGAGGAAAAAGTCCCACATCTCAATCTCAACGGCCAACAAAGCCAGGGAGAAGTTCCACCTCCTGGCCCAATCGCGGCACGCTACTGCTGCTTCCCGTATGATTCACAGGCGACCAAGCCCCCGCCAGTAGCGGCCAGGCACACACATAAACGCACCGCACTCTGTGTTTTCACCGCAAGTTTCGTGCCAGCAGCCAATCACGGCACTGCACGCGCCCCCTTTGAGCGGTGTCAGTCAGGTGTGGGGGTGCTGTGTGTTTGTGCTGCAAGGCCGTGACACACGCTGACACCCTCTCAACCCAAGTCGCTGCGAGCTCTATCCTGCGGCGGAAGCGGCCGGTCAGTTGCCCACACCCTATGAAAGCATATAGTTACATTAGGGGGAGTGGGATCACCATAGAGGGTTGTGGGGAACTTTTGGTTGCCCAGTTATAGGAGGGGTTGATCACGGGAGTGGAGTCATAAGGCAGCATAGTATCTAATATCATACACATGACGGTGAGTAGACGGGCATCAGGTCTGAGGGGGTTGCATCTCCCAACGTTTGAAGCATGTGGGAATGAGTCGCTGTTGCTGGTCACTTGCTGAGCCCAATGACCTCTCGCGATGCATAGCATTGAGTCAAGACGGGATTCAGACGGGATGCGATAAACAGCCTTTCTGCCAGTCTATCAAATGCCGTTCCACACCCACTCGTATAGGCCAGTCCCCCAAAGTCCTGTGTGTCGCCATGATATGTAATACTTGCGCAGGGGGGAAGGATCCGGTCCCAGCCCCTCGGCCCCGACCAGCAAGCAGGTAACACAAACCATTGGAGGAACATTATCTAGAAATCGTACACTTGCCGTGAACAGGCCATGCAACCCTCCCAGTCAGCATTTCGAAACTGCATTGCATGTTTTATCAAATTACCAGGCGCCGCCAGGGCCCTTCACTCGTGAGGGAAGCAATAGCAAACCACCAGAGCGCAGGAAGTATTACTGCTATTATTCAGCCAGCAGTGCGGCGCAGTGACAAATCATTTTGGAATCTGACCACCATCTCCCAGGCCTCCAGGCCCCGAAACAACGTGGCAGGCAAGGTGCCTTTCTGCGATTCGGCCAGAGACTTGTCAGCGTCGTAACCACTGAGCGGCTGCGCGCGTCGTAGCAGCGAAAAGAACCCTGTCGGCCATGCGCTGATCGGGCCTGGGGTACCCTCACGTCGACCACTGCTTTGGGATCATTGCAGGGCCCTTCTCTGTCGCTCTCCCCATTCCGTCCTGTGATTGAAACGTCAGCCGTCCATTATTGCAAATGGGGAGGAAATGAGGCCTGCGGGACCGAAATTGAGTAAGCTGAGGCCAAGTCCTTGTCCGGCACAGACAGGTACCGGGATACGATATAGGGCTGCCTGCGGCCTGCATGGTACTAGGTAGACTTGACCATAGAGTGGCTGCAGCACCGCCTCTGCCGTATCTGTAAGTTGAAAGCATTGTTACATCCGCCCAAGTGCCAGATACGGGGAAGAAACATGATAATTGTCGTGCGGGCCCTGACCGCCGCGCAGTTCCGCACCCCGCGGGCTTGTCGCAGGGACGATGCGAATGATTACTACTCGCATGCCTCAAGCTGACGCCAACCACGAGCGGGTGTTACCTATCTGGCTGGCCGTGACCTGTGCAATTCCCAATTGTTACGGACGAGACCGGGCCAGGCCGTATGAACCGCGACTTGCTTGCATGCGAGGAGATTGCACCTTGCTGAGCTGAGCTGAGCTGATGCTCAAATGTTAGGAATCCATGGTCTATCCAATGCCGGCCGAGACAATAGAACGGGGAATTCTCACTGAACCAGCTGGGTCGCGACTCTCTCGGTCCCCCGCGCCGGCGCTGATTGGCTCGAAAACGGACGGGTGGTAGGGGTTTGGGGTGTCTTTCCGCGGGGACCCAGATGCCTGGGTCACGGCTTGCGAGGGTCGCGCGACAGGGGGGCGCAGAAAGGCCCACGCAGCGGCAGGGGACTTTTGGGGGCCTGACGGGTTTGCGTTGCGTGCAACTCTGCGACGACGAGGCCACGGCGACAGACGAAGCGCGCAAACGCATGGGACTTTGGGGGCCGGACCCCTCCCTCCCCCTTGTGATACCCAATCTCGCCGGGACAAATGGAATGAATGAGCAGGCAACATGCTGTAGATCTGCCAACGGGCCCTGGCCAAAGTGCCGTATAGTTTCATTCCCTGTTTTCTTCTACATGCCGTGGTACGGCCAAGTACATGGCGACAGATGGCGTGGGTGTGCGCGATTGCGTAGACGGGTTGAGGCTTGGACGTGCAAAAGCGTCGCAATGATAGACGCATCACCAGCAACGCGCGCACCTGCGTGTCGCTTCTCAAATCAAGGACCTCGGCGCTCGGCCTCGGTCAGCCAAGCCGTCTAACATGTCCTATTCCGGCGTCGTTCACCAACGCACCCCAAGCCGCCAAGCGGGAAAGCAATGAGGTTGCTCGGCCCAGAACCGCGGGCCCTTTGTCCCACAATCCGAGGTCTGGAGCTGGAGGCATTCCGGAAGAGGTTCACGGTTTCGCTTGGCAGGGTTGGGTTAATTAGTCCGTGGTCCAGAAAGTCCGCTCCGCAGTGTTCGGTGTTTTTCGTCGTGCTCGTGACAGGTTTGGGAGCGGATTTGTTCCTAACCATTCCCTTAGCTTCGGCGTAACGGCCGAGCGCGAGGTTGGCCGAGAAAAGTTTGAGGCTTTCGGCAACTTTTACTTTGCTGGGCGGACTTTGTGCCCGCGCGCGCGTGTCACACCCTAAGAGTTGGAGAAATGTGGCCGATGTCGCATGGATTAACGATCAGTTGCACGTTTCGCGGCACATGGCTCGATAGAGTTCCATAGCTCTGTATCATGTAATCAAGTGACGGGACGAGCGCATAAGCGCATGTCTAAGGCGTGATTGACAAGATGCAATACTAAGCAAACATTCACAATGATGCAATCGGTCAATGATGTAGTGAATTTGTTTTCAATTCTGTTTCTTCCATTATGGGAGATACTGCTGCCATGATTGGTAATCTGGGTGCAAGGCGTTCCTCCACTCAACCATCCGACTTTTACAATGAAAAGCCATGGGAGCGAAACACCGCCCCGCCATTGCCCCTCTGTGTCCTGGCTTTGCCATGACTTCCTGATGCGGTAATCCTCGCCAAGTTTCCCCCCCATAATCTCTTTGAGTGGTGTAGTTCCGTCTCCGAAACAGTGTGGCCTGTCTATGCAGACCCCTTTAGGATCGCATGCGGCCAGGGGAGGAATCCCTTGATTCCTGCCAACCACTGTGCCCGAATCCCAATGATGTCAAGATGAAAATAAAAATAAAAAATAAAACCAATAAAAATCGCTTGCGCTCAGTCATGATGATGACGAGGATGAAATGCAGTGCCGCTAAGTGGTATTGTGAAACGCCGCCCATATGCAAAGAGAATCAGAAACAACTTTTTTGAATTACCCAGACCCATAGTAGTGACAAGAGGCGGAGGAAGGCTCCTAGTAGACCGATATGGCCGAGACCAGTCGTGCTGGATTCCTCGGTGGGAGGTAGAACCCTTGGTCGTAGAAGTCGGCCTTGTGATCCTCGGCCTCTTGTCTTGAGTCGTCGTAGTATTCTGAAGTTGTGACTGTAGTTTCTCTTCGCTTGTCGGAGAATGTGGGTAGAACTGCGAAGGGCGGCGAAGGTGGCATTGACTCGTCTTCTGAAGAGTCGAAGTCGTCGTCAAGCTCAGGTGGTGATGCCGAGTGTGATGGTGATCGGGTGAGCGTCAGAGCTGCGAAGTCCTCCTCCTCGTCCTCCTCCTCGAAGTCGTCCTCGTCCATGGCTTGCAGCTGTGGCGAGGGCGGCACGACGGTGTTGGAGGGCACTCTTCTCAGTGGAACGACGTCGGCCATCTCGATGTCGTCGTCGTCCGAAATGTCGCTGTCCGAGTCCGAGGAGTCCCAGTCATCCTCGGCCTGCTCTGGGGTGGAGTCGGCCCATTGTACGTGTCTGTCCTCGGTCTTTGGTGATGCTCCGCGGACGGATTGGTTGAACCAGCTCTCCTGTTCCCGCTCGGCATCGGCAAGGTCGAGCATGAGGGAGTCGAGCAGGTTGGCGTGGCCAACCAAGAGTCTGAGGTTGTGGTCAGGCTGGGCAGCCTCTCGCGAGAGCTTTGCCCGGGCCTTGTGGGCCAGGTAGTATGTCTGGGTGATGGACATCTTCTTGGGCGTTGGTGGTGGTGAGTGTGGATGGTGGAAGGGGGAGGAGAAGGCAGTTGTTGAGACCATCGTGTATTGTAGTGGTAGTAATATACGTCCAAGCGGTCTGTGTATGTTATGGTGCAATAGGTAGCAGTAATTCTCTGCTCTGGTGAGTCAGGCCCCGAAGGTCGGCAAGGCGTCCGTACTTGTATAAGTAATTGACGTGCGCAGGGATTAGACTCGGTCTGGCGGTTTGGCTTGCGCCCTGGGGCGGGGGTCCCCTTCCGGTACGAGGGGGTACCTGGGTACTTGGGTCACGCTTGTGGAAAAAGTCGAGGCTGCCGTCGTGGAGCGCAGCAAGCGAGCTGAGAGCGAGTGCCGTTTCCGTCCTGGGGCTATTGGGCTGGGCACCTGGTCTCTCGTCTGTGTTGTGTGTATTGGGAATAGGGCTCTTGCTGGGCTCGAGCTCAGGTATCTCTCTTTGATCAGTGCGATGCTTGTTTGTTGCTTTGGGCAGTAAGAGAATAGTACTGGAATGCTGAGTCTAGAGCTGGTCCCGGAGAAGCGGGAGGATGGGCTATCCTTATGTAAATGGACGATGACCGGATCTGCTGAGCGAGCGTGTTGTGCTGGCTCGGCCTTAAACGGGGTCAGGAGGGCACGGAGGAATCGCATCGGCCTTTGCTTGTGTAAGTACGGGTTACGAGCGGTGAGTCGACAGGGTGCATGGCTTACGCGGAGACTTCTCGCATAATTCGTGCTCCCGCCCAACCATTGCCCAGGTGGACTCGTCGGAGTTTGAAGAGCGCCGGTGGCTTGGTCCCTGCAGCCATGATGACTCTGACTCCCCGGCCGTTGTTACCTGCGGCCTAGCGTATTACTTGCTTAGTATGCAGAGTCTAGTCCCCTGGAGGTAGGTATACCACTCAAACCCGCGGTCTTATGGCTGTCCTGCTAATGCCGGGCCCGCGGGGCGGTCACAAAGGTTACCTGCGTTAAACTACGAGCGAGGCTAAGCACATCAGTCGAATCCGGATGCGACAGTGTTTCGCTCGTACCGGGACGCCCAGTCGCCAGCCAACAGTGACCTCAACGGGACCTGCGCCCTTTTGCGCCCTCGCACTCCAGCCCACACACCGCTGGGAAACGCGCGCCCTTCTCGCTGGTTGTGACTCGTTTTCGCATGCTGAGGAATCGGCGGCCGTTTTCCACCACCATACCCCTGCACACCCCTAGCCCTGCACAGCAAAAATGCTGATTGTTCAGCATCGTGGTGCCCGCAAAACCCTTCGCCGATTAATAATTCCCGGCTCCCGCACGGCACCGATTGAGTCAACCTTTCATTAGATTCGTGGACTACCGGCTTCGAATGGTTTCGCAGCAATCTCGCAACCCTAGCCGTGCATGAGGTCAATGATCGACCACATTTTATCCGTCCATGACAAGTGCAAGACGCTTTGTCGCACGCGGCTTACAGAGCATCGAGTATATGACAATTCAATCAACTTTGGCATACAACGGGCTCTGCGTGTTTGACTGTCCCATGGCCCTGAGACTGGCCAATTTCTCCGTCGCGGCAGAAGGCTACTAGCCTTGTACTTAATTCGAGTCTGCCAAATTTCCTCCACACGTCGCAGGACATGCTGTCGTCTGATGTCAAGACTCGCGATGCATCAGATTAGATGAGCCCCATCTCCCTGGGTTCCCCCCGGTTTGTGACGGCGGTAACAGCCTTTGTGACTAGCTCGTAGCGCCCACTGCCAATCTCCCACGGCTGGCTGGAGATTCGGACTCGCTTGGGCTCGGGTCCGTCCCCAATGCCGGATCCCGCTCTGATTCATCATTCATCAGGCAGTCGTTTTTCCAAGATCACTGGCGCAGCTTTAGTCTCCGTGCCAACTCAAAATGATGCGTCATCATGATATCCGAGCCATTGTTGGCAGGGCGCAGGATTTTTTGGAGTCTGCATAACTCTTTGTGCACATTGAGCGATCAGAGAGTGACGAGCCAGGGGGCCAGAAGCGACGTCCACGTCGCTTCAGACAAGCCAAGGCTGTCTTTAATTGACACCTCACGATCTGCGCTTACGCATAACAACACAGCAGCACTGCATTTACATAGTACAGCCCGTGGAGAAAGGGCTGCCCGCCTTTTTGGCAGCGGACATGCCTAAACGATCCCCGGCGGTGTCACGAAATCAATTTGTCTGAAAACCCCAACTTCCACAGCACCCTTGTGGGCTCCGCTTCTCAGGAACAGCATGCATCTGTGCTCTTTGGGCTTGGATTCCCCACGGCCGATTCTCGTATGTTCCCTACTGTGCTGGGAATCCATTGGTGGTGCTTGGTGAGATGCAAGCCCTCAGATCAGTGTGGAGAGCGTAAATGTAGGGCTGAGATAGCCGGGTAGATTTGTTAGATAATCTGCCCATATTACTCAGCCACGATGCTCGGTCATCTCCTTGAGGGACCGGCGTTTGCGCCGTAACGTAGCAGATCAGGGCCTTGGCGGCCCTCAGGCCAGCGAAAGACGCCATGCTACGACGGTCTCGCAACTGAAGCTGCAGACTGCAATTGAATTTGTTGGCATTTTGCCAAGCGACAGTTGGCTGTGTATCAAGACTGCTGAGGTGAGTCGCTTGATTGGGAGGAAATTGCACGGCCGACTTCCCCCTGTAAAATGATCTCAGGACTAGGCGGGAGAGAGATCTCAGACCAGTCAGGCAGCAGAATTATTGACAACTGACATCGCGACAAGCCTCCCCCATGTTGAGCTGAGGACGAAACAGGTCCACGTAGTTGTTGTACACAGTAGCTCCAATTTTCCGAGGCTCCTGCCGCGTAGTATGGTACGCCGCCGTACGATGCACGTACACAACTTCAGACGGGGTGGAGCCAGTGGTCAATGTTTTTCAATTTGCACAATTATATTCAATGAGGCTTGTTACCGTCACGAAAAGAAGACCCTGGATTTGAACGGGTTTCGCATCATGTAAGCGCTCATTCCCGTTTTGCCAGGGAACCCTTTTCTTCTGGCACATCGTCGGATTTCCGTCGCGCAACAGTCGGCATTGCATCCGGGTAACAAACAATAGCCTACAGGCGGGCAGCCGTAATCAGAGTTCGATCTGACATGCGTCGAAGCAGCAGGCCGGAATTTCCAGGAGCGTTCCTTTTCCATGCATCGTGGTACCCTTCGAGAAGCCTTCTCCATGATGCAGGCAGTGCATACCTGCAGAAGTAAGCCCATGGTTACAGAGGTTCAGCCACTCAGCCAGCCATCAATATCGGAGCCCAGTGAAGGTAACCAAGCATACCGCCTCGGCCGCGCATACAACCGTAGCAACTTGAAGGCCACTGCAAGCGTCTGATATCTTAGTGTCTGCACAACCATCGTTCAAATTTTTTTTTCTTTGTTAGCCAGTTCCATTGGCAAAGAAGATTCGGCCGTACTATGGTAAAAGACCCGGGCGGATCAAGTCTAACAGCGAGGTGGAGTCTCGGAGTTAGCCGCTGGAGTTTAGCTTCCAGGCTCTCAGGCCCATGTGTGACTCCGTAACGCAGTACTAGATGGGTAACAGCGTGGTACCCCAGGCCGGTTTTGCTAGTTTAGTCTCCTGGCCTTCCGGAGTGCAAGCGTGACCACCCGAATGCGAGTCCAAATACCCTCATGACCCAGGCCCGGTGTCTCTTCCACGAGTCCTTCCGACTTGTCCGTAGAACACCCTGTTCAAATCATTGACAAGGCCATCAGCCCAAAAACCACGCATACTGCTTGCGTGGACGATCACCAGGCAGACAGCGCTGTTGTTTACCCGACTCGCTTCCGGTTCATATTCTTGGAAGTAAACATTAGACGCAACCGTTGGCTCCCGAACGGAGACCTAAGGCGCCGAACGGAACCAAAGGGAGGTCATGAGGAATCAATCAGATCTACGCCAGGGATTCCCAAGGCTCCCAAGGCTTCCATCCTGTTAACTCGTTTTGGGCTGTCCGCAGGCAGATCATTGCTCCGCGGCTCCCGTCCGCATAGACGGGTGTGGGGGAAGCGTTGGTGCTGCTGGTCGGCTTTTATCCAAACACCGAGGAAGCGCGCCCTGGCGCCGTCCATGCCAGGACACGGGGGAACGGGGCTTTTCCTATCCTACCTCCGTCCCAGGCCAACCGACCGGCGGAAACTTATTTTCTTCGCTCTGGCTAAGGCTTAATGACACATATCCTGCATAGAGTTGGCGGCGTTTCTCTCCTCAGAACGGCCGGCTCTTTGAGTCGCACACTCCTAGCGTGCCGAAGACCCGTTTCCGAGGTTGAGGTCGAACAAGCCTTGATGCGGTCATAGCTACCAGGAACCCTGCGCACATGTCAGGAACGCATATCAGGAACCAAGGCGACGCATTTTACTTCATTGGGATTTTTCGCTCAAGCTGTCACTACATCATAACCGCTTACCGATGCAACCATTAGCCAACCAGTCCTTGGTGAACGATGCCTCTTAGGAATCTGATTCCTGCCGTCGTTCCCTTAGAGGGCAGATCTCAGGGCAGTGCCTTCACAACATTCCCACCATCGCAGCCATCATGAAGTAAGTGCAGATGTAATTTGAAATCCTCGCAAAGAGGCGCCGCCATAGTCGTAATCCTATTCAATGCCATAGTAAGCCTACGGTAAGGGACCGTATCCCAAGCCTGGGGCCGGAATCCTCTCCGCCACGTGGGATGAAGAACAACGACGTAAGAGTGACATCGCATTCGCTCCGCCACGGCAGTGCAGTCTGTGGAGCCTGACTGTCAGGTACCACCCGTCCCATTGTGGAAGAAGCTTAACTCCCGCAGCTGAAGGATGGGGGCTGGATGACAAACCCGGAATGAACTAGTAAACCCGTTACAAGCTGACATATAGTGGTGGCATTCGCTTAGTCCCATTCCTTAGACTGGGGAGTCAACCCTTGCTGATCCAACGGACCCTCCCTGACAAATCAGGATGCTTCATTGATTACCCTGTATATCATCCTATGTCAGAGTAACCGAGATGGCAGGCCAGTCGCTAGGGCTATATCATTCGGACTAGATAAGGTTGGTGTCATCATTGTCGAACAGAAAGCAGTAGCACCAAGACAAGGCGGGTGGCAAAGCTAAGGGGATACTTGGCAGTATCTGCAGCGGACGGAACCCATAGACTTTCGTTGGCAGCGCTTTGACTAATTGATGAACCTCATTATTGAACAAGATGAAGTAACTATTGATCTTCTATGCTATAGTAGAACTCGTGACTGTGAACAAGATACATATGAGGTATCACAAAAAAAACAGGTAATATAGTGTAGACGTGGTATATAGGTTGTATTCGCAAAGCGGGACATCTTTGGCCGCAATCTAACGTCTATAGTGTCTATGTGGTCCAGAATATCTTGGCGGTAATACGAACTCTAGTTTATCGCCATCTTCAACAACTCTCTGCTGCCATATTGTCATGTCCGCTTGGAAGATCTCCATCGCCGCCTCGTCACCTGCATCGAATGGCTCCTTGCCACTGCCAATTTGCGCTAACTGCGCCTGCGAAACGGCCAATCCCAGCGACAAATCATTCTCCAGCGGCCTCATGGGTTTTCTGGCTCCCATGACTCGGCCATCGAGAATATCTCTGCAGAGTTCTGGTTCAGCAGTGGCTGGTCGGCCGATGCCAACCCCATCCACGGTATCAAGGCTCCGGACCATTGCCTCGGCGGACCGGAAGCCACCGCTCAGGTAAACCCTCAACTTCGTATCCGGACCCAGGGCCTTGGTGATAGTCTCAGCCCACTCGAGGAAGAAGGCCTCGCGGCGGCGCGTCGACTCCTTCTCCCAGTGCATGCCGGACTGGCCAGCCATGCCGCCGCTCAGCTCGACGAAGTCGAAGCCGAGGGCCTCGAGGGCCTGGCACAGCTCGCGCGCCTCGCGGGGCGTGACGCCGCCGTCCTGGAACTCGACGCTGTTGAGCTTGGCCGCGACGACGAAACCCGGGCGGACGCGCGCTTTGATGGCCCGCGCCACCTCGGACACGAAGCGCAGCCGCGACTCCATCGTCTGCGGCCCGTACGCGTCGGTGCGCTTGTTGGTCAGCCGCGACAGGAACTGCGACAGCAGGTACCCGTGCGCCGCGTGCAGCTCGACGCCGTCGAAGCCGGCCTTCTCGAGGTACGCCGCCGCGTGCGCGAATCCCGCTATGAGTCTCGCGATCTCCTCCTCCGTCGCGGGGTGCGGTGTGGCGTATTCCATACCATTTCCTTTGTCTGGCGTTCATCATTAGTTTTCTGTCAAGTATCGTCTGGTTTTTGACACTACCAGATCGAATAGACTCACCTAGTTGTACGTCAGACGCTGACACGGCGACGGGATTGTAGCGGTATTGGAGCTGGCGGCCCGGATGTGTGATCTGGGCAATCATGAGACTCCCGTCCGCCTTCCCCGCTGCGGCGATCTTCTTGAACATCTCAAAACGCTCACCTGTCGGTTCGCACTCGGGTGTTACGATCATGTCACCGGCAGCAGCGATGGATCGGAAGTCAGTTTCCACGTTCCCGGTCACTATCAAACCCCAGCTGTTCTGTCCTTCACCCCAGCTATCACCCCCTGATAAGCATGTAGTTCCGCATAATAGGCGCCAGGCGCAAGGCTGAAAGACAATAGACTGACCGCTTATAAAGCTCTACCAGTTCATCTGTGGGAACACCTCTTTGTTGGGCGTCCGTGGGGCTCCAGCTTGCTAGGCCCTGGGCGCTTTCATGAAGCGATTTTTGGCAATCCGCCCGGAAGGATGGAATTGGAGTGGTTGAGCGAGAGACGAAATGTCCACATCCGTAGTACCGTAGCGTTGTGAAGCCATGGTGATACTTCGATTAGATGGCTGCGATGATACAAGACAGTGTGACCAGTAAGTTTGGGTCAGAATAGACACCCTATACCTGGTTGATCTTTATACCCGCTTGAGCACTCGTTCAAGCGCCATGCTACAGCCATCTCAAAAGTTCACTTGGCCAATAGCGACAGTTCAGCACCGTTGGCAGGAGTCACTGGATCCCAGGAACGAGGCTGGGTTTGGAATAATTGGCTATCGATAGTGTTCATGCTCCGCTCACATGCAACTTAGCCAGGCTGTATGACTGATATCTCTTCGGATCCCCGCAAGAGTCCAATGGATTATCAATCGTATCTTTCACCTGTTCCCCTGATGGGGAGGCCGAAGCTATGCGGTGCTGTAGGTCTCCCCGTTATGATTGACCGTTATGGTTGGCCGTTATGCTTATTTGTTATGCCGACTTTTTGTGTATTCAATGGCCATAGGTGATTAAATAAATAATCCAAAAGTGTTATCAAGAATGCCTTTTACAAGCGATGTAGACGATCTAGCCGCATTTATGCAGGGCCCTGCATTGCGAACTGTGAAGTTGCAAGCAGGTAATCTTGTACCAGCCGAAGGTCTGGCGCTCTACTTACTCACGAAGTCCTAGTAGGAATCACCGCATGTATTGACAAGAACTAGCTGTGATGCCTCATAAATAGTCTTTGACATGATCTCATGTTACCATGGTGGTTTCAAGCCCAAGACGATCAAGTTGTCCGGTCAATCCTATTTCGTCTCCTTTTCTTGCAGCTGGTAAGGAGTTTATGACTGGCATCTGCGAACATTTGTTGCGAATGTGAAAGTTTCCATCGACTCCTGTATTCCAGTTTAATCAATTTGCAAGACAAGTTCAAGTTGCTTCTCAAGTGCACCCGCGAAGGGTATCAGCTGCAGTGCATTAAGCGAAATTGCGTGTGGTGCTTCTGTAGATACATATCTAGTAGCCAGGGAGGCTGATAGGACCAGTACGGTTCGAGGGGTTCGCTGAACTGGGACTGGAAATACAGTTGAATTATCGTATGTTATACAAAATTGGACCACAAAAGGAAGGACGAAGGTATCAGGGAAGCATATGAGCCGTCGGCAACTGTCTAGGTAGTAACGCAAACCCCCTATTCAGCCCGTAGCTTCTGCATGCCACGCTTCCTCTTTCCACCCACCTCCTTGTGCTCCTCAATCTCCAGTAGTGCTTCTCTCTTCTTCTCACTGACAACCTTGAGCGCGTCGCGGATGACTCTGGTCTCAAGGTTAACCCCTTCCTCCTCCCATGCTACCAGAGGTCGTCCGACGCGCTTCTCGATGGCCAGGATGAGGTCAACATCCCTCTGCCCGACGAAGCTGACAGCGTCACCCTTCCGCCCAGCTCGAGCCGTACGACCAACCCGATGAATGTAGTCATCTGGGTCTCGAGGGATGTCATAATTGATCACTAGGGACACCTCAGGGATATCAAGACCTCGGGCAGCTACGTCGGTCGCAACTAATATCCGTGCTGCAGATGCTCGGAAACGACCAAGATTGTCTATTCTTTGGCGCTGGGGTAGCTTTGAATGCAGTGAGGTTACCCGGTGATCTAGTAACCGGAGCAGATGATGCAGAAACTCGGCGGTACTCGTCCTGTTGCAGAAAATGATAATAGACTTCTCAACGTTGACATCAGTGAGCAGGAACATGTGCAGATAGTGCTCCTTGTGGGTGACGGGTACTTGGATGTACATCTGATTGAGCGTTGCTGGGATGGCGAGTACCTGCGTGTCAACCTCACAAACGAATGGCGCCTCTTTTCCTGGTTTACGGGGCAGATCCTTCAGCGCTCGTACTTCAGGTGTCATCGTTGCAGTAAAGAGCAGTGTCTGCCTTTCCACTGACGGCGGAAGGACTGCAAGGCACTCCTCTGTAATTTAGTCAGTAAACCGGAAGTTCCAGAACGAAGAGCACCAAAGCAAGCACAACGTACCAATGTCAGGTAGCATAGAGCCCGGACCCCCTGAAGTAAGCAACCTATCCGCCTCGTCGAGTACTAGAAACTTGACTCGTCGCAGGCCGCCCCAGGTATCTTCACCAGAACTCCTGATGTGGTCAGCCAAACGGCCCGGGGTCGCAACAATCACATGTGGACGCTGAGCTAAGGCGATCGCTTGTGACCGCATATCAGCTCCCCCAGTGATCAAGATAGCCTTTACGGTCTGTGCTGCTGAAATCGCTTTCACCTGCTCCATGATTTGCAGAGCCAGTTCCCTTGGACTTGTCAGCGTTCTGTATTGCTAAGAGTCTGAGAGGAAGCCTTACCTTGTCGCCGTCAAGATCACGGCAAATATCGCGCTGGGGTCCTCTGCAAGTTTTTGCAGAATAGGGGCTGCAAAGGCCACAGTCTTTCCTGAACCTGTACGGCTTCCTCCGATGCAATCACGCCCCTTTAGGATCTGGGGGATACAGGCCTTCTGAATGCCAGTGGGCCGTTTGATGGCCATGTTGGCCAGGGACTGGACTAGCCATGGCCGCAGCTTGAGAGAATCGAAAGTAGTGTTGGGATCGACTGGAACAGAAGTTGTAGTGGTCTCCGGTTTAACGCCTGCTGTAGCATCTGGCTTCACCTTTGGGGGCTCCGCTGTCTTCTTCCTGATACGAGATGGTGCCTGAATAGACGATATGGCAGAGGTTTGATATGGCTCATCATCTTCAGGGTCGACCTCTACATCCACGCTGACCTTGCGTTTCTTCCTTGGCGCATCGCTATCCAGGGCGTCTGAATCCGAGTTGCTGCCCTCGTCGCTTTCCTCCGCGATGTCACTGTCCCTGCTTGCATCTGATTGCGACGACAGTGACTGAACCTCAAGAACCTCGGCCTTGGCGGCGCGCTGCTTCGCGGCCGTGCTCTTGGTAGATGGCATGACTGATCCGCAGATGAGATAAGCGGCTGGTCGTGTGATGACCGAGAGGGTGAACGTATATCTGACTGGCGTGCCTGGTAAAAGGTACCTCGCCCACAGTCTTGGCCTCGAGGATACTTTGCGGCTCTGAGTGCACAGGCTAGATGCCGGATGGGGAAGTCAGATATGTGTCAGACGCTCGTTCCGGGATGGCTGCACACTTCTGCGGTCCAGCACATACACAGAGCCAACCCCTACACTCGATGATGGCATGTGTCGACGGGACGCCGATGAGATGTGAAAATCTTCTACTGTAAGCTCGCGCTTGCCAGAAAAATTCACAGTGGGGCGGTTGCAGGGGGGCGGGGGCTGCTAGGGGACAGGGGGGGAGGGGGGTCTGTCCACTGGCCGCAGGAGGCTGTCAGTTAGCGGCCGGTGTGGGGTAAAACGGCAAACCGGCCGCGGGCAACGGGGGGGGGCACCGTAAGGTACGTACCTAGGTGCCTCGGGGCCTACCTAGACCCCTAGAGGGCAGCTAGCCGCCGGCGCTTGAAGATGGCATGACGGTTAATAGCGACTGGCTCGACTGGCTTGCCTTTCACATGATCCTTGAGCCTCTTGCGCTCGCGAGATTGGAGACAATTGCCGCTGGATCGACATTGCAGTCCTGCGCATAAATGAAGGCCTGTGTTTGCTATGCCAGCATGCCTGATCCCCGCCTGCCGAGCCGGTCAGTCACCTACTACAAAGGCAGCCCCGTTCGAGGAAGCTCGGGATGGCTTCCCATACGACCCAGGAAACCGAGTGGCTCTGAGGCTCGGGGCTAGCCTGCCATTGAGCATTGAATCTCACGAGCTTCTGCGCCCGAGTCCATCGACTGCGACCTTGGGCGATGCGGCCTGAGCGAGCACCTGCAAAACCTGGGGGAGGTTGCCATCGACTCGACCCTTGCAGAGAGCCCGGCTCCGAACCAACACGAGCCCTCAAGTGAGGGACGCGTCACGTGGAAAAGCAACAAGATCACACCCATGGGATCGAAGTTCTGGTCAATCATGCGGATGTTTATGGCCGCTCCAACCGAAAGCATGTCCTTCCTTGGAGACACTACGTGGTAAGATACCGGGAAGCTTCTCACCATCACCATAGGCCACTGGATACCCCAAATCTGACTCCGCAGCCTTGGTGGTGGCTTGTGATTCGGCCACGTCGATGTAAGGTGAGAAAGGCGGCGGCACTCTTGATCGGTTGTAGAGGATTTTTGGACCCCAGAAGACACACACCTGCATGTCTCCTGTAATGTAGCCCCCAATGCTGCACCGCCATGGCGCAGAAGGATCGGGCTGCGTCCGCCGATGTTTGAGGTTCTTCTTCTGCAATGGTAGGTTGCTCTGAGCTGCGACCAGCGGTGTCAGTGACCGCATGCTTACCTGCGGAAAGATTGCGAGGTTGCACGAGGGCCACCACACGCGCAAGAACCTGACTCCCGACACTGCAGAGTGTTGGTGCACAAGCACGCATGTGCGTGTGCCTGCAAGCATACGACTAACGTAGTTGTGCGTGCTGCCGTCTCACCAAAGTCCACCCATCCCTCGTCTGAAGTTGCTGGAGCAGACCAGCGTCAGAGTGACGTTTGGAGGCACGCTGGCCAGCTTGGGGATCAGAGCAGCTGGAGAATGTTCATGTGCCGTACCACGACCAGCCAGAGGGCTTTGTGGCTTGGTTGCTGGTGTTGCATCATTGCCTACAGACAGACGATGCCTTTCCATCCCCGAAAAGCACTGGGACATTGCACCATGGATTACTGCCCTTCCGCGTAGCTGCCAACGGGGTCATCGCCGGTTCGGTTCATTGATTCAAGGTGAGGTGAGAATGGCTTGACAATGCGTCCAGGGTCTGGTTGCATTCGACCCCAGGGGGGGTTAAGAGGCATGCAGTCATCTTAATGTACCGCGTAGGCGGGAAGTCATTCCAATCCATCGCTGTCGGCTGTCACTGGACGGACGGGCTCTCGGCTGATCCCTGGAGGCGCCCCTGAAGCTTAATGCTTGGTTGCACGAGAAAACCAGGCCAGCAAGAAGGAGAAGGCCGCGAGATTGCAGGTAACTTATCTCGATCGGAACTGCATTGGTGGCTCATCGATGCTGTCCTGTTAAAAGAGCCGTCACACCCAGGCGCAGCCCGACCGGTAGAGAGCGTCGACTACAGCACCTCAACCCGTCCAGCGTCTGCCCATCCAGCCAGCCCTCATCTGCCTGCCTTTCTCAGGAACGGTATCGCTAGCCGCCCAGGCATTGTCTCGAAGTGCCATATACGAAACGGCCCACTGGCATCAACATCAGCGACGGGGCGTGTCAAAAGCCACCCGTCAACCTTGGAACCCACCGACCCCGCCAACTCGAGGCACATCTGGATTCTGAGCCGTCACTCGATCGACCAGCCCATCAATCACCTCCTCGGTCCGCGCGGTCCAGGTCTGCCAACCCACAGTCAGGTCTGCTTGTCGCCCAGGTCCGGCAACCCCACTGGCCCATCTGCGGTTTGGCGCTGGGACTTGTGCCGGCATCCCTGCCTAGCTCCCCAACTCCCTGCCAGGCTGCCAGGCCAGCCCCGGCTGCAGCGTTGTTTCTGGCGTATCCCATCCCACTCGACGACTCCGCTCGCCCAGAGAGGAGACGGCCAGCCCTGGACGGACACCAAGCAGGACCCGTGGACGACGGCACGGGCTGCTGCGGGACAAAACCCAACGGACGTTGGACTTAACCTTGGACACAAGCACGAGCTTACGCGACCACCTGTCTGTCTGTCTGTCTATCTATCTATCTGTCTGCAGGTTGGTCCTTGGGCAGACATCCAACTAGTCTACACATACATTCCTGTATCTGTATATGCCAAACATTCCGCACCCATAGGCACTGCTTGCTCTTCCGCCTGAGCATCCCCAAGTATCCGTCTATCCACGTCGCTCGTTCCCCCCGCCCCCGGAAACCTCCCCATTCGCTTCGCGCCGCTTCCCACGCACGCAGCCGATTGCTTCACGACGGTCACGCAGGACCAGCGAGCTGTGAGCTCCCGCGACTAGCCTACGCCACCTGAGCATACGTATTGCATTCTTCTGCCGTATCACCGCCTCTGAGGGCTTCCTCAACAGTCGACCCCCGGCACGGCCAGCTACATACGAGCAGCTCGCTTCGGCCCTATTGAACACGGTTCACAGGCGATCAAAACTGCCAGGGCTTTGTTGGGCCTTGAACGTGCAGCCTTGATCAGTTGTTTGCATCGCGCGACCACGCCTGCTGCAGAAACCGAGTCCCTGGTGTCACATCATGTCCGAACAAGAGAATCCCTCGTCGGCGTCGAATGTAAAATGAGCCCTCTCTTTGTGTTTCATCTCGTCAGCCACTGTTCACCTCTCTTTGTCACCCACTCCAACATCTCATATGGTGAACCCCGTGCCTAGTTGTGAAATGTAACGTGCTGACATCTCTTCGCGGCGAAGGGCCCGACTCCCTCTCTCGAGCTGCCGACCCCTCCTACGGTGACGCCCGCGAATCCCAGCCCGGTTCCCATGATGAACTCCCCCGCACCCCTTCTCCGACCCGCCATCGGTGGTGGTAGACCCAGCGGCGCCAGGACACCGAGATTGGGGCTCGCCATTCCCCCATCGCCCAACGTCAAGGCTGTCGGTGGTGCCGTTGGGAACTCGCGGCCGCATCTGCCGACGCTGAACCTCGCCACGCCCATGGGAAGCACCGTAGCACCGTATGAACAGCCCCCTAGACAAGCAGGTGCTCAACCGGGCCAGTCTGCAAGTGGTGGCAGCGAGAGCAGTGCGCATTCCAGATCCGGCAGTTTCGGGCCAATGGGCGGTACCGCGAGCAACCCGACCTCGGCCGGCTCACAGTTCTCGGCACTGTCATTTGCTTCGCAATATGGCATTGGGTCTAGACCACAGGGCACGCCCGATCCCATCTCGGCAGCCGTGAGCTTATATTCCGAGAAGAGTGAGGGTGGTGTTGGCATGGAGCGAGATGGCTCGATGCAAGGCTTAGAGAACAGCTTCGACAAGCTCGCCCTAGAGAAGGCGAGAACGGCGGACGTCGAGGATCTTGATGATGAGGGGTGGCGAATCGCCAGCATGGAGAAGAGAATTGTCGAACTAGGCGGCTTAGGCGAAGGTGCCGGAGGCGCTGTCACACGATGCAAGTTGACCGGCGGCAAGACGGTCTTTGCGCTGAAGGTACATGCCCACCCCTGAACTGTTCCATTCTCCCCACTAACACGGCCAGGTCATCACCACCAATCCGGACCCCGACGTCAAGAAGCAGATTGTCCGCGAGATCAACTTCAACAAGAGCTGCGCGTCGGAGCACATTTGTCGGTACTACGGTGCGTTCGTCGACCCAGCTACCGCCACAATATCGATAGCCATGGAGTTCTGCGAGGGTGGCTCACTTGACAGCATCTACAAGGAAGTGAAGCGCCTGGGCGGCCGGACGGGCGAGAAGGTGCTCGGGAAAATCGCCGAGGGTGTCCTTGGTGGTCTGACTTATCTGCACAGCAAGAAGATTATCCACCGTGACATCAAGCCTAGCAACATCCTTCTTTGCCGTAATGGCGAGGTCAAGTTGTGTGATTTCGGTGTCTCTGGCGATTTTGGGACCAAGGGCGAGGCCAACACCTTCATTGGAACAAGTTATTACATGGCGCCGGAACGAATCACCGGCCAAAGCTACACTATCACATCGGACGTCTGGTCGACAGGCGTGACCTTGCTGGAGGTTGCCCAGCACCGATTCCCCTTTCCGGCAGATGGAACGGAGATGCAGCCAAGAGCTGGCCTTATCGACTTGCTGACGTATATCGTGCGACAACCCATCCCCAAGTTGAAGGATGAGCCGGATTCCACTATCTTCTGGAGCGATAGCTTCAAGTACTTTATCGAGTGCTGGTAGGTCTACCCCTGCATAAATGCATGCTTGAGATACTAACCGTCCTCACTAGTCTCGAGAAGGAGCCAACGCGCAGGGCAACCCCGTGGAGGATGCTTGAACATCCTTGGATGCTTGAGATGAAGACCAAGCGCGTCAATATGGAGAAATACTTGTCACAAGTCTGGGGTTGGGACGACGCAGAGAAGGCCGCTTGAGGCACCTTTCCCCTTGAATGCAAGTTGCAGGGCTTGCCGACGAGGAACAAGCAATCTTCCAACATCTCCGCCTTCTTATTACAGCGAATCGAATAGCGTCATATATTGGATACCCTTAGTTTAGGTTTATACGCGACGGAATGTTGGGGGAGATAAAATGCTCGTGGCATAGCCCCCGAAGTTCACAGACATTAGGTGCAGACAACAGGTGCAAGGATTCGCGATACGGGCACCAGGAAACGGCTGGATTGATGGAGTTTCGGTGCCATGCGGACGGCTTGTGACCACGTGAGATAGCAGTCATACAAGACACCAGACACAAGCAAGCTGGTGTGCTCATGAGCAAGGCATACACATATGTCAGTACAGTTTAGCCGAAACGGGACGAATTAGGCCAAGGTACGGTTGTTGGGGAAAGGGGTCGGGGGCCACACAAGGTTCGTAGGCTATCTGAACAGGAACAAGCGAAGTCCTTCATAAAAGTTCAAAGTCCATTGCAGTCTATTGAGTGAAAATTGGGTTGCATTGCAGCTGTCGGAATCTCCGGTGTGCCGGTCAGCGTCAGCCCAGCCCACGTGGCACGCGACCAGGGGCAAGTCAGGCAGGCGAATCAGTCAGAGCCGGGTACGGTAGCATAGGGACCCTTCAACCCGGGGTGCCACGCGAGGTTTCAACCCTGGGACTCTTGGATCCTGACCGCCCTGCTGCATGTCAGCATTGCTGCACGGGACGGCAATTGGGCGAGAGTCGATAGGAGGCGACCGTTTATTAGTCTCGGGTGCTGCGTGGGTGCTCAGGGGCTCGAGATGCAGAATGCAGAGCGGCAGCCTGCCTACTTGCTTGCTCATACCTGATGACTGGTGCAATACGAACCCTGGCATCCACGTGGTTACTGTGAACCCCCAGTCAGGTGGGTAAGACTTTGGAGATGTGTTATGCAATTCTGTATATGCACTCTAGGTGGGCTTGCTTCCCAGCGTTACCCTTCAACTCTGCTACTCGTTGGCACGCCGAGGGAACGTGGGTTTCAGTGTCGCTGTGCCTCGACAATGCTGACTGATGCTGGGAAGTCGTGAGTTGCGAGATGGGATACAGAAGGGCTTGGAGCATCGGCTCCAGGCGAACGTGGAGACGGCGGCAGATAATATAACGAGACTGTCTATTTCTGACTGGTTTATCTAATGAAAAATTGATAGTCAAGGTACAGGGTGGAGATTTCCTTCGGGACTGAATGTTGCCCGTCGGCCTGCTTCAATAGAATTTGCAACCCTAAGTTCACTCTTCATGACATCGGCGCTGGCAGCAAATCCCGTCGACTCCGGTTAGGCCCCTCTGGGTTCCACGCATGGTAATGCGGCTCCGAGCGATCTTACTGCGGCTGGGGAGGACGATGGCATCCTCAGTATAACATAGCAGAACGTCGGACTCACGCCTCTCTTGTAGTCAGACGCCGTTGTGGCTCTTACATACTGACGAAGCCCAAGTTTGAGTACAAGATAACCGCCTGGTGAGACAGCTCCGAAGGGACTGGTATTGGGGTCATCACCCGTCCTATGAATTCAATAAACATACAGGTAACGTGTTATACGACGCCAGAGCCTTGCCGGTACCCTCCGGAGGGGGAAGCGTTGTAAGATACAACTGAATGACTACTCGTTCTACAGACTCTATCGAATCAATTCGAGTGTTATAGTGAAACTCAGTGGTGTAAGCTCTGGCAATAATCCATTCACACGAAATGGAGATAATAGTTGACTCAGAGATCAGGTATAAGTCGGCCTTTGATCTTCTCCGCCAGTTTCAATTCAGGTACTGGGTCCAAGGCGCGGATCAGTGAACTTTTTCAATTTAAATTGGCCGACGAAGCCCACTGTCGTTTCCGGCGGTACATCTAACTGCAGTGTTTATCTCAGATGGAGGGCGATGACTGGGGTGACCTCAGTATCCATCGCTGTCGTTGTATCAATCGTCGCGACGCTGACCCGGCGGGCGAGATGCACTTTGAGCATATGTTACCCATAGTTTCTCATCATTGACGACTACTACGGATTCGAAATCATTATTTTCCGAAAATACGCGGCACGAGATGACGCCACAGGATCTGCCAATCCCCGTGACGCGTACAAGTTCGAAGTGTATGGCTTCCGCATCAAGCAGATAAGTACTCGAACAGACAAAGCCTCCCGCCGTGTAACGTGGACCGCACTCACCAGGTACGTGTTCTGCCGCCTTTGAATTACGGACCTTTCTCTAACATGAATCTACAGCCAAGTAGTCGGTAGAACGTCTGTATGCCGTGGGAGCCGAAAAGCCCCAAGGGGAACCAGGCTGTTGAGGGCCGTCAACCTGTGAATCTGTGGCAGAAGCATACACACGCTGCAGTCCAGCCGGTTTCACAAGTGTAACTCAGACAATGAACAGATGCAACATTGGTTATCCCCTGAGATACGGGAGGCATTCCTATCATACCGCGACTTCTCCGGCGACCTCCGTGGAGGGCGCATGCCCCGAATGGACCGACGCCACAGTCAGGGGAAGATGGCAGGTGGAACGTCCGGCTCTTGCAGAGCCGGCCCTCACGTCCGTGGCGATGCACCCGTGCCCCGGAGCGAGGCCGGCCGTTCCTGCAGGAACGCCGTGATGCCGGCCACCGTGATGGACACGTACTACCGTCTCAAAGTACTGGGAGTTAAACGACGAAATTGAGCGGAGGGACTTTTGGGGGAAACCTCATAACGAGAGGGATGCTGGGTACGAATGGGAGAAGAACTATGTGGACCTAGCTGGTTTTTAGAACCTCGTATGGGGAGCTGAACCGATGCAGCCAAATATCTCCATCATCGATGGTGTCATCTTGCTCGTTTCGCATCTCATTTTATTATCTTATTTCTCACTGTACAAACCAGGTACTAACAGACAGAATGTTCGACTAACAGTAGATACCCTTCTAGCCGAAGGCAGGGGATCCCTCCCATGTGATCAATGGGCAGGAAAGTAGACATCACAGCGTGGCAGCGTCAGCAGTTAATGTAACTGAACAGCGACACCGCCGCGAGTGACGAGTCCTCGTCTGGGCATTGCATGTTTGGATCGATGGGCTAGTAACGTACCCTTTGTCCCCCTGTGACCCACGATGCCTGTGCGGAGAGGAGGGGGTGGGGGTGATGTGCGCACTGCAACAGAAAACGATCTGGATTCCGGATTCAGACTAGCGGAGCTCGTCTAGTCGTCTATCTTAATACTCGGATCTAACCGGCTCCCAATCAGAGCCGGCTAGGGTGATCTTGATTACTGCTTTGGGATATGCGTGCTAGCCGATCTTGCTCTTTCGTTGCTGGATCCCGGCACTAATCCTACCCGTCGTGGAAACCAGAGAGCTTGAACCACGAGACCCGACTACCGTTAGGGTTCAGGGCTACATAGAGATGACAGGGTAATGAGATAGTCTGGCCGAAATTGTACTGTGATGAAAAGACCCGGAGAAATTAGTTATGGGCTGGCCACAATGGTGACGAACTATCCTGCATCCCGGCCGGGCCAATGGCGCGCACAGCCTAGTGGATGCGAGACGTCTGTGAGAAAGCCGCATGAACCCCTGCTTGCATGGAAACATGCATTGCGAACGAAAGCACCACCTCACGAGATTTTCTCAGATATCATTTGCGATTGCGGAGCCAGTTCCAAAGGACACTGTCATCTTTGAGGGATATGTGCTGAAATTGTGAATGCAGCCGGATAAATACTCAACCACTGCAACCGTCAAAGGATCTTCCATCCGGACCAAATCAATCCTCGTCCAGGAGTGAACACTGCTGGAGCATGTCTGAGGACAGGTCGACCGGATCTCCCGGCGAGATAGCAGGAGGTATCTTCAGAGAGGAATGGGAATCGTTTTGCGAAAAGAGCCAAAAGCAGGCCAGAAACAACCAAATCGATGCAATATGCCAACACATTAGCCGCTACATCACGCATATCCACGAGGGCTGGAAGGAGAGAATCTGGAGGCCGAGTCTAGAGCAAAGGCTTCAGTACTACGTGCGGTGCATTTGGCGGATACTACACGATGCGGCAAGGTACTGCAATGGACAATACAGAGACAGGTTGATAATCGAATTCCTCCTCATTCGAGGAATGGGCCAGATATCATGCTTCAGTATCTCGAAGGAGGGGAGGGTGGAAGAGAGTGTCCCACTGTCCCTAGGATCGGGCCGGATGATGTGGGTGGACGTTCCCTTCTTTGTCGAGGATATGACGAGGCTGTGGGTACAAGATTGCGCACGGATAAGTCGTGATCAACGACGAAACCTGACCAGCTTTCTGGCAACCATCAGCGGGACAGGGACACTGGACCAGCTCTGCGGGGTCGGTCTAATCGTGCTTCGGGACGCCTTTGAGACCCAGCGGGAGATGGGTAGCCTCGACGATGAATCGGGGGATGCGGAAGACGACGAGAGAACCATGGAGTCCTTGCGTGTTCTCGATCTTTTCGACTGCGCGAGACACTGGATAATGAAAGCCTGGGACAGGTTTGAGAGGCTGGCTGCGATAGAGTTCTCTGATTTCCCCGCTGAGGTTGGACAACTCGGTAAGCTTGCCAAGGAGGCAGAGATACCGGATAATGGCGGCTTCAGCGTGGAGAGGGTTCAGTTCTGGAAAATGAGGCTGTTTGAGTTCCAAGAGATTCAGGATACAGAACCCACACTTGAGCAGGACGCCCGGCCGCCGCCACAGTCTAGGTGGCCAGATGTATAAAAGGGACGGAACTTTACCAATTGTACTGACGTCTCTCGGGACATGCTATAGCCTTATCACGTAGTCATATCTAAAATCTTTCAGGGGTACTTGTGGAGGCATTCTCTGTTAAACTTAAGTCCAAACCCGGATTTAAGTTCAGATCAATAATTCAGAATCACATGGTCAACCTGTTACGTCATACACATGGTGTTCGAGCTGAATGTAGGAAGGTACGCATGCTTACCAACCGAGAACAAACCAACCCCCCCCCCCCCCTTGAAAGGCTCCGACTAAAGCCATCTATAGTAGGATTAGGGCAAATTTGGATTTTTTTTTTACCCAATTTACCCTACGGTATTTATCAAATGACATTACACCGAGAGTCTAGCTCGATTGTTGCCACAAACTTGCAGGTCCGCTGGTGCTGCAGCATGAAACCAATGAAAGGAGTGTGAATCTATTTAGGAACTTGGGGTGGTTTGCAAGGCATTGGCAATACTGTCTGAACTTGGGCTGACCTAAGTTTAAGGTGATTATGCTTGCAGATAAAACATATTTAGACTAAGTTAATGTGCTTATGGCTTCGGGAAATGCCTCTGGGTCTCCTATCTGTTGTACAATATTATGAAACTCATCTGACGAGATACCAATATCGTTCAGAAAGTCCATGGCATCTCCAGTACTTGAAACGGGACCAAAGCTAGCACTCTCATTCATATTCTCAACGACAAAGGGATGACGACTGGGACTGGGACTGGGACTAATAGAGAGGGACCGAGCGAAGTTTATATCGGTTGTTCCGGCTGGATCCGAATCATGCAGCTGCAACGCATGAAACCCGTCCTGTCCCACTTGAACGGCAGTTGCTTGACACAGACGCTCAAGATGATCCACTTCCGCTCGTCGTGCACGTGCAATACGATTACCTCGTGAAGTCAAGTCGTCCAAGATCTGTTGGGACGATTGCATATATCTCTGGCAGTTGATGACATCCGGAAACATACATTTGGCAATAGTAAGATAAACGGCGGCGGCGAAAGCGAATTCGGTGTCGTAGGGTAGGAAAGCCTCTAAGCCAGACACTTCAGTAGGGCTCATGTCACTGCCTTAAACTACTTTCAAAAGGTCTGCTATCTTACCTAGAAGGCTATATTCACTCGTCAAAATTTCAACCGTCTTCACAGCAGACTTGAGACCGACGGAAATGACAGGCCAAGTTCGCACTAACAAGTCCTTGCTGCTTGACATATATCCTAGTGTATCTAGTCTTTCTTTCAAGACCGACAACAGTAGAGGGCGAGTGGCGACAATGACGCACTACGGAGTCAAGTAAAGTTCAACGGATGACCTTCAAGTGAAGTGACTAAACTGGTGGACTGGGAGAACAAACCTGGTGATAGAGCAAGAACACATAACGTGTCCTACGAGATACAGCCCCCACGGATGAATGAAAACTAAGACTGATGATTCTCTTAAGTTCACTGGCGTGGTTTGCTAAGGTGTGTAATATTGACCTGGTCTGCTCGATGAAGGTTCCGAGAGGTACGGTCTCGGATTTGTAGACAGCTAGACATGTGCATGGTTAGCTAAAGTTCCACCACTTTGGGTCGCAACGAACCTACTCTTCAAAATAACAGACATCAGATTTGATAGATTTACCTGTAGACTGCGACAAGTTTCGACTTGGGAGCCGGAATTAGGCAAGCTAACGGGCGTGGTGATATCGGTATCTTGTATTGACATCGGAAGCCCAACTGAGGATGAGAAATGTCTCTCCATAATGTAGAGCGTCCACCACAGATCACGACAGTAGAGTACGGTATCAGAGCCAAGATCTGCCTCTGGAAGTTGCGTATGCATCCCCTCCATTTGTGCAATACGAATTGCATGACCAAGCTTTTGTAATGAAAAATTTGTCAGTACGAAAAAAGCCATCTAGCGCCGCAACACCAGGAAAGTAAAATATGCTTCAAGACATACCTGGATATAGGCTGCTTCGCGTTCATCGACTGAGTAGAGATACAGTGCAGACAAGGCTAGCACTTCGATTGCTATGAAACTGTCTTTCCACAACGAGCTCGCATCTGGAATAAGCGTCATAGCACGTGTAAAGAACTTGGCACCTGGGGGTTCGGTGCTTTCTTCACTTGGTGTGGCGTGAAATGCAGTTCCGAAAGCTAGAATCAAGAGGAACTTGGTGAACCACATGCGATTTTCTGTCGCAGTCTGAAGAGGGCTTAAATAGAATCTGTGAATTTGACTCTCAAATGCGTCATGGTCAAATAGTCGATAAGTTTGATCAAGATGGAACTTTACAGCACTGAAGAGATATATCGCATGCGCTGCGGAGGGTAAGTCGGAGCTCATGGGAAGTTCAGTATTGGTACTCGTTTTCCAGGACCAGTCGTAGACGTTCGAATTCACCAAGTTGGCAGGAACTGAGGGGTTGTCTGGATACACCTTCTTTCGTAGCATCGCCATGAGTCGGATTGTCGACGACCATGCTGACCAGGGAGCCAACCATACTATCAGGAAGATAAGCACCTGCCGCACAAATTTGTATGGAGTAGAGAAAGCTTACTCCACAGTCTTTTATCAAAGTTCTTCGGGTTGTGAATGACCATAGAAGGTGTCGAAAACATGCTCGACAAAGCAGTGTGGTTAGATCGGCCACTCGCGTAAGTCCGCGTAGGGGTCGGTGTTGAATCTACTATGCCTTGTGCTCGATTGGGGGGATCATTTTCGGATTCAGGAGCGGCGAAAGCAGCGGCTCCGTCAGGCCTCCGCTCCGCGTTGGCATCATCACCTGAAAGCTGTTCGTAGTCATCGCGACTAGCAACAACGCTTGACGAGGCGCCAAATGCGGAGTCGCTTGCATACTGTCGCTTATTGCCCGGGTTAATTGTTGATGCTGGGGATCGCCCATGGGTCAACGAGACACAGTCTACAGTCAGTGATCGAGACTGCGACCAACCAATTACTGGAGATTCTATCTGCTGCTGCTGCTGCTTTTCGTTTTGTCTTTGCGGCTGCTGGCGCTCTCTTTGAGTCAAGTCAGTTGGAAGGTATGTGTATAACCGAGTTTGGAACTAGACCTTTGTGATATCGTCACCCGATTTCTTGCGTCGAGAGCGTCGCAACGGACGGATCGTCTCTGACAGCTATGACATGGCCGAGTTCCAGAACATTTGATCTTACTTGACCGACAAGGCACGCAGCTGAACCAGCGTATATCATCATCAGTAGAGCTCTTTAGGCCAGAAGGCGGTTGGAAGCGGGCACTCAACGCATTTGCCGTTCGCCTTCTTTTTCGTGAAGTTGGCTGTTCACCATCCAGTACGGACTTTTCCATGAAAAAATCGAAGTAGCTTAGGATCTTACTAGCAAGGCGCATTCGTAAAGCAGTAGCTTTTGAAATGAGTTTTGCAATGTGAGAACCTCTATCGTATAGCACTTGCAACTCACGAAAACCTACTCGTAGCTCAAGTCACAGGAGGGGTTGATAACGGCGCGTGATTATCTGGGTTACGTAATGATTTCGGCTCTAGTGTGGTGATGTCGTGCTAGTCTCGTAGGTATTATCATTTCGTGGGTGGCCTTATGATTGTACTTCATTAATAATGTTCTAAGCACCAGCTGTCTAGATCTTCTGCGTAGCTGCGGGACTTGGACTACCAAGATAGCCACAGATTGACAGTTCCGTTTGAGGGAGCCTATTTCGAGAGAGGCTGAGATCGTTTATTTTAGATGGGACTGTTCACTACTGCAGGGATCGGATCTGTGGTTGCAGGGATCGGGACTCGCTCACGGTCGGGCTGGGTAGCATGCGATTGGCTGTGCCTAGCGCCGAGCTGCCGAATATACCATAGTAACTCCTAGTAGGTTAGCCTTTGACTTCGACCGGTCATATGCGCTTCTCTCTCATCGAAACATACCCGGATCCATCATCAACGTAATGATGCAACGGGCGCCTTTATTATCCTGTCTTCCTCCTCTGCTTTCCTGCCGTGTGTCAACTGTTTGATTTGATAGCGACCTGGAGGTCATAAATGATTATCTCCTATATTCGGTGTCGCATACAGGGTCATCAATCACCGGCTATCTTCCTGTTCCGAATCACCTACCCTGTACACGACATTCAGAATGTTCGACGTTGTTGTGGTTGGCGCTGGTTTCAGCGGTCTCCAAGCAGCTTATTCGTTGCAGCAAGCTGGTCTGTCCGTTGCAACAGTGGAAGCTCGCGATCGCGTCGGAGGCAAAAGTTGGAGTGTCAGTCTCTGTAGTATTGAAGGGACGGCTGATTTAGGTGCTGCCTGGGTTAATGATACCTTGCAGCCTAGGATTTGGTCCTATATCAAGCTCCTTGGGCTCAGTGACTCAGTAGTAAGCCAGAGACTGGGCCACAAAGGGGTTTTCATACAAGAGAATGGCGAAAGAAGCCTTTTCGATTTTGGTATGGCTCCGGATGTGAGTGGCAGTATTGATGAGCCCGAAAATATACTCACGAACTTCTTGCTAACCACCCTCCACAAGTTTCCTACCGCGGAGAAAGCAACATTCGAACGCATACGCAATCATATCCAAGCTGAATCATTGAAGCCCAATGGCTTGCGACCAGAGGACGACGGCATCTCGCTCGACCAGTACTGCCGTAATCTTGGTGCCGGTTCCTTGACATTGTCCATGATCAACCTTTGGGTTCGTGTTATGCACGGTCTCGAATCAACTGAGGAGTCAGCAGCATGGTTCATAGACTATTGCCGGTCTAATCGCGGGCTTTTCGCCGTCCGTGCTGATGATTGCACTGGGGGGAACTACTTGCGACTTCCACAAGGTACTCAAGCCATCGCAAAAGGTATTGCGGGCCTTATACGGTATGAAAATATAAGCCTATCCCAGCCGGTAGCTTCCATCGAGGACAAAGGTTCTCACGTCGTCGTCACTACGGCAGCAGGCAAGGACTTCAAATCCAGGAAGGTGATCGTTTCTATCCCAAGCAGCATGTACAAGGAGATTGACTTCTTACCTGCCTTACCCCCACGTGTGCAGGAACTAGTCTACTCCAACAGGCTTGGACACTACAACAAGGCCATAGTCTTCTATAAAACACCGTGGTGGCGGGGTCTGGGCTTCAACGGTTTTGCATTGAGTTACAAAGGCCCTGCTTGCGTGATCCGCGATACCAGCGTTGACGATCACGGCATATGGGCGTTAACATGCTTTGTTAATGGCCGTCCAGGCGAAGAATGGAGTAGGCGAAATGCAAAAGAGCGCAGGAAGGCTATCCTGGATGAACTGGCCGAGATATTTGGGATGAGTATCGAGTCTGAGTGCTATGAGCCACTCGAATTCCGTGACCAGATCTGGCAACACGAACAGTTCAGTCGTGGAGCACTTTGCCCGGTCCACCAGATCGGGAACTACACGAAGTTTGCTGACGTATATGGAAAACCGGTGGGTAATATCCACTTTGTTGGTACTGAGTTTTCTAAGGACTGGAAAGGATATATGGAAGGTGCCTTGGCCTCTGGTGAGCAGGGTGCCGGTGAAGTCATTCGTGCTTTGAAGGAGAGCACCACTGGGCTGTAAAATATCAGATGTCGTGCAACAATGGAAATCTTGTGGTAGTAGTCCTAGTTGCTATTACCGGCAGTGCAGTGATGCTAGTCATACTAAGTCACTATACTACGGCCTTACTAAGAAATGGAGTAAATTCTAATTGCGGACGTTTCTTCAATTGGAGGACTTGCTATTACGAGGCGTGGACAGTGCCAGAAGTCTTCGAGTGTTTGGCATTGTAAACAGGGATGCATAGCTCGCTGTAGCCTAAGCCGCCATGATTTTAGATCACCCTGAGGGGCTGGAGGTGGGGAGGTCATCACAACAAGTGCGAAGTGTTGGCCGATAGCGTCACGTAGCATTGGCTTTTCAATACTTTATTAGTGGTGCACGAGTTCAAAAGTTGCGTGCCACTCAGCATCGGGAGCTCTTGACATCCTGAAGTCACATGTTCTCTCGGGTAGAAACCGAATTGACTATCATCGGTTAATGATACGGTCGATCTCTCCAAATTAGGTTACCCAAACTTCTCGGGCCAGGAATTGCCCGATGCGGAGAAGATACGCAGCGCCAAATCGATACCACGAATAATGCACCCCATACAAGCTTTGAATATGGAGGGTCGGAACCGCTTGATGTAAGCCTTTATGGCTACTTATTTTACCCAGCCGCATCGGGAATGGCGGAGTGCCGCGCAAGCATCTGTCTGCATGCTATCAGAACTCATTTGATATGATAGATCAATATCAATGGCTGACAAGATATTCCGGTCGGCCGAAAATCGGCAAGAAATGCAGGGGAAGCTAGTGTTTGTTGGTGGTGCTGCTTTTTGTTATCAGACCCATGACCACTTTCGGCTCTGGAAGATAGTGTCAAGGTTCGAGAAAGCTGGATTAAGTGTAATGCGGTAAAGCACGTTCTATCTATTTCTACCGATACTGAGGCATATGACTACGCACGAGCATATTTCGCACACTAGGATCCCGAATCATCTAGCGACCATGGGTATAATAATCGAAAGCCGCTTGACTCCAGGGAGAGGTGAGTAGTTGAAGGTCGGCGCTTTGAGCACACACCAAAGCATCAGTACCCCTAAATACTCTTCAAAAAGTCCATACAGACACTCCATTGTTTATTGATCATGCCTGGTATTGTCCAGACTAGCAAGCCATGCAAGGCACCACCTGTTGTTGGACCCCGGACGACGAAGGCAAGGCGGCCTATTGTCGACATCCCTGAATTCATGATCAATGAGGCTCGCAGCACGTCAGTCGATAAATGGGATCCCTCCAAACATATGGCCTTCAAGGCCCCGGCAGCCATCTATACCATGAAAGAAATCGGACTTGAAGGCCAAGGCATATCTCCCCACGCGGTTTCTGAGCCTTTTCCGCTATTCACTCGCGAGGCTATTATGCAGATGAGAAGGGAGATTTTTAGTGACCCCGTCATGAAAAACTGCCGATTTGGCTCTGACTTCATTGCTAATATGGTACGTGGCATGGGCGCCGAGTAAGTCTATTGCCCCAGTTTACATTGACTCCAGCTGATCTTTTCATCCTTAGACGAGCCCCCTTTATATATGATGCATGGTACGACCCTGCGATCCTTGCTGCGATATCTGCAGTAGCTGGAGTCGACCTGATTCCGACCTTTGACTATGAGGTGGCAAACGTTAATATCTCCATCAATGACGAAAAAGCGGAAGTTCTGACCGGCTCGGACGAGGAATCCGCCGTTGCGTGGCATTATGATAGCTTCCCATTCGTCTGTGTCACGATGGCCTCCGACTGCACTGGTATGGTGGGCGGAGAGACAGCAATTAAATTGCCGGATGGTAGTGAGAAAAAAGTCAGAGGGCCTGCAATGGGAACAGCCGTCGTCATGCAGGGGCGCTATATCAACCATAGAGCCATGAAGGCGTTCGGAGGTCGGGAACGTATTGCTTTGGTCACCGCATTCCGCCCAAGGAACCCCTTGGTACGAGACGAAACCATCCTGACTGGGGTACGGCCTATTAGTCACCTTGAAGAGCTATACAGCCAATATGTGGCGTATCGGTTTGACGTGCTTGAGGAACGCTTTCGGCATAAGCTCAAAGAAGAGCGACGCCGCGTGGTCATGAAGCGAAGTATCAATATAGGTGATTTACGATCTTTCATAGAAGATCAACAAAACTATTTGGCCTCCATGTTGGAAGAGCTCTACGAAGTTGAGTAATACACGGAGGATTTATCAGCATTGGTAAAATTCAATCTGACAGATTGCAAATTCCATTTTTCCGTAGCACAAACTCTTACATTCGGTTTGTTTGATCAGCGACAATGATAGCATTACAAGCTGTAACATTGATATACTTGTAGCTAAATAGGTCTTGTGTTAAACATTATCCCAAACATCAACGGCTTTTGTTCCGGAGAGGAGTAGTGGCAAGTGGTCCTTCCCGCTGCCGCTCGATTCAAGACAACTTGCACATCCTTTCTACTTCGAAGTCTATGAAGTGGTGTAATGACGTGGAAGTTTTGATTCCTGATCATGGTGCGCGTAAGAGGAGCTCGCTGTTATTAATCGCAGATGATAATACTGCGCGACTTAGCATCATATCCGCTCCGACCTTCCTAGCAGGTAGCCGTAGGCCTTAAATTGATAGGTTCAGCGTCACAAGTGCGGCTGTGAGGGTGTTATGTAGTTGCCAATTGGCACGGTGTGAGGGAGCATCCCTACTGTACCGATTGACATGGCCTATAAATTGAGGCGTTATCACCAGCTACCGCCAGCTGTGTTTGTATTAGCAGCTGGCACAGCCATCTATATCCACTCCCTTGTGAGGGGTGCGTGTAATTGCTAATTGGCACGGTGTGAGGGAGCATCCTTACCGTATCTTTTGTCAATTTAGTACACCCCTTGTTGCGAAGATGTATCAGTCATGTGACCTATAATAGCTCCGATGGCTAGAACTTGCCGAGTGCACTGGACAGAGTCTGGCTTCAGAAATACGAACTTGGACCAGGGGTGATCATGCCCAATCACCTTATCCCTGCTCATGTGCAAATCGGAAGCAGGTTTAAAGTTTAAAATGCAAATGCACCGGCAGATTCACCTGTACCCAACCCCTTAAGTCGATCTTGAAGCACCTGCACCTTTTACACTTCTGAGACGGTATCGCTGGCAACCTCAGTCAATGCGAACTTCAAAGAACAGTGTCTACATAGCGTCCAGGTGTTCTACATTTCTTCGAGTATTATTTTGGGTATGATGGCAAAGTCAACCCCCGAGAAGACAGCACCGAATGCTGGCTCTGACGATTCCTTCAGTCATCTTTTGGATTCCGAGGCCGACATCCTGAGGCAACAGGTTTCTGCTCCTGCAACAGATGTTGGTATCACCACTCTGTACCGATACGCCACAATCTCGGATAAAATAATTCTTGTCATCAGCGCGATCTGCGCCGTAGCTGGCGGTGCAGCGCTTCCTCTTATGACACTACTGTTTGGGAATCTACAAGGAACGTTCCAGGAATATCTCCTCAACACGATACTGTATGAAGAGTACAACAGCCGCATGACCTCATTTGTCTTATACTTCGTATATCTCGCGATCGGTCAGCTCGTTGTTTTCTATATATCTGTCGTTGGGTTTCTCTATACTGGCGAACATATCAGTAATGCGATCCGCGAACGCTACCTTAGTAGCTGTCTACGCCAAAATATTGGATATTTCGATAGTAAGATGGGTAATGGAGAAATAACATCTTGTATAACGACGGATATCGACACCATTAGGCAAGGAATCTCGGAAAAACTCGGCTTCGCTCTGACAGCAGTCGCGACTTTTTTTTCTGCTTTCATCATTGGCTTCGTATCTTACTGGAAGCTAACGTTGGTCCTTTTCTCCACGGTAGTTGCCCTGCTTACTATCATGAGCTCAGCCTCGGTCTTCATTACGCGTTATAGTATTCAGATGAGTCAGTCAACTTCTCTTGCCAACAGTATCATTGGAGATGTCTTGCAATCAATCCGCACCACAGTGGCCTTTGGTGCGCAAGACCGCCTCGCTAAGAAGCATGAAGACTACCTTAGCCGGGCTGAACGCGACGGATTCAGAATGAAGGCTACTGTGGCTGTCATGGTCGCTGGAATGATGCTGGTTCTATATTTGAATTACGCCCTATCATTCTGGGTGGGAAGCACATTCTTGATCGACGAAGAGGTCTCTCTCCAGAAAGTTCTCACCATCATGATGGCCATCATGCTTGGGGCATTTGAACTAGGACATGTGTCTCCGCATGTTCAGGCATTTTTGATGGCCCTTTCCTCTGCTCAGAAACTCTTTAATACTATTGACAGACTACCACCGCTTGGCCTTGACCCAACACTTGATACCGGCGACGAACCGGATAAAATAGTAGGCACAATACGCTTTGACAATGTGAAACATATCTATCCGTCTCGCCCCCAGGTAGCGGTCCTGGACAGTTTTAGCCTAGTAATACCGGCTGGGAAGACTACAGCCATCGTGGGCCCGTCTGGATCCGGAAAGAGCACCATCGCCAGTCTCCTTGAAAGGTTTTACGCACCCGTGTCTGGTAATATCTATCTGGACGGACGAGATATAAGCCTGCTTAACCTTCGATGGCTACGCCGAACAGTATCCTTAGTCAGCCAGGAGCCAAGGCTGTTCGACACTACAATTTATGAGAATATTCGCCACGGGCTTCTTGGCTCTCCACTAGCGATGGACAGCCTGGAAAGACAAAACGAATTGATCGTGGCTGCCGCTAAGAAGGCGAATGCTCATGAATTCATCACCGAACTCTCACAAGGTTACGACACCGTTGTGGGCGAACGAGGTTTCCTACTCTCTGGAGGCCAAAAGCAACGCATCGCTATAGCTCGAGCAATTGTTTCGGACCCCAAAGGTGCCCAACAACACTCCTACCATGCGTCGTTCGCTCCCTCACTGACATACTAATAAAGTTCTTATACTGGACGAGGCAACTAGCGCTTTAGATAGCGAGTCTGAAAGCTCGGTTCAAACGGCGTTAACAGCTGCTAGCTACGGTCGCACCACTATCACAATTGCACATCGGCTTTCTACCATTCAAGATGCTCACAACATAGTGGTGTTATCTAAAGGATTCATCATCGAGCAGGGGACACACATTGAGCTGTTACAGAAAGAACAAGCCTATTTCCGTTTGGTTGAGAGTCAAAGACTCCACGCAGAGGCTTCCTTGCCTCCACAGACACGTTACGAACTGTTGCCCGCGACGATGGACCAAACGCCATCTCTGCCCGCCTCTCAGGGTGGACAGATGGGTGGGCCAAATGTGACTTCCACGGACAAAGCCGCCGTTGCAGCACCAGCAGGAATCGTATTACAGAGAAGCAACACGCGCCGCAGTCGAAATGGATGGTGGGCCACAGTAAAGTTTATTGCATCTCTGAACATGGAGGAGGGGAAGTTAATGGTCTGGGGCTGTTTCTGGTCAATCATCTGTGGTGCGGGAAACCCAGTTCAGGCCGTCTTCTTCGGGAAGCAAATAGCGGTATGTGCCTACTTGCCTCGCATAGTAAGCCACTTAGTGGAAAATTCGGATTGCTAAACTAATGGTCACGGCAGACCCTTAGCGCGCCCTTGTCCGCAGACAACATCAGTCAGGTAAAGCACGCCAGCAATTTTTGGAGCGCAATGTATGTGATGCTCGCCGTCGTACAATTCATCGCCTTTCTCGCACAGGGTGTGGCATTCGCACACTGTTCAGAACGACTGATTCATCGAGTACGTGACCGCGCCTTCAGGGCGGTACTACGTCAAGATATCAGCTTCTTCGACGAAACCAGCACTGGAACTTTGGAAGCTTTCATGTCGACGGAGGTGAAACAAGTCACTGGTCTTAGTGCAGCTACCCTGAGTACACTGATCATAGCTTGTAGCACGTTGGTAGGCGCTATGAGCGTAAGCCTGGCTATCGGCTGGAAGCTTTCACTCGTGTGCATTGCGACAATTCCCTTGCTTCTCGCATGTGGATTTACCCGCTTCTACATGCTTGCTTACTTTCAAGCGCATGCTAGGAATGCTTTCCGGGAGTCCGCTGGTCGAGCTTCTGAGGCCATCTCTTCGATCCGTACCGTAGCTGCACTCACTAGGGAGGATCAGGTATCGACGAAATTCCACCAGGAACTCGAGGTTCAGCAGCGGGACAGCCTGTACTCTGTCTTGAAGTCCAGTATATTCTATGCTGCGTCCCAATCACTGGTTCATCTCGTATTTGCGCTCGGCTTTTGGTATGGCGGCACGCTGATTGCACGGCACGAATATGACCTCTTCCAGTTTTTCGTCTGCTTTTCAGCAATAGTGTTTGGCGCTCAGTCGGCCGGCACCTTCTTCTCGTACTCTCAAGAGATTGGAAATGCTCACCAGGCTGCGGTGAATGTACAGGCTCTATTCGAGCGGGAGGTTGCTATAGACACTTGGGTTACCACTGGCCGGCGAATCCACCCCGATGAATGCAAGGCTGCTATCGAGTTCCGCAACGTGGATTTTAGCTATCCAACTCGCCCTAATCAGCAAATTTTGCGAGGATTCAGCTTGAAAATTGACCCCGGCCAGCATGTTGCGTTGGTTGGTCCATCTGGGTGCGGTAAAAGCACCGTCGTGGCTCTCCTAGATCGATTTTATGATCCAGTGTGCGGCAATATATCTCTCAACGGCCAGGATATCCGCTCTCTGAATCTCAACGACTACAGAGCTGCAATATCGATTGTGTCGCAGGAGCCCAATATTTTCTACGGTACAATTAGGGAGAATGTCCTCCTCGGGGCGCCCGCGACACGTGAGATTAGCGAAGAGGCTATCGTCGCTGCTTGCCGAGATGCCAATATATTCGATTTTATCGCCTCCTTACCAGATGGAATGGACACTGTTGTAGGAGGTAGTGGGGTTCTCCTGTCTGGTGGTCAGAAGCAACGCATTGCTCTCGCACGCGCATTGGTGAGAGACCCAAAGATTCTTTTACTTGACGAGGCCACCTCCTCATTGGACTCGGAGTCCGAACTGCTTGTTCAAGCAAGCCTTGACCAGGCCGCTTTTGGTCGAACCACGATTTCTGTAGCGCATCGGTTAAGCACAATCCAGCGTGCCGATGTAATTCTATTCATGCACCAGGGAGCCGTTGCAGAAATCGGAACACACGAGGAGCTTGTTAATATGGATAATCGCTACGCTAGATTCGTAAAGCTCCAAAGCCTAGAGGGATCATGGTAGGCCAGTCACTGCAATGTGCCAGGAACAAAGGTCTCCTGGTCAGAAGGATATCACTGATCGAACCATAAGTCAAGGATGCTTGTTGCAAGCAATGTTACAAGAATAGCACAACGTTACCCGGGGCCATTCCGAGTTCCTATCCAGTTTAGCACCCATGATAGGCAATTATTCTGTCAACAATAGAAGCCAAACCACTCCACTTGTTGTTGCACGCGCTTCAACTCTTTGTTTACACGCAAATTTCAAGAAGTAACAGGTTACAAGAAAAATAGCCATCGCCAATCGGATTTACACAAAGTAATCAAATATGGCACTATTGATACGCCACGTATTGACTGACGGTACTTGTGGCTGTGTCACAGGGTCTTGTTACACAAGTTGGTCCTCAACCCAACAAACGGGCAGGGAGTAATCTTACTATCCGGTAAACCCAGGTTGTATTCATTCTGAGGTCTGGGAAATACCACAGCCTGCGTAAACAGGTACAATATAACCCTGGTCTGAAATCCAGGCAAGAAAATCTCATCGTCGCCCTGGAGCAGCAATTGTTGCCTTTCCACTGACTGCATAGTACACAGTCATGTACGCACCAGTTTCGAATGTGTAGGAATAAGACACATTGCTGTGGAGGATTGACGAGGGTGAATCGAGGTCAGCAGCTGGGAAAGCACGCCGGAGATTTGTCATGTAGTTCTGACGTAACAGTAAGCTAATGGACCGGATAGATGATTCCATGCTATACGGGGGAACGGAATTTCCTGACCTTGGCGACGTCGAACCAACCTAGCTTGCTAAACGCCGACAACAAGTTATTGGTAACGTGGCCATCGCTCGGTGCATATTGCCACATGGGCACGTATCTAACATCCATTTGTTTATTAGCTGCGTAGAGTGAGAAAGTTAAGAAGGGTTAGAGGACTAACACTTTAACGTCGGGCACCTCGCGCCCAGGTTTGATCTCGAAACTGAACATGAGGCTGCCGAGGAAAGAGGTGGGATGGCGCATTTGCTTGCTGTGATTATCCGGCGTATAAGGTCGTTCATCCCGCAAAGTATCCCATATAGAGTGCAAGATTTCTAGACCATGCAACCGCTCTGGTTCCACAGCCTATAAGGGTCAGTGATATCATACTCTAACAGAAATCGTTGCAATTGCTAACCTTTCCACCAAAGGTGTAAATGTGTTGTACGATATCCCAACTATTACATGTTGTCGTATGGGCATAGATCTTTACTCGTGCTTTGCACGGATCAATGCAATCCATGCCAATCATATCAAGAGTAAGATGTTCCGGACAAGTATCCCAGTATGAATCTAGAAAATCAAGAGACGGAGCCAGCCTGTCACCATTCGGTCTGAGATTCCTGATAGCGTCGAAGCCGGCATCTCGAGCATCACGGTGCCGATTAGTTGCGAGGTTCTTTGCCATTGGAAACATGTAAGCTTTCATCTTTCTCTGAGCTCCATCAAGGTCGAGGGCCATGTTGAACGTGAGCGCATGATCCAGGGGAGGGGGAAGCTCGGATTTTGCGCGGATAAGAGCGAGCGCCGTCTCATCCTCATTCTTGGGAAAGAGTTGTTCTATGAACTGATGCGCCCAGCGAAGGTCTGGCTTGTTAAGTTCCACTTCGATCTGCGAGAGCATCTGTCGCACATGCTCTTGTCCAAGCCTCTCCTTAGCCTCCTGGTGCTGCCTCGTTGCGCTCAGCGGCCTATTGCGGCTCTTAGTTAGGGTGAACCACCATAGCAGGGTTATGGTGAGAGGTAGGCACTGACTCGTACTGATACCGGACAATGGGTTTCCCATTTGCTGTAAAATTGATACTTGCTTCGACTGGCGAGATCGCATCGATCGGGTTCACGGCATGTATCCCGTCAGACAGCGGTTGTGGTCCTAGCCACGGCACGACATGACGCCTAAAAAATGCTAATTGACTGACTTTCTCATCCTGTGCACAGGTTGAGTCAGAATATTCATGCACTTCGGAAAACTGTTACTGAGACTCACTTCCGTGTATGTCCCTGCGCTATCGAGAAGCCCCGCTATCGCTGGCTTGCAAACACTCCACCAAAGCTCAGCGCCCTGGTTGGTGGTATCGCCTACGCTGTCCATGATTGACTTCAAAGGGCTTTGACTGGTTGTTGAACTCTTGACATCATCAGGGTGGTGCTGTGCAAGAGTACGTATATATAAATAATACGAGCTGGATGATACTCTGGAAACGCGCAGGTTTATTCTGCCAAGTCTTATCCGTATACAGGCATCTTTCTCATTTGAACTAGCCTGAAATCGCATTTGTTCCAATTATATTGTATCCCCGCATCACTTTCCCAACTGGACTCGTCAGTTGCCGATAGATAACTTCAGGTTGACTTTGGTATTTGTTGAATACCTTGAGAGTGCATACCATAGTACCTAGTGTGCTGCTGCAAAGAGTGGAGCAATATGGCCTCGACCCACGCCATACATTAAGGTTCTCTACTAGGCCGCGCTACAAATGCAGAGACGAAGTCAATAACCGGCAACGGTTGTACCTTGCCTGAACGTACCAAAGCGTTTCTGATACCGACCTGCAGGCATATGAAGAAGGGCGAGACGGTTTGCAGTATCACCGGACCCGGAATCAAGCCAAAGCCCCCGAACCTACCGAGTTTCTTGGCATGTGGCAATCTTACCCCATCATTTGACAGACTGCATGCTCGCTTATTTGCAAGTTTCTTTCGACGTATATATTTAAATCACGGTTAGAGCCGCACCAAGATTTATGCAGTGAGCTACGGTCATACCAAACTATGTTCACCGACTGGCAATCCTGAGTCGATAGGTCTCCGCGGTTGTCACCTTCGGTTTTGCAGGACGCAAAGATGGACGTTAGCAAGAGCGCCAGGTTTTTGAGTATTTCTCGACTGGAGGCAGCTTCCCTTATCATCCTGGTGAGAAAGATACTGTACGAAATGTAAAAGTCCGTGACTGATTGTTCAACTAGGCCCTTATATCATATTATGCATTAAAATGCATCTACTTGCTCTACTACCATCCTCTGGCACGATTTCCTGGCCCGCTCCTTGCCTCCATGTCTGATGTAAGTGACTTACCTGCGATATCATACGCGACAATATCAGAGATTCTAACGCGGGGTTAAGTTGTGGATTTCCTCGTCGATTGCTACAGGTCGGCACCCATTCAGAATGGTAAAACTACATCAAGAGTATGGTGAGTACATAAGCCTGTCACCTGAATTTTGCCTCTTGGAACTCTAATGTGTTACACCCAAGGCGATGTCGTCAGAATAGGACCTAATTGGCTTTCGTTTGCCACGCCGCAAGCATATCAGGATATATACGGGAGGCCAAGTCAAGGAAAGAAGTTGTTCCTCAAGTTTGCCGAATTTGAGAGGCCGGGGGACATCTCTACCACGAGGGACCCGGATCTCCATTCCCTCCAAAAAAGAGCGCTCTCCAAGGGGTTCAGCGCCGCGGCGCTACGGGACCAAGAAGTAATAGTACAACAATACGCCGACTTATTGGTCCGACAACTGGGTAGCCTCGGGCAGGGAGGCAAGGTGGCCACAAATATAGGTGAAGCCCTGAACTGGTTTACATTTGATGTCATTGGTAAGGCATACCACTCCCTCACGCCGGCCCAAGTTACTGATACGGCAACATCCAGGAGACCTTGCCTTTGGGGAGCCTTTCAATGCGCTACTCAATGGATCTAACCATATGATATCACTGATTACAGATGCGCTGCGGTATAGCGGAGTGATATTCCTTCGCCGCCAGCGGCCATATGTGGGGCCGCTTATTGCACGCCTGCTGTTTCCACGACATCTTGAGGAGACGCATCTTGAATACCAAAAGCTGGCAGATGAGAAGTCTGCGAAACGCATTGTTCGTGGAGATCTTGATCGACAGGACTTCTTTAGCCACCTCATAAGGGACCACCGCATCACCAAAGAGGAGTTAATGGCTACGGCGTGGACACTAATTATGGCGGGCTCCGAAACCACGGCCACAGCACTTACTGCGACGATTTTTTATCTCCTTCGCACTGAAGGCGTACTCCAAAAGCTAAGGGACGAAGTTTGTACCAAGTTCGATTCGTCGGATCAGATAAATGGTAGGTAAAGCCCGTATTCAGGCCTGAGTACGATTATCTGTTGACAACGTACGTTGCAGATGGCTCTACCAAGGGCCTGGAGTACCTTAGCGCCGTCATCGAGGAGGGACTGCGCCTCTTTCCGCCTCTGGCACTTGGCTTGCCTCATGAATCACCCGGCGCGGTTATTGATGGACACTACGTCCCACCTGGCGTCTGCGTATCGGCCGAGAACTTCTCCTTGTCCTATGACTCCAGATTCTGGATAGAGCCCCAGTCATTCAAGCCAGAACGCTGGATTGGGGCTGGTATTGAGGGCGACAACAAAGCCGCCCATGTGCCGTTTTCTGAAGGACCAAGGTCGTGTATCGGCAAGAGCCTTGCATATGTGGAGATGCGTCTCATTCTCGCCAAGCTAGTATGGCACTTCGACTGGGTATTGGCATCTACCGATCTCGATGATTGGAATCAAGCTTCAATGTGCTACGCACTGTGGACAATGCCAAAGTTGATGGTCGAGTTTCATCCACGACAGGCATCGTCCGTCTACTAAGAACAATTTATTAAGGGGCGTTATGCTTTCCTCGAACTCCTATTTTTTTCATTTCTTTGGCCTTTATCAGTAGTGGCGAAGGAAATCAGTAGCTTAGCGAGCCTCCATTACATTACACCCAGTGCTTCATAAATAAGTGCATAAAATTTCAAACATGTCTGCAAGTCTACCAAGTTGAACGAAATGTAATCCCAATTCATATTCAATTTTGTCTTTCATACTGTGGAAGTCCTGCAGTAGGCATCATATCGGAATCAAGAGTCTAAATCATAGTAGTATTGAAAATCTGGTCTACTAAACTATGAAGAGTGAAACTACCTTTGAATCGAAGGTACACTCAGTACTTAGATGGAATTGGCACGGGACCGGTCGGGGCTTGGGTGGCAGGTAGCCACCCCTGATGAGCGGTTCTCGTGCCGAACTCGACAGGGAAGTCTATCTTTGTGTGCATAACTCCCCAATTGTACCAAAACAAGTGATCACCCTCATCATCAGGACCAACATAAATGTTCTCTGGGCGTATGACACGATACTGAAGTCCGCTCAAAATATCCCTCACTTTCTTGACGTCGTCAATGATTTTAGGCTTTTCCGATTCGCCGTGGCGGATATACAGCCGGCGTACAGTGTTGGGCTGCACTTGCAAGTGTTTAGCGCCGGTGGTAGGATTTACCCATACCAGAGGAAGCTGTAGCTGCAATGTTAATGTAAAACTTTGACGGAGAATGCCACGGCGTGGCCCCATAGCAGAGAATCACTCACAATATGCTGGTCTTCAGGATTCCGAGGCATTGCCTCCATAATCTTTTCGGGGACCTCTCTCCCCTCGCTAGCCACGTTGAGCCCGTTCGCATTTCCTCGGCATCCCAGGATCCACTCGTACGGATAGTACATCTGCTCACACCAGCTATGATCGACCATCTTCTTCTCTTTGTCGGTCAGCATTTCATACAGCTGAGCTGTGCTAAAGAAGCCAGTGCGCCCTGGCTTGATCTTCTTAGTCATGCCAGACCCATCTGCCCATTCGACAACCTGTTCCCCTCGAGGAAGCTTGATGGTCCGGAAAGAGCTGTACATTGGCGTATGGATCTTGTACTGCGGCCCATCCATATGCCAAGACTGGAAGCGAGCGATACCGCGTTTGAAATCCTCCTTCAACAGAGGCTTCGAGTAGTAAGCATCCGCAAACGCCTCGCTCAGATTGGCATTTTTGATGCCATAATGGTTTTCGCCTTGATATCCCTTGCCCATGAGATAGAGACGTCCCGCATTTGGTATTGTGCTATAACCCAGCTTGGACTACAACAGAAAATATCATTGGTTTGTGTGAGCGACTTCGGGAATTGAATGCACTTGTCCTTACAAGGATTCCCTCTCCCTTGGGATTATACATCTTTGCCCACTCCTCCTCTGTAAACTCAGGGGCACCAGGGTCGAGCTTTTGAAGAAGTTCCCAGTTCTTGCTAGGCAATTCGTTTTTCTGCCCTTTGATAACAACAACTAGGTAACGTCGAATTGCCTCGCGGAGAAGGTCAACCTCGGCATCTTCATATTGTCAGTCACCATCCATAAAGTAAGGGGTTACGATGAAGAGAATATGCCTGTGATGCTGTTGATATCAAGTCCGGTGATCTCAGCGCCGAACTGACAGTTAACGTTAACACTTTCTCCTGTTTCGCTTTAGGATCAACATACAGTCAAACCATCAGCGAAAGCTTTAATCAGAAAGCCGCTTTGGGAATCCATGATGAGTGCCTAAATTTCTGTGAAAAACTGTCAATAGGAGGGTCTGCGATAAAGATTCTAATTATAATGTGCTCAACGGCAGTTCAAGCTAAGGAGTAGAGCCTGTACTTTAAGCGCCTTCTCCCGCTAAATATGTCTAAATATGCAATATGAGGTGTTGCGGTAAGACGGCCTTCCAAGATAGCCGAGATATTGGTCTTATCAGTACGGTGGCAGTATATTGCTTGCTAAGGGTCCACGGCAATTCGTTACACGGCGGAGCATTTTAGAAGCACAGCCGGTAGTGGAGACGGGTTGCCACAAGGTTTTGCACTAGCTCAACTCAATCTTCGTTGCAGTAAAATGGTCAAGAATTCTATAGTTTTAATTAGAGTTTCAGAAATGGGATGCAGTGCTACCGCCCGTGGTACTCGGCAGACGTCTGCAAACTTTGATTCAGCAGGAGGCGAGTCACATTAGAGCACGGTATGCACAATGATGTCAGAAAGGGTGTGCCCGAAACAATGTTCGCTTTCGGTTTCCGAAGCCCTTGTGTAGTGCCAAGGGTATAGGAACAGTATGATCGGCTGCTACCTAGCCTCCTACAATTATTGCTTACCGACTATCTCCATGGGATTATGACAAATGTCTGACGTACCACCGATGTTTGTGCACTTGCACTAGTTTGAACTGGCTGGGTGGGAGTAACGAATATTCTACAGTAGACTACAGCATCATTTGAATCTATAATCAAATCTTATCGCAAGGCCCACGCCCCCAGCATAGTAAGTTAGAGGAGCCACATAGAAATTTTCGGATTATTACACAGTCCTACGGAGAATGTTCAAACACTTTCAGAGTTCCTGCGCCTTGTGAATCAAATTTTGAGTAACTCTAACAAGCATCTCAAGTCTGTGTTGGATGAGCCAAACATCACCTCCAACTCTTGAAGCTGGCCACAAAGTCGGCCATATAAATCGGCCAAGACGGATCGGGTATACTGGAAACCGCCAGCCTCTTCAATAATCTTAAGAACAAGATCTTTCTGCTCTTTGGCTAGCTTTCCGGTCCTCTTACCAATAGAAAGTATGTGAAGTACTCTAAGGTTCGGGGGTTGTGACTGCAAAGTAAAGATCAGAGGAACTGTGTACTTTCCCTCATCTAAATCCTCGCAAAACCCTTTCTGCCTGGTATACTGCAGGCATATTATAAGTCTGCAAGTCAAGTTGTTTCGGAGGTTCTGATACTCACATCAGCTGACATGAGGTTCTGGTAGTCATCCCGAACCTGGAAATAACGCCCAAGAAGCAACGTGAATCTTTCAAGGAGCATTTGTGCGCTACGCACATCTTTCGGAAGCTCAGTGACCATGAAATAGGTTGCGATACAAAAGAGCTGTCCAGTCTCTAATAAAGAGGGTTAATGAGTTGAACCATGGTGGGTTTCTCTAGTGACCTACTGTTGTCCACCATACGGTAGTACTCGTCTAGAGAGGGGCAATGGTTATTGTAACTCCAAAATAGGTCCATCGCCTGACCCTGGAATAGAGACATGATCTTGTCTATGCTTCAGGTCAGCGGGTGTTTCGGACTCATCAAAATCGATCTTACCCAAAATCTCTAGAGCCCGAGCTGGTTCTACGAAGCCTAGAACCATACGAATAGCCTTTGTGATAGTGTAGTTTGAGGTGTTAATGGATTGGGCCGCCCCGAAGATCGTGTGTGTAGCAGGTTTGCCACGTCGTAGTGGGGAATCGTCTTCGAAGTCGTCAAGGCTATTGACTGTGAGAAGAATGAATTTCGTATAATACAGGTGGCTTACATCAGAGAGGCGTTGTGCAGCAGGTCAGTGACCTGCTTAACATGCGCTACTGTTTCGGGACAAAGCTTGAGCCAATAGTCCAACGCGTCAATAAAGCGATTGCGGACATCTTTAGATGGAAGTGAGGAGATATATACGTATGGAGCTTCTAGCACGGCCATCTGTACTAATTGGTCATTGAGTACGACTCAGGGG